CTCTGAGCACTTTCTGTCTCGCTGTCACCCATGATTAATTACGATCGAATGATAGGAAGCGCAGAGACATCATCATAGTTTCGTGCTGATAAAAGGAAAGTGTTGCTATTTCTGAATGTGGCATTGTGAATTATTGCCGCTGTTCACATTTCACCAGTTTTGGTATTTATGGCTGCTTCAGTGGGGTGTCAAAGCTAATGGCCAATTTGTGCTGACATCTCCCATGAAAAACGAGCCATCTAAACATCCAAATCACGTCCGATTGCTATTTACTGGCCAAATCAGTTAGCAGCCTGTGCCTGCGACGTGTGTGTGGCCTAGGGCGATTCGCAAATGTGCCGGTGAAATTCTGCAGGCTTGACAGATTCACTCAGGGCCCGGTACTCCCCAGTTGCACTGCACAGAGACGGTGGCACACACGTGCCGTAAGGTGATCTGTCACTCACCCTGCTCTCTGGCCTCCCGTGCAGTGTGAAAAGTGATGCTACCGCAGTGGTCATGTAGATGGTCCTCGTGCAACAACGGTGGTGTCACCAGCACGGGCGACACCACCTCGGTGCAGTCCGTCGCACGTCGCTAACACAGCCAGTTGTGAAGCATCGCCTAGCATCTGCAGCCAATCGCAAATGGATTTTGCTTTTGACATCGTGTCGCCGACAGATGTACCGGGTCCACCCCCTTGCTCGTTATTGGCAGGTGGTTAGATAACAGGACACTGAGTGTTACTGGCTGCCATGTTTGCGAACGTGAATTTTTGGATGTGAATGTGGCGTTTGGAAACTTCTGGAGAGCCCCGTGGAGGCGTCTGGATGTGAATGTGGCGTTCCTGGGCTGCTGGAGAGCCCCGTGGAGGCGTGTGGATGTGAATGTTGCGTTCGTGAGCTGCTGGAGAGCCCCGGTGGAGGAGTGTTGATGTGAATGTGGCGTTGGCGGGCTGCTGGTGCGCCCCATGGGGGCGTGTTGTGATTGGCGAGACGTCCCAACTGAGATGCAAATGATGCCATGTGCGTGCGATGTGTGTAAAATATGACTCGCGATGTTGCCTGCTGCGTGAGACCGCTAACATTCTTTCAGATCATTGAGAACTTCTATGAAGTGGAACTTCATGTGCTTGCCAATACAAATACAAGATGTGCTAAGATTTTACAGCCGTTGTACGCGAGTTACCTTAACCCCCCATGCCCTCTTTGTGTGTGCCAGCCTTTAAACGATCTGATAGTGTATTGGTGGTGGTGGTGGTGGTGTTAAAATTCAAAAACACAGCAAGTTGGCACAGTAGGGGAGCACAGGTGGTGCATCGGCCAGTCATCTCACCTGGGTCTGTCCCGTGACCTCCTGCCAGCGGGCGTTCGACACTTCACGTGTCATTAAAGTGCACATTGCCTGGCACAAGAGCCGTGGTGATGTCACCGCCACATAGTGGCGAATGGCGGTTGTTGTTAAAATGCACTGACATTCAAGCAACAAAATTCAAAGTGACTTCCTGATAAAATTTAGAATGGAGGTGCTCATCTCCCATTTCCAGCCATGAGCCAGTGGTGGAAATTCCACATTCCTATGGTTGGGACGAGGATAGATATAGGTACAGTGAGGGAAAAAAGTATTTGATCCCCTGCTGATTTTGTACGTTTGCCCACTGACAAAGAAACGATTAGTCTATAATTTTAATGGTAGGTTTATTTGAACAGTGAGAGACAGAATAACAACAACAAAAATCCAGAAAAACGCATGTCAAAAATGTTATAAATTGATTGGCATTTAATGAGGGAAATAAGTATTTGACCCCTCTGCAAAACATGAATTAGTACTTGGTGGCAAAACCCTTGTTGGCAATCACAGAGGTCAGACGTTTCTTGTAGTTGGCCACCAGGTTGCACACATCTCAGGAGGGATTTTGTCCCACTCCTCTTTGCAGATCTTCTCCAAGTCATTAAGGTTTCGAGGCTGACGTTTGGCAACTCGAACCTTCAGCTCCCTCCACAGATTTTCTATGGGATTAAGGTCTGGAGACTGGCTAGGCCACTCCAGGACCTTAATGTACTTCTTCTTGAGCCACTCCTTTGTTGCCTTGGCCATGTGTTTTGGGTCATTGTCATGCTGGAATACCCATCCACGACCCATTTTCAATGCCCTGGCTGAGGGAAGGAGGTTCTCACCCAGGATTTGACGGTACATGGCACCGTCCATCGTCCCTTTGATGCGGTGAAGTTGTCCTGTCCCCTTAGCAGAAAAACACCCCCAAAGCATAATGTTTCCACCTCCATGTTTGACGGTGGGGATGGTGTTTTTGGGGTCATAGGCAGCATTCCTCCTCCAAACACGGCGAGTTGAGTTGATGCCAAAGAGCTCCATTTTGGTCTCATCTGACCACAACACTTTCACCCAGTTGTCCTCTGAATCATTCAGATGTTCATTGGCAAACTTCAGACGGGCATGTGTATGTGCTTTCTTGAGCAGGGGGACCTTGTGGGCGCTGCAGGATTTCAGTCCCGTACGGCGTAGTGTGTTACCAATTGTTTTCTTGGTGACTATGGTCCCAGCTGCCTTGAGATCATTGTCAAGATCCTCCCATGTAGTTCTGGGCTGATTCCTCACCGTTCTCATGATCATTGCAACTCCACGAGGTGAGATCTTGCATGGAGCCCCAGGCCGAGGGAGATTGACAGTTCTTTTATGTTTCTTCCATTTGCGAATAATCGCACCAACTGTTGTCACCTTCTCACCAAGCTGCTTGGCAATGGTCTTGTAGCCCATTCCAGCCTTGTGTAGGTCTACAATCTTGTCCCTGACATCCTTTGAGAGATCTTTGGTCTTGGCCATTGTGGAGAGTTTGGAATCTGATTGATTTATTGCTTCTGTGGACAGGTGTCTTTTAAACAGGTAACAAGCTGAGATTAGGAGCACTCCCTTTAAGAGTGTGCTCCTAATCTCAGCTCGTTACCTGTATATAAGACACCTGGTAGCCAGAAATCTTTCTGATTGAGAGGGGGTCAAATATTTATTTCCCTCATTAAAATGCAAATCAATTTATAACGTTTTTGACATGCGTTTTTCTGGATTTTGTTGTTATTCTGTCTCTCACTGTTCAAATAAACCTACCATTAAAATTATAGACTGATAATTTATTTTTCAGTGGGCAAACGTACAAAATCATCAGGGGATCAAATCCTTTTTTCCCTCACTGTAAGTCCTGTTGACTTCCCCACAGCGGTGCCTATTTTATCAACCCCAGAGAGATGATGGGCTGAGGCAATCCCCATCCAAGATATGAAACACGACAACCGAATACTGGTTTAGCTCATTGGAAATCTTCAGTACGGTGCAGCCCTGCTGTCTTTTGCCGTAAGCTTCGCGAGCAGTCAGTACTTTTCACACAATATGCGGCTTCCATATGAGTAGAACTCAGCAGGGCCGGGGGTTCCAAAGCAAGTTCACGGTCACCTCATGGGGTCTGCCTTGTTTTGAATCAGGGTCGCCACCTGTCCATATTTGATCCGAACATGGGGCTATTTTTTTCTAATTCCAAACAGTCCAGGACAGCTTGGGAAATGGTATCTGTGTTTGGGTGGCAGGAATTGGTGTGTACTGAGAACGGGATGTATATTGTGTTGAATTGTTTTACAGTATTTTACACAGTTGTGATAGACACCGGTCGACTGAGAAGTCAATCCGGGTTTGATCTGTGGGAAAGGTGGCAACCCAACTTGGAATGGTGGCAGCAGCATTGAAAGACGTGGGAGGACAACGTCAACTTGAACGAAACTCCCTCGCCGGTTGACACAACAGCCTCGCTTGTAACAGTGGCAGCAGATGCCCAAGGCCTCGATACATGCAAGCGCACGATGGATCGAGTCTCTTGATTAAGAAATGGACACCAGTCCCACAGCACTCGCCCTCGCACTGCCACCCACCGTGAGACCAGTGATGCTTGGCAGAGCCACTGGCGGTCTGGCGAGAGAGGATACGGGGGACTGCGAGTGGGGAACACAGTGAGCGAGCGTTTGCGGTTCGATGTGCGGTATATTTTTACAAATTTGAAACGTTTTAATGAAGTCTGTGAAGCCAAATTTGGAGGAAACCTTTTTTGCTGATGTGCAGAACCGTGAGGGAGGCGTGGAAGTCAAGCGGGGGTCAAGGCTGTGTTTAGTCCCGAGGGGCAGGAGCAAAGTGCAGAGCTGGAAATTGGAATTACTCACGTCATTGTCTCACTCGTGGCGGTGGCCAGCGTGCTACGTGCATCCCGAGTAGCGCCGCTGAGCGTGCGTGTGCACGTGCACGCTCACGCACGCATGCGTCGTGCGCACCGTCTGGAGCGCACGAGGCAGCGGCTGTGCGGGGGCGCACCCACTCGGGTGGGCTACCCCGTTTAACCCTGCGCACATACCGAGCTCTTTGAAAGGACACACACACACACGCGCGCGCGCGCGCGCAGTTGTTGGGGCTCTCCCCAACGACGATGATCCCAACAAACGCACGTCAAGAGTTTTAAAGCAGTGTGCTGAAAAAATAAACGACGTTGGGTCGCTCTTTCCGCCGCACGTAGATCATTTACAAATAGGCGCTTTACTGTTTCGCGGGGAATTTAAACGTGACTTCTGCCTCCATCACTCGGTGCCTGGTTTTCGCCACCCAATCTCGTTTCCTCTTCCCCTGGCCCCTCCCAACTCTTTCAACGCTCTTCTGCCTTGCTACACCTGCACAACTTCTTCCCTCCCTGCGTGCCCCTCTTCATTCCGCACCTCTTTGCTTTCTGGCATCTCCCCGTTACCGCCATCTTTCTTGTGCGCTTCCACCTTCACGGCTCTTCCTCGCCGCTACTCCGCTTCTCCCCATTGCGACGTCCTGCGTCCTCTAACTTCTCATCTTCATCTTCTATCCCCATCTCATCATCTCCACGCTGCCCCCCCCCCCCCCCGCCAGTGTTGCTCTCTCATCTTCCTTCGCCCCCTTCTCCCTACGTCTCCTCCTCCCGTGCCCCCTCCTCCCCCCCCCCCCCCCAGTTCCCGACGGCGGCCGCGTGCGGGTGAGCGAGCGCAACACCACGGCGTTCCGCGCGACGTGGGCGCCGGCGCCGGGCCCCCCGCAGAGCTACCGCCTCACGTACCGGCCGGTGGAGCCCCCCGGAGACGGCGGGGGGGACGCCCCCCGGGGCCGCTCCGTCGTGATGCGGGTGCCTGGGAACGCCACGTCGGTGCCGCTGCGCCGCCTCAAGCCCGGCACGCGCTACAAGCTGGCGGCGACGCCGGTGTACGGTGGCTGGGAGGGCCGCGCCCGGCACGGGGAGGGGGCCACCGTCGACCGTGAGTGCGGCGCTGCGGCACGCTCGTGGGCCACGTTTATCGCGTTTGGTTAAAGAGAATTCAGTGCCGGTGTGAGATGGTATTTTTACGCCCGTTGTATTAGGCGCTGTGGGGAGGCGCAGCCAGGTGTGCAGTGTTTGAGAATGCTTGCAGCACTCGCGCTGTTGTCGAAGAAAAGTGGCAGGGCGATGGCCGCGGTGGAACATCGGGATGTCTTGACGGAGCGGTACGCGAAGCAGAACCGGCGCGCGAGCGAGCGCGTGTTGAGGGTTCAAACGAAGCCGTGCCAGCTGCAGGGAGGATGCCGTGAAGACGCAAGAGACCGCTGGCGAGGCCATGACGTATACGTGTTCGTGTCCTGCGCCGCAGCCACCAAGCTGAGGCCCCCTCGCAATCTGACGACGTCGGACGCGACGAGCAGCAGCTTCCGCGTGTCGTGGCGGCCGGCGCCCGGGGAGGTGACGGCGTACCGCGTGGCGTTCCACCCGGCGGGGGAGCGCGTGTCGCTGCGCGAGCTGCTCGTGAGCCCCGAGGACAGCAGCGCCGTGCTGCAGGAGCTCAGGCGAGGATCTCGCGCGCGCGGAGAGAACGAGGCGCTCGTTCGCGGTCGAGCGTAATACCGCCAGAGTTGTTGTCGCCCCTGTTCGGTCAGCGGTCCTCACCTGGGATGCGGGGGACAGGGGGACGGAGCCGGTGGTCACGTTCGCACCTCGTGCCGTCTCGAAGTCACCGCGTGCGCTCTAAAGCTCTGCTCTCTGGATGGGTTTCTCGTCGTTTGCAGCACGTGTTAGAACTGCCCTAGGCAGGGCCAAGCTGTTCCCTCCTACAGGGATGAGGGAGGGGGCTTGTCCTCACAAAGCCCCCGAGGCACAATGCGGCTGCAGTAGGCAATCAACGATGGCTGCTATGGATCTACCGCACTGACGATTACTAATGAGGGCCAAACCGTCTACATTGTTGTACAGTTGTATCATATTCTTAGCTCTTTCGGTAAAGTCACGTTGAAGGGAAACAATAAAATAATAAAAAATATATAAAAATATATATTTTTATTGTTTTAAAGCTTTCGTGACTGCAGTAATTAATATTCTTAGCTCTTTCGGTAAAGTCACGTTGAAGGGAAACAATAAAATAATAAAATATATATAAAAAATATAATTTATATATAAAATATATATTTTTATTGTTTTATATATATTTTATTATTTTATTGTTTCCCTTCAACGTGACTTTACCGAAAGAGCTAAGAATATTAATTACTGCAGTCACGAAAGCTTTAAATCAAATTTTTTACAGTTGTATCGTTAACATGTCCTCGTTCAACAAGGCTATTCCCACGTCTGCTGTATCTGAACCAGGTTGAGTTGCTTCCAGCGAGCAGTTGTGTGAAGAGCTTTGAAGAGTATTGATATGTTGGTGTGTGAATGTTGGTTTATGGACTGTTTACATTTTCCAGCTTATATCATTTGCTCACAGTTTAGTTTTACTTAATTGATGACACAATCTTTGATCTTTGATCCGGTGTATGTGTGTGTGTGTGCCGGTGTGTATGTGTGTTTGTGACGCACAGGTCTGGCACTCCGTACAAGGTGAGTGTGTTTGCAATGTACGAGGATGGGCCAAGCGAACCGCTCCTCGGCTCCGAGGTCACAACTCCCGACCTCCCTCCCGCCAACATTGAATGTGAGTAGCGCATATTGCACGTGCACGTGTGCAAACACGCGCGATGGCACGCACAAGTGCAGGAGAAGACTATTGACACAACCTCGGCTCACGATGGCGCATGCCGGCATGTGGGGGCACACGCATGTAGATACGCACACGCAAAAACTTGAATGTGAGCATGTGTAGCCCGTTTGTCAATCCACCGCTGACTTGGTCCTCCCCGGACCTGGGGTGGGGGTATCGTAGAAGATACTTGACCATACTTCACCACGCTGGTCAGTGTGGGTTGGTGAAGTTGTGGAGCATAGCATATCGTAGAAGATACTTGACCATACTTCACCACGCTGGTCAGTGTGGGTTGAAGTTGTGGAGCATAGCAGTAGAGTACAACTGTGCAATATTCGGCACCGCGCATTTGCTGCCCACTACGAAGCAGCTCAGTCTCTCTACCTGTTCTGCACGGTGGGCTCCCTCCAAGCGCTATCCAAGCTCACCCTGCTTACCTTCATTGAGACGCACCGAGGTGCTACCTCTTACAATAATTTGGTTCGTTTGGTTTATTTTTTTTCTGCAAAATCTTTTAGAAATTGGGCAACACGTGCCCATTTTGGGCGGTAACCCGGTTACCCCAATAGGCACCTGGCTACAGAAAAAGAAAACAAACACGAACGAAACAACTGTACACAATCATGCTCTGATTGGCATGGTCGTGTGTATCATCAATAGACTATTATTATTTATGATGCAGTTGCGTGCACGAACGCGTACGCACGCGTGAAGGCGCACAGGCGCGAACAGGTGCGTGCACGGGAATCCTCTTCCACCTGTACAATTTACAAACCGTGATGGCCAACCATTTCCCGGGCCCAGCTTTTATTCCTTTCAAAGCGGATTCCATACGCGCGGCACGACTGCCCAGACGATGCGCGCGTCGCGTCGTCTGCGGCGGGGAATCCCTGGGGACGTGCCCAAGAGGCGACCACCGCCCGCTTGGCTCGCCGCTTCTCGTCGCCAAATCATGAGCCCTCAGCCGGTGGGGGGGGGGGGGGTGGAAGCAGCCACTCACCGTGCGGGCGCTGCGTGGGTGTAGGCACCCCCAGCACATTTACAAGCGGCTAAAAGAGAAACCCACCAATATTTGTACGGAGAAAATCATGGCGCTGCGTTTTTTGTTTGTGAGCCTGTGATTTTCTCCCTTTGACAAGGTGACAAAAATGAATGCCGATGACAGAACCTTTAAGTACACAGTAGCGTGCTGATCTCGTCAAGGCGCACAGACCGTCGCGCGAACTCCGGTCATCCTCGCAGCTGCTTTTGACTCGCCATCGACCAAAGACGGCCACTGCATCGCGTGCTTTTCCTTTCAATATTAGGAAGCCACTGGTGCTATGCACTTTTACATATACATTGAAAACGAATGTCTTCAAAACTTATTTTTTTGTGTTTGTTTAGTTTGTTGCCCTTCCCCTGCACCTCCGATTAGCACGGTTGGCTACGTACGGTGCGAAAGAAGTTCAATATACTTACATAGAGTAGCGCATAGGCAGTCGGCTCAGCACTAGCCAGCCGGCAGCTGCGTAGACTGAATTGCATCACAGTGTAGCAGAACCCCTCTTGTCCATGGTGAAGTGGGGGGGGGGGTGGCGAACATCTCGGATCCGATCTCTAGCCAGTCAGATTTCACATCAACCGGCGCAGCGGGCTCCCGGCTGAGCACGTCCGGCTCCTCGGGAGATCGGTTGCTATCAAGCTCACCCCATTAGCTCACAGACACACAAGCCGCGGCACGAGCCGTGGAAAGTCGCGTTGACTGCTCGATTAACTGCCGCTTCTGCTGCTGATTAAAGCCAGGCGATGCGGCAGGGCATTCCGCGTGGTGAGGGTGGGGGGGTGTCCCAGCACACGGCAGGAGGGTCCGCCAGTCCCCCCCCTCCCTCTCCCCTCATCGGCCGTCTGAGTGAAACGGCGTCACCCAATTTATTTAGTGAATCACTTTGGTATTCACTGGAAACTCTGATTCATTATTATTGTTTTTGTTGTTGCCACTTTGGTGCGTATCATTGTGGCAGCTTCAGCTTCATGTTTGTTTAATTTTAAGTTTGCTGTGCGATGAGCAAATCGTTTGAAATGACCGAACGCACTCCAGGGATGGGACTTGAATCCACTCAGCTCATTCCCATCTGCCGATGCTGCATTCCATAGATGGTGCTGTATAAAATGTAAAAACGCCAATCCATCATAGTAAGGCGAACATACACCAGAGTCAGATCAGATGCCTGATGGCTGTTTTGGTAATGCTTTTGTGTGTGTGTGTATGAGCGTGAGTTCGCATGTGCGCATGTGAGCGCGAGGGTGTGCTCGTGCGAGCGTGAGTGCGTGTATCCGCGAGTGCGCGCGTGCGTGCGTGCGTGAGTGCGTGCGTGCGCTCGAATGCATCTGTTTTCTTGTTTGAGATCTTGTGGTCTTGCGCAGTGGTTCAGAGCAGGAGCATGTGGAGAGCTGCACCTCATTGACGATGGCTTGCAACAGCTGAACTCAACAGTGAGACGCGGGGCTGAGCACCCGGCGGGCTGCCTCGATCGCTGCCTGGACGGACGGGTGACAGGCTGGCGCGCTGGCCGGCTGGCAAAAGCCTGCCATACGCGCGCACGTCGTGCACGACCGCAGAAGAAAAATAATCCGCTTGCATCCGCTCATGACGGCATAACAACCTTCCCGAGACATGACTGCATGGAGCACCGCTGCCTAGAGAGAGAGAGAGAGCATGTGGCCCTAAAGCACTGCAAGCGCTCAAATAGGAGCGCTCCTAAATCCGCGGCGCCAATCGACGCGCAGCCCGTGATCATTTTTTACCCCGCTAACCGCATTTACTTTTCGCCCAGCGACACTGGCCACTCTCATTAAATGCTCTGCCTGCTCGCCCGGCGTCTCGTGCCTTCATGCTTTGCCTGCTCCCCTGGCCTCCGGCCCGGCCTGGGCCCCGTCCCAGCCTGGCTGAGCTCCGTGCCGCCCACCACCCCCGAGCATGGAGAGTGCCGCTCGCTGCCGATTGCGTCACCGCCAGCGTCCACTTGCCCAGGATAACCCCTCTCCCGAACGGCGCTCAGAAGTAGGCAGAACGTCGCGTGCAGCGTGCACGTGTGAGTACGTGTGCGTCTCTGAGTGGGTGAAAATGTCTACGTGTGTATTTGTTTTTGTCTTATGTGTGCGCGTGTAATTGCACGTTTTTATTCATTTGTTTCTTTGTATGTTGGTCGTCGGATACACATGCATTTGTTTGGTGTGTACGTATGTGTGTTCATGTGTATTCCCTACGTGTGCGTGAACCTCACATGATACTGAGCTTCCAGTGTAGTGAGCGACCCCGGGATGGATGCCTTGCGGGCGTTCATGAACGATGAGCTCCGGTGTTCGCGGGCAGTGACCCCTATGCGGAGACTCAGTCGGCGGCCCCCCTCACACGCACATTGGGCAGCTCTGGCTGTGACCGGTGTCCGGCAGGGCCAATCTAAAATTTACTGGGCCCAGCCAAAATCCCGTTATCTGCTCGTACCAAATATATACAAATTATATTTTTAGTACATTTGCTATTTTCGCCATTCTTGAAGTATAAGGCTATCTTGAGGACGCCAGTTCAGGGGCCATATTGCCACGTGGTTTTAACAAATGAGTATTCAAATTGCCAAATTTGGACTGTGGCGCCGGCACATGTAGCCTACTCTTTTGAATAACGTCATGGGAACCTTTAACGTCCTCTGTACCTTTGGTTAACACGGCCACAGTATTAACCAGGGCAGTCACCGGGCTCGAACCGTGAGGCACTGAAACAAGCGGCAAACGTGCCACTACTGCCCTGCCACATTAGCGTATCGTGCGTTCGAGCCTTTAAACCCGGACGTCGTCACAGGGGATGCCGGCGTGCAAAGCGCCGAGGGGGGGGGGGGCGACGATACGGACGAGGTGTCTCCCCCAGGGCCGCACCGTCACGATCCCCCCCCCGCCCCCCCACCCCCGACATCCCCCCCCCCCGCTCGCCGCAGTGTACGAATGCGCCAGCTCGGCCGTGGCCGACATCGTCATCCTGGTGGATGGCTCCTGGAGCATCGGCCGCCTCAACTTCCGCCTCGTCCGCCAGTTCATCGAGCAGCTCGTCAATTCGTTCGACATCGGGGACAAGATCCGTGTGGGTGAGCGGCAACTGTCAGGGGCGGAAGACGGCGCACCTCGCACCGTGCGCATTCCTAGCTGCTAACGGCACCAAAAAGCTCTGCCGCCGCCGCCGCCGCTCTTTCTGCCCATGGGAAAAGCCGGTGCTGGGGCAGGGGGGGAAAGGTGTAATTGCACTTGGAGTAGTGCTACAGCTGTGCGAGGAATCGGGGTGCATTGTCCTAATTACATTGGCTCTGTTTTTGTTGGACGTGCACAAGCCGCGCAGATACCGAGCTCCGGTGAGAAACCCCATGCTTCGTGTCACACCGCCGGCGCTCGCGCTCGCGCGCGGGCACTGTCGGCACAATCAAAAGAAATCTGCAACGTCGCAGGCGTGGGCATCCGTCGGCAATGAGACGCACGCACCAAGCGGTGCCCTGTGCACCATCACCCCACCCCCGCGCGCGCGGGACACAGGCGCAGCCAGGGACGCACGCCACGCGAGCGGCCCACGCTCTCGGCTGCTGCGTGTTCGGGTCGTAGAGTCTCTTTAGGAAATAAATCGGTCCAAATCTGAATTAGATTTCAAATCGAGATTGACATTGGCTCACTTCCTCAAGAAGCTCGCGGTGCGCGGAGCAACCCGAAAATACAACGGAGAGGCGCGCAGTAGCACAACCGCAATCACCTGTGCAGCAGTGTCAGAGTCGAAATATGTATTTATCCTGGAGAAATCCGATGAGCTATGAAGCCATTTTTCACACGTGTCCAGTAGAGGAGGATCAGGCAACACAAAAAAAACAATAGGAGTGCAAAGTATAGGGAAGGTAAGCAAATCACTAAAAATATATAACTAAAGCACAAATAGGTAAGGCTCACTGAGCTATAGAGCTCTTTTTCAAAAGCCACCTGACTCAAATGATAGCTCTACAAAGTGGCTTATCATGTGGAAATGTATAGCAGCCAAATAATCTAGGTATCGTTCTAAATGTCGAGGGAAAAACCGGAAAACCCGAAGAAAAAGTCCCCGCGACCACGGGGAGAACATGCATACTCCAAATACACATGCGTCAGGGTCGGGATCAAACCCCTGACCTGCATACCAGGCAAGGAAGATAACATCAAATTGCATAAGTACATCTCATCAATTCCCAAGCTTGGGCAAGGCAGCAAAACAACAGCAAAACAGTCCCAGCCCACACCAAGACAACACACAGTACCTCAATACAATTGCACTTTCAAATGTATCTATCGATACATGGGTAAGGATCAAAGTTGCAAATCACTTTTGCCAATGTGGTAGCACAAGTATCGAGCGATACAATAACAGAACACAGCGCTTGTTGGTATGAACATGGTCCGGTGGGCATGTCGGCGCATCTCCCATCTTGTCACGTGGCCACGGGGTTGGCGGATCATGCCAACACCATCGTGGCGACCCCAGCCCGTCGGGCCGCAAGGTTACCCCTAGTAGGAGGCAGCATGGCAAGCGGGTTGCTGACGGCTTCTTTTGAAGACGCGATCGCACACGATCACAGTCGGGCAGCTGCATAATCGAGAACACCCACACACCGCCTGCACAGGTGACTGGAGACACGGCCCTCTGCATACGGATTCGTGAGATCGATAACGTTAAAGAGAATGTTCAAGCGGCTTTGCGAGTGGTGAAAACAATAATAGTGCATGGTGCGGACTGTTTGTGGTTCAAATGAGCAGCACTACCATCTCAGTTCCCTGATTAACCCAACCATTTTTTTTACTAAAACGCTGTGCGTGAACATCAATACAAAATAAATATAAAATGACAAGCGCTTGCATATTTATCACTGCGAGTGCGTGTCCCTGAGCGGTCATGCGCACGTGTGCGTGTATGTGTTTGGCCGTACACGCGTGTTTACGATGCAACTGATCATGCAGACCATTTGCAGTTTGGTATCTAGACGGAATCTGGGGCTCCCCGAGTTTAACTTGGCCTATAACAATTACCGGGGGCATTGCCGGCCAAACGGGTGCTCTCATAACGGCGCTTTCTCGCAGCGAATCCCAACGGGAGATCTTCATCATCACGGCGCTCACTGGCGCGCACGTGCGCGCGTCTGCGACAGGTCTGGCGCAGTACAGCGGAGACCCCAGAACGGAGTGGAACCTCAACAGCTTCTCTACGAAGGACACCACCCTGGAAGCCGTGCGCAACCTGCCCTACAAGGGGGGCAACACGCTGACAGGTGCGGAGTTCACCCCGCGGCAGAGACCCATAGACTAGCACAGAGACCCATAGACATGAAGACCCATAGACTAGCACAGAGACCCATAGACATGAAGACCCATAGACTAGCACAGAGACCCATAGACTAGCACAGAGACCCATAGACACGCAGACCCATAGACTAGCACAGAGACCCATAGAGACGCAGACCCATAGACTAGCACAGAGACCCATAGACATGAAGACCCATAGACTAGCACAGAGACCCATAGACGCAGACCCATAGACTAGCACAGAGACCCATAGACACCAAGACCCATAGACTAGCACAGAGACCCATAGACATGAAGACCCATAGACTAGCACAGAGACCCATAGACATGAAGACCCATAGACTAGCACAGATACCCATAGACTAGCACAGAGACCCATAGAGACGCAGACCCATAGACTAGCACAGAGACCCATAGAGACGCAGACCCATAGACTAGCACAGAGACCCATAGACACGCAGACCCATAGACTAGCACAGAGACCCATAGACACGCAGACCCATAGACTAGCACAGAGACCCATAGACACGCAGACCCATATACTCACATAGAGACCCATAGACCAACACAGATATGCATAGACTCATAGAGAGGCCCAGAGACTGGCACGGCACGGTGTTCCATCCACTGCAGACATTGAGGGTCCCCGAGAGTGCCTGGGTCATGGGAGTGGGGGTCGTCACTTCACCCTCGGCCACACGCGCGCCACCTATGGGGTTAAAGGAATCGCTGGAGTGCGGTTCTGTGCGAAAGAGCTGCTGCCATGCCTTGGTGCTTATTTCATTCATCCATTGATTTTGTTGGCAATTCAAATATTTCACCTGGAATATCCCTTCCTTGAGATGGAACGTTTCATTTGCCAGGGTCCCCAGGGTGTTGATTGACACCTACATAGCAAACGCGTATCGACGCGTATACACGCAGAACATGCTTGTCAACAAGGACACTCAATTGATTTTGATAACATTGAAGTGTTGTGTAAAACTAATTATTACTGGCAAAGACTAATTAGAGAATCCATTGAAATTGAGAGAAACAGAAATAACTTTAATCGTTCTGATAGCTATAGGCTTAGTGCAGCTTGGAAGCATATTATTAAATAATACATATTACAATTCCTTATAGGAGAGACATTAATTAACGGATTACTAATGTAGCATATAATCACAATAACACACATTACAACTACTTACTAATTTACAACTCATTACTAATCATAACCATTGACTGATTACCAATCGATTATATAATTATAATACCCCCCTCTGCCTCAAATCATTGCACCTGACATGAGTTAAATGATGACGTCACCCTGCTGCTCTATTTAAGACCGAGAGCAAGTGAGGGCTTTACCATTCTGGCGAATTGTCCGATGATGCTGGATGTAATTACCAGCGAAACGTCGTACTCAAACTGTAAATGTTGTGGATTCACTCTTCAACACACCGGTGGGCTAAAGTAGTGAACTAATTGTCTTTTGTCAACGTGACATTTTTTTGCTGATTGGCCGTGTCGGGTGGTGGAGGGTTACGACACATTTATAAACAACGCGATCTAACCCAAACATCTTTATTATGAACGCATGTTACATATATAACGCGTATCGAGGCGTATACACGCATGTTACATATATAACGCGTATCGAGGCGTATACACGCATGTTACATATATGACGTTCACAGCATGCATTTACATAGTGGAGATAGACGCTGTTGGGATAAACTCTCTGAGTATAGAGTTGGCTGTTGGGCACTTCAGAAGGAGATTTGAGTTTTGCTTCTCCGGGCTGAAGAGTACTCTAAGAGGTGTCCAGAGACTCTACTGGGAGACGGAGGAACTCGTGAATTGGAGAACATGCGCAGGCTAATCACATAATTGTTAAAACTGGTAGACACACATCTCAAAGGGATGACGGCCGATCATCCAAGGCAACAATAATAGCTGAGTGGCATCCAAGTAATCGATCGCGTGGAGAGAATTCTAGCCGAAGCGATGGTGCGATGAAAAATCAGCTCGTCAGAAGGTTCTTGGAAGATTGTTAAATTTGCAGGATAATGAGGTGTGGCAATAGCTTGTGGAGGATTTCATCCAGCGGTCGATTGATCATGACTGATGATGATGACTCGAGCAATCCGAAGCACGTCAGCTGAAGCCATTTCCTAGCATGCCAGCCTGGCCGCAGCCCCACACGACACGACGTAGTCGGGCGAGGGTGCACACGCGCGGGCACCGGTTGACGGTGGTGCGTACCGCGGTGGTGTTGCGCGCTGGGACGCAGGGCTGGCGCTCACCTACATCCGCGAGAACAGCTTCACGCCGGATGCGGGCGCGCGGGAGGGCGTCAACAAGATCGGCATCCTCATCACGGACGGCAAGTCGCAGGACGAGGTGTTCGGGCCCGCGGACAGCCTGCGCGCCAACGGCGTGGAGCTCTTCGCCATCGGTGAGCGAGAGAGAGAGAGAGAGCGCTAGAGAGAGCACTAGAGACTTTTTTAAACAACTTGTATTGCCACCAGCAGCAACAGCACTGGAGGCGATTTCGATACGAAATACACAGTCACCAATAAACAAATAAACAAACGCTATACATCCACGCGCTGTGGCGCTAAATGCAGCGCGCACAACACAATAAAAGTCACGTGGTGGTGGTGGTGGTCATCGCACACACCACGGCGACGAGCGAGCGCTTCAGCAGGTGAACATGAGGGTGCCGTCCAGTACAGAGGGCTTTTCCGGCCCCCCAACGTTCGAAGAAGACGCGCACATCACCGGCATGTGTTTGGTATGCGTGCTCCAGTCGGAGCCGCGCCTTGAGCAGGCCCCTGAACGCTGGAAGCACCACAAAGCAGCCAGAGCAGCCATCAATGTCTCGTCTTGTACACCACCATCTTCGCCTGAGCACAGGCGAAGTTGGCGAGGTCATGGCGCTTGTTAGCCGGGTAAGGCACCACCCCATATACGAAGCCGCTGTTATAGAAGGGTACCCCCAGTTTCCTGAAGATGTCCCCCAAAAGGCGGAACATTGGTTTGAGCCGCTGGCAGCATAAGTACGAGAGAGACAGAGCGAGAGAGACAGAGCTAGAGAGAGAGAGAGAGACAGAGCTAGAGAGAGAGACAGAGCTAGAGAGAGAGACAGAGCTAGAGAGAGAGACAGAGCTAGAGAGAGAAAGAGAGACTGAGCTAGAGAGAGAGACAGAGCTAGAGAGAGTAACAGAGCTAGAGAGAGAAAGAGAGACAGAGCTAGAGAGAGAGACAGAGCTAGAGAGAGAGACAGAGCTAGAGAGAGAGAGACAGAGCTAGAGAGAGAGAGAGACAGAGCTAGAGAGAGAGACAGAGCTAGAGAGAGAGACAGAGCTAGAGAGAGAAAGAGAGACAGAGCTAGAGAGAGAGACAGAGCTAGAGAGAGAGACAGAGCTAGAGAGAGAAAGAGAGACAGAGCTAGAGAGAGAAAGAGAGACAGAGCTAGAGAGAGAAAGAGAGACAGAGCTAGAGAGAGAAAGAGAGACAGAGCTAGAGAGAGAGACAGAGCTAGAGAGACAGCTAGAGAGAGAGACAGAGCTAGAGAGAGAGACAGAGCTAGAGAGAGAGACAGAGCTAGAGAGAGAGACAGAGCTAAAGAGAGAGAGAGAGCTAGAGAGAGAGACAGAGCTAGAGAGAAAGACAGAGCTAGAGAGAGAGCTAGAGAGAGAGACAGCTAGAGAGATATATACAGGGCGAGGAAGGTAGCCCTTGAGGGGCAACGTCCAGCCAGCAGCCTGGGCATCTTCCGCGCTCTGGTCGAAGCCAGGGTGTGGCTGGAGTTCCGCCATGCGCGGCTGACCCACGCCGTGCCGGCCTTCAAGGAGCAGTGGGCGCTGGAGGAGGCCGTGTGCTCGGTGGCAGATGACGGTAGAGAGCTCTGCATGCAGATCTAAGCTACCCGTCGGAGGCCGTTTGACTGTGGGAAGGGCTGCGTGCAGGTGCAGCACTTGTCGTAGTTATAAAAAAGAGAGAGTGAGCGAGAGAGAGCGAAATGGAGTAGGAAGAGAGGGGGCAGAGAGAGAGGGGGGTAGAGAGAGAGGAGGGGCAGAGAGGGGGGTAGAGAGAGAGAAGGGGTAAGGAGAGCAGAAAAAAAGAAAAAATTGTTGGGTCTTTCATTTAAAGGGAGGGGGGGGGGGGGGGTTACATAAAGCAAAACATAAAAAACAAAAAAACTAAATGATGAACGGAGCAAAGTGCCGACTACACCGAGCACCTTCTTGTTTCCTCTGATCGTAAAAAAAGAGAGAGACAGAGCGAGAGAGATAGAGCTAGAGAGAGAGAGAGAGACATAACGAAAGCTAGAGAGAGGGAGAGCTAGGGAGGAAGAGCTATAGAGAGAGAGAGACAGAGCGAGAGAGAAAGCGGCAGTGGCCTGCAGCCGTAGGCGGCGAGTGGCGCGCTCGCTCGCCGCGAGGTTCGCGTGAGCGAGTGGTTGGTGAGAGCACCGCCCCGAGTCGGTTTTGTTGGGGTGACTTCTTCAGCAAGTAAATGGATACAGGTAGACTCAGGTAAACAGGCAGAAAACCCTCCTTAAACATCAATGTCCACAAAATGTCTGTGACATATTTACGTGCATGTGCCAGTTTTTGGCAATCTACTGCTGGATGAGGGCCTCCTCCCCACGTCGTGTGGGTCGCGGGCGTCATTGTGAGCGGACTTCACCACGCTGGTCAGTGCGGGTTGGTGAGGGAGAGGACAGACTTGGGAGCATAGAAACACAGTACAACAATGGCTTCTGCCACACTGCTATATTAACCTCTTGTGAACGGTGGTTGCCCATCCAGTCTCAATCCGCACCTTTGATTAGCACGGTTGGCTACGTACAGTGCGAAATAAGTTCAACGTACTCTACATACATGCAATCCTGCTTATATCTAATTTAAAAAAACTCGACACGCTCTTCTTCATAGTCTGCGACCCTTCTTCACAGTCTGCGCGACAGCACGCGTTGTTGACGAGTGTATTGAGATCTTGTAAAACTTGCTTGTGCACCACTGCCGACGCAGCAGCAGCAGCAGCAGCATCGCCAAATCATTTGTTGAGATCTGACGAGAGACGGGGCGCAATTCCCGGTGACGTGGCGATTCGGTTCCCTCTTTCCGCCGGGATTGTTGCGCCGTGTATCTGCGCGTGCGTGCGTGCGCGCGCGTCTCGCTCACTGCAGCTCCAGCACAGGTGTCCTCCTCGCAGAAGCTCACGACGGGCGCACAAGCATCCAGGGGGCGTAGGGCGTGGAGGAATCCCACAACCACGGAGTCGTCGCCCCACATGCACGTCGCAGCTCCCGTCGCCGAAACTAAACTATAAGCACAACTATTTTTGTTTTAACTAAACTATTTTAACTAAACTATTTTTATTTTAACTAAACTATTTTTTATTTTAACTCAACTATATTATTTTAGCTAAACTATTTTTATTTTAACTAAACTATATTTATTTTAACTAAACTTTTTATTTTAACTAAACTTTTTATTTTAACTAAACTATATTTATTTTAACTAAACTATATTTATTTTAACTAAACTATTTTTTTTTTATTTAAAGCTTTCGTGACTGCAGTAATTCATATTCTTAGTTTTTTCGGTAAAGTCACGTTGAAGAGAAACAACAAAATAATAAAATATATATAAAACAATAAAAAAATTCTCACGACGTTTCGACCATAACTCAAACGGTCATCTTCAGGTGTGTTGGTTTGCATAAATTAATAGTTTAGTTAAATTTATGCAAACCAACACACCTGAAGATGACCGTTTGAGTTATGGTCGAAACGTCGTGAGAATTTTTTATTGTTTTATATATATTTTATTATTTTGTTGTTTCTCTTCAACGTGACTTTACCGGAAAAACTAAGAATATAAACTATTTTTATTTCAACTAAACTATTTTTATATTACCAGGTAAGGCCCACTGAGCTATGTCTCTCTTTTTCACAAGCGGCCTGACCACAAATGATCGCTCAACGAAGTAGTTTATCACGTGGACATTAATAGCAGCCAAATAATCTAAACGCATCTAAATGTGGAGGGAAACACCGGAGGACCTGGACAAGAAATCCTCGCGACCACGGGGAGAGAGACGTGCAAACTGAAAACATACAGCAGGTGTCAGGCTCGGGATTGAACCCGCGACCTGTCCACCAGGCAAGGGAGTTAACATCTCCGAGCCGCCTCGGTGCCTGCGTGCGGGAAGCCTGCCGGGCGGGCCGCACAGCTGCACGATATTACCGGGGAATGTGCTGCTGTTTCTCTGGGGTGCCACACCTGCAGCTCCCGTTCGGGGTGCGACAGGGCACGGGGGGGGGGGGGGGGTGCTTGGCAGTGTCAATCAACGGGCGAGGCCGCGGAGGAAGACAAATGGGAGACCCCCCCCCCTCCTCCCCACTTTGCTCCCAGTGGGCATCTATAGAGCGAAGGCAACACTCAACACATTGTGTCAATAACACTGTGGTCTTGAAAGTAAAAATACGTAATAGGGGACGTTTCAGGCAATGGGCCCTCTTCATAGCACATGTAAAGATATAGAGCCCAGAGGAGTACAGTGGTTAAGAGTTGGAGACTGAATTTTACTAGGGGGCATTGTCTAACCCTTATCCACTCTCTGGCCTCTCTATTCATGTGGTTTGAAGAAGCTTTCAAAAAGCGCGTTCCTCCTTCACAAGGGTTCCTCCTTCACGAGGGTTCCTCCTTCACGAGGGTTCCTCATTCACGAAGGTTCCTCCTTCACGAGGGTTCCTCCTTCATGAGGGTTTCTCCTTCACGAGGGTTCCTCCTTCACGAGGGTTCCTCCTTCACGAGCATCCCTCCTTCACGAGGGTTCCTCCTTCACGAGGGTTCCTCCTTCACGGGCGTCCCTCCTTCACGAGGGTTCCTCCTTCACGAGGGTTCCTCCTTCACGAGGGTTCCTCCTTCACGAGCGTTCCTCCTTCACGAGCGTTCCTCATTCACGAGGGTTCCTCCTTCATGAGCATCCCTCCTTCACGACGGTTCCTCCTTCACGAGGGTTCCTTTTGGCGTCGTTCTCTGGTCTGCTAACTCAAAGTGATATTGACGAACGTGTTGAGTTTGTAGTTATGTTCGATTTAGCACCATAGTCAATGCAGCAGCAGCGTCACCAGATTAATGTGTTTAACGAGAGCGGGCATAGATTGTGGGCATTTTGTGCAGGTTCAAAAAATCACTCCGAAGCAGAGCTCGTATTTTAATGCAAATGTCAGGGATTCTAAGAGCACGTGCCTGGAATTAATTTGTTTATAAGTGCCCCGTTATTAAATTTTGACTTAAAACTTTCGTGACTGCAGGAATTCATATTCGATGGTTCTTTCGGTAAAGAACTATAGAATATGCCCCGTTATTTTAAAAGGAGAAAAAAGAATAACAATAAAATAATACAAATGAAAATAAAGTGAATAAAAAATATCACGACGTTTGGATCGCAACACAAGCAATCGTCATCAGGAGAAAAAAAAAACGATCGCTTGTGTTGTGATCGAAACGTCGTGATATATTTTTTATTCACTTTATTTTTTTATTATTTTTTTTTATACGTGACTTCACCGAAATAACTATAGACTATGCCCCGTTATTTTAAAAGGAGCCCCTCTGCTTTTGCCCTCTTGAGAATTGTGCCAGAGCACAATTTCTCTGCCAGGTGGCCTCACTTGAACCCTTTGCTTCAGCCAATAAAATCCCCCATAAATGTCAAGAGCCTGTGTGGTGGCACCCACTATCACTGCCCTGAGCTCCCCACGCCTTCTCTTCTTGATCCCCATCTGCTGTTTTCTTCTTTCATTCTCGCAGAGGTTGAATAGGCGGTCGCTCAGAGGGGGTTTCAGTTCGCAGCTTTCCTCCATGCGTGAATCGGTGCGGCCACGATGAATTATCCGAGCCGGGCACGGGTGGCACGGGGGTTGGCGCCCGTCGAATCCGTCTCGATAGAACGCAGGATCTTTGTCGTGGTTAGGTGGAGTGCCCGAGGCTCTGTGCGCACGCAGGTGTCCGTGCATCATCGGTCACCTGGCGAGTGCTCTGCAGATAAAGGGTGATTTATTGTACAGATTCCTCATTGCGATCTTAGGGAGGAATTATAGAGAAAGTGAAACCTCTGTGTGTCTCCCACCAATCTCAAAGCACATTAAATCGGCTGACGCTCTGCTTTGTAATGTACGGAGCCATTGCTTAAGCGATATTCAGTGTTGTATCCATGAACGGATTAGTATGTACCAATGGACAGTGTTCATGCGGTGAGCACTATTCACTCACGGCAACATCTTCGTATCGCTTGACCCGATTGCAATTACTGTGTCATTGCCAAGCACCTTTACCACTAAAAATGATCCCACGTGGTAACAGGTGACGTCACTTTGTCAGAATGTCCACACGTGATTTATGTTAATGATCCGAACATTTAAAAGAGGATCCAACATCCTTATATTTCTAAAAATCCAATAGTGATAAAAATGCAAAACTCATTATTCAGTCTGGTGTTCACACAACGCTGCTCCCACAGGTCAACGTATTCCCAAACTGCCGTGTTTACGCACAGCACTGTGCGGAATAATGGCACAACGATCAACAACGCACGTGCAAGTGGACGTGTTACACGCGTACACCCCTTTGCATCAATCCGCTGTTGTACGAGGGCCTCCCCCACGCCGTGCGGGTCGTTGGGGGGGTTGTTTGACCGTACTTCACCACGTTGGCGGGCGTGGATTGGTGAAAGCGGTGAGCGTGGACGCCTGCAGCGTAGTACAGCAGGACAAATGGATTATTGTTGCGCCGCTGTTGTCCGTGGCGCGGCGTCTCTTCGCGTGGCTTCCCGCGGCAGCGTCGGCCGACCGTTGGCAGCTCGCCAGCCTGCGGGTGGCGGTAGTGCTCGCCGTATCCGGCGCTTGAGCCCCGTCCGCAGCGTGCGTGTCCTCCGCTCGCCCAGGCGTGAAGAACGCGGACGAGAACGAGCTGAAGCAGATCGCCACCGACCCCGACGACACGCACGTCTACAACGTGGCGGACTTCAGCGCCATGGCCACCATCGTGGGCAGCCTCAGCAAGACGGTGTGCCGCAGCGTCGACTTCCCCGGTGGGTGGCCGCGTCCCGTCTCTCGGTACTCGTGCGCTCATCACCCCGGCGACCGTTTTGACACTTCTGCAGCTTGATGTTACTCGTACTCTTTTGAAGTAATTTGTCAGAGTCAAGTTTCGCTTCCAGGAAATGTATTTTACGGAATGACATAACCGATATTAAGTCCACAATCCATGGGACTGTTTTGCCAATATCAAAATGATGGAAAAATTAGAATAGGCTTTACCCTTTCTGGCTATAAATCATATGTCCAAACACCAAATAGACACCCTTTTGCAAGGTATCAAGTCTGCATTATTTTTGATGTATTCTGGAATCCCCTGATTTCTGTTTGCTTCATTGCTGTTGTTACTTTTGGCATTTTGGTGACCTCGGTTCCTCTTGCAGATGAGAATATCCTGGTCTCCTTCGGCCTCGCCAGGTTTAACAAAACCAACTTGAAATGTCAGGCCACAGCGCAGTACAATGTGGATTTGTATTTCGTATAAATGCGACCTGATCTCAAGGCACAGCAGCAGTCAGCGTATTTATTTTATGGAGAAACAGAGGCAGTCAGTCAGAGAATCTCTTCAGTCTGAACCTGAACAGGGGAAGATAGTCAACAGCACGGATGCAGTTCCATACTGTGAGGGTAGCAAAAGAGAATGAGCAACATTGTAGCTTGGTGTCACCTCTGTCATTTGTACCTTCGGCTGAGAAGGGGTCGAATTGACGGAGCTGAGGAGTCTTTAACCTGCATGCGATGGCCACTGAGAGGCTGCACTACGGCTTGACTGGCCGTCGCTCAGCGCAGGCGTAGAGAACCATGAGCCGAGTGTGGCCCGTGATTTAATTTCACAGAGCCCACGTCCACATGAGGCCAACCGGTTTACTATTCCAGATTTAAAGCTTTCGTGACTGCAAGGATCCATACTCTTTGGTTCTATTGGGTAAAGTCATGGGTATTTTTTACCTATGTGACTTTACCCAATAGAACCAAAGAGTACGGTTTACTATTGTCTAGCAAATATTATATAACAATCACTCCCGAGCATTTTATCTGCACTGATTGGGTACCAGAGAGGGATATCTTTGACCTGGCAACACTGGGTTTCCACTTTTTTTCATGCCCTGTCACGTCTGTCACTGCGAGGGCCTCCTGCAGTGACAGAAGTGATTGAGCCGTGTTCATGTGGGACCCCGCCAAAGGTGTTTTAAAGTCCTGTTTGGCCTCAGTAAGGAATAGTTTCCCACTCCTGTTTGAGGGGAATGTGGGTTATGGGAACTTTCTAAATGAGCTGGAAAGGAATAGAATGATTGATCATTTAACAAAAAAAAACTGTGCAATGAAATTAACTTGGGACACATTTATATCAAATAGTTTGTGATGCTTGAAATAAAACATCATGAGGCACCAAAATTTAAGACATGGCCAGACCACAAAACTATACCAGAGATGGGCAAATTATTAGCATTTTATATTATTTTTAAGTATATGAACATTTTGTATTTCGTTATGGGTTGGTTTTTTTCATATCACAAACCACAACCGGAGCCCTCAGCCCAAACTCTGAGTGATTTATGTGAATGTCTTACCATACATGCAGCCATTTTATGGGCCACGGTCTTAAATAACTGGACTCAGAGCTAAGATTACGGTTGAATAAGGAATGCTTAAAGCTACGCAAATATTTCCATTAAAATCTTGAAGATCATAAACACGTCACATTCCGCAAATAATTTCCAGGGCTCTAGTGCTAATGTCAGGTCTGACTCGGTTTTCCCATGATGAGCTCCCCCTCAATAAGGATTTCCATCCAATGGTCCTTTGGCCAATCCTGATAAATCCACGAGGTGCTAAAAGTAGGTGGACACGCGCTGGCAGTTGGCAGTAAATGTTGGTAGAGCTGACTCATTCGGTCAGGCCAATGGAGCCCTTGTAATCGACCACAAGACAGCTGTCCAGCTGGTCGAGCCGATCGTGGAATTGCCCCGGCAGCGATGACGACGACGCCGTGCCGTTTACAGGAGGGGCAGACCCCCCGCCCGGCGCTCCGCTCGACCTGGTCACGTCGGAGGTGACGACACGGAGCTTCCGCGTGACGTGGACACCGTCGCCCGACCCCGTGGATCAGTACCGCGTGGTTTACTACCCCCTGGGCAGCGGGGGCTCCCCCCTCGAGGTGAGGGGAGGGGCGGCAGGGCGAGGGGCGACGGGGTGAGGGGCGCGCTCGGCCAGCGCAGCGGGGCAGACGTCATTGTAGCTTGGCTCTCTCCAATGCCTTTTCTGTTTTCTGTTGTATTTTCAGGCTTTTTTTTTTTACCAGGTAAGGCCATTCTGATAGCTGAACTAAGTGGCTTATCACGTGGAAATGTATAGCAGCCAAATTCTTTATTAAATGCTTGATGTTGATCCTAAATGAGGAGGGAAAAAAATCGGAGGACCTGGAGAAAAATCTACGCAACCGCGGGGAGAGAGACATGCACACTGCAAATATACAGGCGTCAAGAACTCACGACCTCCTGTATACCAGGCGAGGTAGTTAACGAGTTTCTGGACGTTTCTTTGCACGTGCTGGGGAGCTGGGGAGCTTCCCAGCATGTGGGGCGACACGCGGTACAATACGAAAACACTTGGGCCAGCCGTACTGAACCTGCGCAATGACGTCATTGTGGTTTGGCGAGACCTCGTGGTGGACTAGGCAAGTTGTGCCAAATGTCGCACAAAGGAAGCTGAATTCTACTGACGGCCTTCTGTCAAATCACCTCCCGATAAAGACCTCCCCATGCCCTGCTGGTCACGGCGGTTGTGTGACCATACTTCACCAAGCTTGTCAATGGGGGTTGGTTTAAGAGAGGGTGGCTGGAATCAGTTAATTCGTCACTCACCAGGTACGGGAGCACAGTGCGGTGACCTCCGAAGGCGCTTCACTGCCAAGGGTGGATCTGATCATCTCTGAAGCCTCGTCACGGGTTGGGCTGCTGGGTCCAGGTCTCGTCACCGCGCTAGTTACAGAGCTATGCATACTGGATGTACACAATGCGTGTAAGATTTGTGGTTTCCGTGGCTGGTATGCTAGTAGTGATCACTCTTGCCTCTGAGTCAACCGCCACAGTCAGCGATTTAATTTCTTAAATTCGTTACCATAATATTTACCTTGATTATTACTCAACTGTAAACTTATTCGTAATAGTGTTGACAACTGCTTGTTTGTATCAACGTTGATGTTGCTGATTATTTATGTTAAGCTTTGGTTGAAGATCTCATTCATCTGACTGACAATAGCTGGCAGTGTTTGCGGCACTGTCGATTGACTTTGATGACGTGAAGCAGGGTATTGATGTGATGGTCGTTGTGCTCAATGTGATTGCTGGGATTATGAACTTCTCTTTGAGTGTCGCTCAAGTGAAATATATAAAAGCTTTTTGTCACACTAACTATGAATTCGCTGAGGAAACAATTCCAGCCTTTACTGTCTCTATGTCAATAACACAGGAATGGTTCAAATGTTCAAACGCCATATAGACACCTCTTGCAAAGCATCAAGTCTACATTAACCACACATCATGCTTGTGGTAAAACAAACATGCTTTGATAATGTACGCATTGTCCTTGGAACTGATTGGCCTACACCAGATATAGCCTCCTTCATAGCCTTGCTCAACCCGTGTTATGCTATTTGCATTGCCTTTGGTCTGTTGGCTTTTGGCTTTCTCTGATCTACCACCAGTGGAGACAAGGCCGTACAGAAGCCTGTCTCTTGTGTAGGCCAATCAGTTTCAAGGACAATGCATACATCATCAATGGATGTTTGCATGTTTTACCACAAGCATGTGTGGTTAGTGCGGATGTGATGCCTTCCAATAGGTAACTATTTGGTGTTTGAACATCTTAAAACTTCCTGTTTTATTACCAACAAAGGTAAAGCCGATTATTGTTTCATAGGTACGGTGCAAAATAATTTAAACATATGTACAAACATCATCTTGATACTGACAAAAAGGGTCCCATAAATATGAATTCGCTGCTGTGGATTGCCATTTTGCACGAGCATCTGTAACAGCGAAATTAATCTCAGCGGGCCTTCCTGATAAACAAAACACAATATAACGAGCTACTTAATAACAAGCCTGCTTCTGAGTCGACGGTGAAGCGTGTGCAGGCGTTGGCCGTAGCAGTTCCTGTGGTGGCCTCCTGCACCCAACACCCGTGCACGTCCCATGAGCCCTGTTGCTTAAGCTCAATGAGGTGGCCACCTGGCTCGGAGGTCACAGCACTGAGCTGGCACCCGCTGAGGTCCTTTGTTCCAATCCAGGCAGTCGCTGGCTGGGTTCTCAAGAGTAGTGAGTTGATGGTCTCAGTCTCGTGGCCAATGACTGCACACAAAGTAACATCATATTCCACTTGAGTCTTCGGTCAGTGCAGCTAAATTCGGGTCCTGAGAATATAACATCGGTTTGACGACTCCCAGTTGTAGAGTGAGAAAGTGCTGCCCTCTGTAATGTGGACGACCAGAGGTCACCTGAAGGGATCTCAGAGGTAGCTCAGTGATATCCGCTTCTGTGGGTCGTGTCGTTCTCTCACATGAAGGCGGTGGCACTGCTCTGCGAGAGCCCCGGATGGATTGTTTTGTCTGATGACACCGACTGCACAATTGGGATCGAGTTGTGGGGAAAAGATAACATTCATAAAAAATCTAATTTTCTCATTCCGATTGCCCAACTAATATCCTGTTTCACCAACTTCACTGATGTCTGTAATGGAATGCACATGCCTAAAGCACAGTTAGTTTTGGTTTTTCGCGTAAAGAAACGGCACCGAGCTTTTACGACCGCGCACGTCTTTACAGCTGCGCATGGCAGCTCTCTGGTCCGTTTTGCTGGTCATGCCCCTCGCCCCATCTGCGCATGATGTCCAACGTTTCCCGTCATGTTGCTGGGAGCTCCGACTGAAATCGTAAAGGAAATCCCGAATTCAGTTCCTTGAGAAGCCCCCAGCACGCGGAGCAAAAAACGTCGTACACCGTTGCCGAAACAGCACGCGGAAACGACTTGAGAACGCGTTGGCGAGCAACGCTCGGCTTAACTCCGCCGCAGATAAGCCGGGCGGCTCTGCAGAACCGATCCCCATGGCAGGGAGGAAAATAAAAAAAAATCGTAATTTTTTTCTTTCCAAGTCTCACATTGAGCAGCAGAGAGGAAAGGATTGCTTTCACGTGGCGCCAGGGCAGACGCTTCGCGTGGCCACGGAAGGTCTGCTGTGCAAGGAAAAATAAATTCGTCTGCTCTGGGGTCAGCACAGAGCCTTCTGTCCGCGACCCCGGGTGGGGGTGTTTCATCGGCAGCCAAGTGCCGCTCCCACTCCCGCCGCCGCTGCTGAACGCAAGTCTGGCCCCCGCGTTTATTTACACAAGAATGCTTGGCAGTCTGCTGCACTTTGTCGCCAATTAAAGAGGCAAGAGGATGTGAAATGTATCAGCAATGGGTTTCCCAAGCCTTGATCAAATTTTTTCGAGTTGAGGTATCCACCCAGGGACACTCCTCGACACGGTGCGAGCGCCCGTGGTGCTCCATCGCGGCCTCGTGGCTCGCAACGCGCGCCGCTCGTAGGGCTCACCCGGCCCCCACCCGCCACGGTCTTGGAAACCTGCAAATTTGACCTTTGAACTCAGTTTTGCCTTTAAGTTCTCCTCCCCACCACCACCACTACCCTATCCTCCTCCTCCCTCCCCTCCTCCTCCCTCCCCCACTCCTTCCCATCTTCCCCCACACCAACAACTGTGAGATAGAGATTCAGTGCAGGCGTACCCACGCTCCGACTTCGCGTGTACAACTGAGGCAGAACTGATGTCTTCAAGGAACATAAACCATCACGTGAACTTCAATCATCCTTGGAATAGCAGCGGCTTTTGGTTAACCATCGAACAAAGATGATCAATGCATCGCGCCCTTTCAGATGTGCTTCTGCGGCCGCTGGAACTTTCACATTCTTAGGAAGCCACTGGAGCTACGCACTTTTAAATCTAGATTTAAAACTATTTTTTTTTAGAACTGCATTTTGTATTTAGTTTTGGTTTCCTACCCCCACACCTCCGATTCGCATGGTTTGCTACATACCGTGCCAAAGAAGTTGAACATACATACATACGTAGAGTGAAGTTATGCGCTCCGTGGTTTGTAGTTTCTACCTGCAGTCTTGCGCACTGGAGAGCCGCTGATTGGTTACTTGTGCATGAGGTGTCCACATTTTTGGTCCTTCGCGCTGCCCCGGTTAAGCATTGCCCGTTGGCTAATCCCCTGGGAACTGCAGAAAGACCGAAGCGGAGTCGTGTGCCCCAAACACATCGCGGATACGATGAGCGGCGTTGTTTTTTTTTATTCGGACGGAGAACAGGCCGTCCTCTCTGGCGCGCATGGCACTGAAAGCCAGGTGCACGGCACGCCCGCCGCGCGACCGCTGTCCGCTGACAGCGGCTCTTGTTATCTCCCATCACCTTCAAGGAGGCGGAACGGGGGATCGGAGATTGTAGATTGGGGGATCGTGGGAGCACAGGGAAAGAGAGGGCAGGGTTCGGACCTTGCTGGCAGCGGCCGCCTCGTTCTCTCGAAACGCCGCCACTCGCGTCTCCCCCGCAGTGCGGTTCGGTCAAGTGCCCCTTCCAAGAAAACAAACTTGTAATACTGCTCTATATATAGCAGAGCTGGCAACGATGTCTTCATTTATCTCTCTTACCTTGTATCATTATAACAGTGGCACAAATAGTTTTAAATGTTTTGTCCATAGATCATAATAACACATGGTGTTTTTGCTGCTGGCAGTCACGAAGTTTGGACTAGGAGCCAATTATTTCACGTTGCTGTCCTCGTGGCAGTGATTTATGAATTTTCATTTTTACAAGACGTGGACACGGTGGTCACAGTTAAATGTAGAGCTAAAGTGATCGTGCGCACCACACGCACTTCTGGATAACGTCAAGGCACCCACTTCGGATGCCAGGAGCACGTTTTGTTTCATCTCGTGCCCGGTGCCAGCGACCTGTTTGCGTGAGTGGCCGGACTTTACTCACACCGGTAGCTTGCATCCTGCCTCCTGCCAGGCATGATGTAGTTCGGGTCAATTAGTGGTCGCGGTCTGTGACAAATCTACCAGACTGTCACTTGTTGGCAGCCAGTCCCAGACGCTGTGCACTTTGTACTCCGGTGACACGTACTGGATGGAGTCCCATACTTACTCCGTAAGGAAGAATGTAATGACTTCAAGGACAGTTAATGCGACGTGATTTTATTGTTGCCATCGTCCGTGGTCATCAAGTGATAAGGTTGGCTTTTACCATAGGAATGTGGAATGTCCACCACTGATTTAGGATCACGAATCGAGATGAACGTGACCACAGCCGTTTGCAGAATTGAGTCTTTTTTCCCCATTGGAGAGATAGACTGAGCCACATTTCATACCTCCGATTAGCATGGTTGACTACGTACGGTGCAAAAGAAGTTCAACATACATACGTATATTAAGTGGCAAATGTGATTGAATGATTTTCGCGAATACATCACTGAACTGAGAGACCGCTGGCTCGCCGCACAAGAGAACCACGCCGAATGGAAGATAGATGCCCAGGCCTGATCCCACGCCATCATTAACACGGGCGGTGGGCCCCTGTGTCAAAAGGTGTTGTTTGCATTCTTGTTAGCAGCCTAAACTGCGTTTATTTTTACTCATGAGACGCAAAGTCAAAGATCCCCCGTGTAGCCTTAACAGACTGTTGGGGCAAGTGCTGTTAGCGAGCACCTATGAAGGCTGGAATGGCACACGAGGGGGTGGGTGGCCAGCACCACGCCCGGCCACCTTTGTCTACACACCGCACCGGGTACTCATTTGCATCGACCGAGGGGGGGCCCAGGACTGATTCCGCTAATTGTCCCCAGTGTTGGCTGTGAGCGGGAACTCGAGTCAACAGGTTCGTATCACACGTGCGTACACACGCGTATAAATCGTGCATACATACATACTGCGGTATAATGTGCTGCACTTCACCCATACCCACATAGAAGCCCCGCTATGGAACCTGTTCATCCTACAGCAGCCCACGGCCACTGCTGTTTTCCCTCTGTGGAAACATCGTAGCATAGGAATAGGAACCGTTCTGAAAAGTGGCAGTAATCACAATCGGTGTTCTGAGAAATGCGTTGTGGCGAACCGGCTTATACCCCCAGCACATTTCCACCACAGTAAGCCATTGTGCATTGCACGTTAATGGCAGGAATCCACCGTGAAGAAATTGCCACCGCAGGGAGGGTGCAACGAATATTGTGAGGTTTGCGCGCGCCCCTTGGCTGTGACACCGCGGAATTTTCCGTTGTGTAGTCGTTCTACCCCTTACCAAGGAAAAAATGTTGCAGTCGTAGTCTCCACTGGCCGCCCTCGGACAGCTCGGGTGCGTGGGCTGTGCGGGGCTCCACTCGTCTCCACTCGTCTCCACTCGTCTCCCGCCTCGCGACGACACGGCCTCCCGTCCACTCTGGGTGGGAAGGCTGCGTTGCTGGGTGCTCGTGCCCATGCTGCACATGGCCTATAAAGCAGCAGTGTGGAGGCAGGGAGGGTTTGTGAATCACACAAATTCACGAAACTACCTCCCCTAATTATGGGCCTCGATGTCGCCCTCTCCTGGCTCGACAGGTTATGATGGCAGTACGGCAAGTGGATTAATTTGCATCTGTACGGAGGTTGAGTGTTCAACCCCTCGTACCCGTGGGGTTTCTCCCGAGTACTTCGGTTTCATCCCACATGTTTAAATACTCATTCGTAGAGTTGACCAAACATCATAAGATAGGACCACAGAGCTTGGGCAATTGTTGGCGCCGGTTCTGGCTGCCTTCCCGCTTTACAGGTTTCCAAAGCCTCCGTGCAAAAGCTGTGTGTGCTAAAAATTCTACAGATACATTTCACATGAATGACGCTATGTAATTATGCATCGTTATCGATTATTTATTGTTTTATATATATTTTATTATTTTGTTGTTTCCCTTCAACGTGACTTTACCGAAAAAACTAAGAATATAAGCTAAAAACAATCAACACATTTGTCAAAAACACAGTGACAAAGTTATATAACAGGTGACACTTTGAGCAATGGCCCTCCTCCACGGTGCAGAAGGAGGCCGGAGAGGTAGAGTGTGAATGAGCTGATATGCCCATGGCTGTGTGTGGTTGCCCTTCCGCCAACCACACACAGTCATGGGTCAAGACCCACTTAGCGGGGGTTGCAGCTCATTCTCACTTGAGGGGTGGTGCTTGTCGGTGAGCGTGGCCGTGTTGCGCTTGCTGGAGACAAATGACTTCATTGTGGCGATCAATGTGGTTGTGATTATACAAATGTTTTCCCAAATGTTTCCCAAAGTGAACAGATTAGGATATTTTGAGATAATGGTTCTTGGAAAGGCATGCCATGGCTTGCGATTATCCAGACTATGTCATGAAAAACCTCTTTGTCGTTGCCAAAACAGTGTTTTGCTTAATGCTGCTAAATTTACTGCAGAATCACTTCCACAATTTTTGCACAGTTCGTGTTTATATTTGGCGAGTCGAGCTTCGTGGCTGTTCCTTGCTGCATCGTTGCTGCACCTGCTGCTGCGGCCGCTGATATGAGGCCTGCGTTATGTACATATGTACGTGGTACCGCCTTCTTCATGAATTTACCACTGGATGAAGGCCCCTCCCAGCGCCGTGTGGGTAATGGCGGTTAATTGACCGTACTTCTCCACGCCGGTCAATGGACGTCGGTTGTCCGCAATTATTTGTGTGCTACTCTTCTATAACACGGTATTAGTTGTGTTCCTGAAGAACACCGTTTTATGGAAAAATTACGTTATAATGAATAATATAAACATGGGGTGAAGCACAGTCCACGATATCATGTGAGATGCGTACGCATGGGTAGCATCTATAAGGATCCAGCAGTATCCCGTCTTGTGTGATTCTACGCGGAGGCAGCTGTACAACAGCTGCTTATTCCTACTCGCGTGACGTAGTTCTGTTCACTCGATCGAGCTATATCCGGTTCGCATCCGTGTTCCCCAATACATTCATCCCGTTATATCCAATTCGCGTTATGAAAACACGCGCTATAGGAGAACACACTGTATTAGAATTACCCTATTGTATTGTATAGAGACCTGTGATGAAATTGACCCGAATGGGCCAGATCTCGGAAGTGGTGGCAGCTGATGGACGAGACAGACAACAGAGTGGCAGCCAAAGGAGGGAACACACCCAAGAGGTCAACCACCACGGAGATAGAGCGACGAGGTCAGCTCGCGTACAGGAGCTAGATGGATTGTCGCATTACGAAGATTGTGATGGGTGGCGGCAACTTGAAGAGCCCTTCATCCATCAGTTTATAGAGCATGGCTGCTGCTGCGGTAGCAAGGTATTATTTCCTTGCCTGGTATGCAGGAGGTCGTGGGTCTGTGAGGTGCATGGTGCGGTGATGGCACGGTAATGATGCTGAGGGCCCGGTGTGGCACCGTGTGTGCATGGCAGGATGAGGTGGAGGGCACGCTGAGCACCGTGGTGCTGCGCAAGCTGCAGCCGTCCACGCGCTACGAGGTGTCCGTGTTTGCCGTCAACTCCGTGGGGGCGAGCGAGCCACTCCGCGGGCACGACACGACACGTGAGGTCACACACGGCACCATCGCACAGACACGTGAGGTCACACACGGCACCATCGCACAGACATGTGAGGTCACACACGGCACCATCGCACAGACACGTGAGGTCACACACGGCACCATCGCACAGACACGTGAGTTCACACACGGCACCATCGCACAGACACGTGAGGTGACACACGGCACCATCGCACAGACACGTGAGGTCACACACGGCACCATTGCACAGACACGTGAGGTCACAGACGGCACCATCGCACAGACACGTGAGGTGACACACGGCACCACCTCACAGACACGTGAGGTCACACACAGCAGCACCTCACAGACACGTGAGGTCACACACGGCACCACCTCACAGACACGTGAGGTCACACACAGCAGCACCTCACAGACACGTGAGGTGACACACGGCACCATCGCACAGACACGTGAGGTCACACACGGCACCATCGCACAGACATGTGAGGTCACACACGGCACCATCGCACAGACACGTGAGGTCACACACGGCACCATCGCACAGACACGTGAGTTCACACACGGCACCATCGCACAGACACGTGAGGTGACACACGGCACCATCACACAGACACGTGAGGTCACACACGGCACCATTGCACAGACATGTGCGGTCACAGACGGCACCATCGCACAGACACGTGAGGTGACACACGGCACCACCTCACAGACACGTGAGGTCACACACAGCAGCACCTCACAGACACGTGAGGTCACACACGGCACCACCTCACAGACACGTGAGGTCACACACAGCAGCACCTCACAGACACGTGAGGTGACACACGGCACCATCGCACAGACACGTGAGGTCACACACGGCACCATCGCACAGACACGTGAGGTCACACACGGCACCATCGCACAGACACGTGAGGTCACACACGGCACCATCGCACAGACACGTGAGGTCACACACGGCAGCAACTCACAGACACGTGAGGTCACACATGGCACCACCTCACAGACACGTGAGGTCACACACAGCAGCACCTCACAGACACGTGAGGTGACACACAGCAGCACCTCACAGACACGTGAGGTGACACACGGCACCATCGCACAGACACGTGAGGTTACACACAGCAGCACCTCACAGACACGTGAGATCACACACAGCAGCACCTCACAGACACGTGAGGTCACACACGGCACCACCTCACAGACACGTGAGGTCACACACGGCACCATCGCACAGACACGTGAGGTGACACACGGCACCATCGCACAGACACGTGAGGTCACACACGGCACCATCGCACAGACACGTGAGGTCACACACAGCAGCACCTCACAGACACGTGAGGTCACATACGGCACCATCGCACAGACACGTGAGGTCACACACGGCACCACCTCACAGACACACGGCAGCACCTCACAGACATGTGAGGTGACACACAGCACCTCACAGACACGTGAGGTGACACACAGCACCTCACAGACACGTGAGGTCACACACGGCACCACCTCACAGACACGTGAGGTCACACACAGCAGCACCTCACAGACACGTGAGGTGACACACAGCAGCACCTCACAGACACGTGAGGTGACACACGGCACCATTGCACAGACACGTGAGGTCACACACAGCAGCACCTCACAGACACGTGAGGTCACACACAGCAGCACCTCACAGACACGTGAGGTCACACACAGCAGCACCTCACAGACACGTGAGGTCACACACAGCAGCACCTCACAGACACGTGAGGTCACACACAGCAGCACCTCACAGACACGTGAGGTCACACACAGCAGCACCTCACAGACACGTGAGGTCACACACAGCAGCACCTCACAGACACGTGAGGTCACACACAGCAGCACCTCACAGTATCCCGGGGCACCCCGGTGGGTCTAAGTGGTTGTTCTTATAGTCACTGTCGTTCTTCTTTCTGCAGTGCCTCTGGAGGGGCCGCGGAACGCGCGCACGTACGACGTGACGACCAACAGCATGCGCGTGCGCTGGGACGTGGTGGCCGACGCCACGGGGTACCGCCTGGTGTTCGCCCCCGTCGACGCGGGTAGCGACCCCAACCAGGAGCGCGAGGTGGGTGGCAGGGAGACCGTCCGTCGTGCCTGTGTGGGGGGAAGGGGGGTGTGGCCCTGGTAAGTCCAAGCCGATCCAGCGGTGCAGGCGGTTTTCCCACTGGATTTTTTTCTGTGCCCGGCCAGAACTAGAACACGACACGCTGGACTCGCAAGATGTCTGAATCTGGCTCGGGGCCGAGCAGGGCCAGGGGCAGGGCGAGTGACAAGTTTATTGCGTGCGCTGTCAGTCAAGTGCGCTGTGAGGATGGTGTCATCTACGTCCGCTGCATTTCTTTAGAACTGATTTTTGTGTTTAGTTTGTTGCCCTTCCCCCAAGCCTCCGATTAGCACGGTTAGCTGCACACCGCGTGAAAGCAGTTCAACATACATACAACAACAACAACCGCCATTCGCCACTAAGTGGCGGTGACGTCACCACGACGCTTGTGCCAGGCTATGTGCACCCTGAGGCCACGTGAAGTGTCGAACGCCCGCTGGCAGGAGGTCACGGGGCAGACCCAGGTGCCACGGGTCGACTGACTGAGATGACTGGCTGATGCACCACCTGTGCCCCCTACTGTGCCAACCTGCTGTGCTTTAGCCACCCGGCGCTCCGCTCGCTGTTGTGAGCGTCGCTCCTCCGCCCTCCGTTGTTGTTGGAGGGCGACTGCCTCCAACTGCCCAGTAGCATCCTTCACGAGCCTCCTCCACAGAGGCCGATCTTGACACCGCTGGTACCAGTCATCGGCAAGTCCACTCAGCTCCACGTCCTCCTGTACCACATCACTCCATCTCTTCTCTAGCCCGTGCCGCGCCCGCTTAGCCCCCTCAATCCGGCCAAACAAAAGCTGTTTCGGCATGCGGTGGCTGGGCATGCGGGCTACATGACCCAGCCATCGCAGCCTTGCCTGCCGGAGGAGCTCACCGATGGGACCCTGCCCAGATCTTTCAAGGATTTGTGAGCTCCTCACACAATCCAGTCTGGTTAAACCCAGGATGGATCGTAGGCAGGCCAGCCTAAATGTTTCTAACCGGCGAAGATGTTCCATTAGGGGGGTCCACGTTTCGCAAGCGTAGAGAAGGGAGGGAATGACCGTGGCCGAGAAGACCTGAAGCTTAGTGCGGAGCGACAGACCAGGTAGCTTCCACACAGCGTTACGCAACCGATGAAAAGATATTGCCGCTCGACTGATTCGGAGTGAGACCTCTGCTGTTAAACTGGAGCCAGTCATAAGCACACTGCCCAGGTATGGGAAACTCTCCACTCTCTCCACAACTGCCCCATCACCGATTGGGAGTTGTGGGGGTGGAGTGTCCGATGGTACAAAATACCCAGGCAGGTGCTTAGTTTTGGTGGGGCTGATGGTAAGGCCCCACCTCTTAGTGGCACGCTCCAGTCTCAGCAGCAGCGTCTCCAACTCCTCCTCTGACTGAGCAGCTATTACCAAGTCATCAGCATACATAACGTGGTTGAGCAATAGGGAGCCATCCCTTGACCGCACCCGGGCATCGATTAGCCTCCCATTATATCTGTACCATATGGAGATTCCCCCGGTACAGCTATTGAAGGCTTCATGAACTACGTGGTCAAAATAGATGTTAAATAATGTGGGAGCCAGAGGACATCCCTGTCGCACCCCAAGGTGTACAGGGAATGGCTCTGACTCCCGGCCACGTAGTTTTACCCGGGCCCGCTCACCATCATGAAGGTCCTTAATGATCGTGAGCAGAGGGTCAGGTACTCCAAAAGCACGAAGAACGACCCAGAGCCCAGGCCTACTGATGGTATCATAGGCCTTGACCAAGTCAATAAAGCAGAGATGTAGGTCTTGTTGGAATTCCCTACACCTCTGCTGTAGCAGACGGACAGAAAATATGGCATCTGTGCAGGACCGCCCTTTCCTGAAACCGCATTGGGGCTCCGCAAGCCTCTCCTCAGCGTGCCTGGCAAGGCGATGCTGAATAATCCTTGCCAGGACCTTTCCCGGCACACTGAGGAGTGAGATGCCCCTGTAGTTGTTACAGTCTGTGCGGTCCCCCTTCTTAAAAAGGGGGACCACCAGGGCATCCTTCCAATCCTGCGGAACCCGTCCAGTGGTCCAGACTGTTGTTATGATGTCATATAGGGCAGTCTGTGCACAAACGCCACCCTCCCTCAGCATTTCGCTTGGGAGATCATCTCTGCCCGCTGCCTTTCCTGGTCTCAGACTCCGGATCGCCTTCAATACTTCCTCAGCAGATGGCACCTCAGCCAGCCACTCACAGGGGGTGACTTCATCCAATATTTGAGGCACCGCAGCCTCAGCAGGGTCATCCTCACTTTGTGCCACGATGTTTTCCTGGCTGAGGGATTTTCCCTCCCCCAGGACCTCACAGAAATGCTCAGCAAATCTGCGAACCTGTTCCTGGGGGTCGGAAATTGGATCACCGTTTTTTCCCCTAATGATGGTAATAGGTGTGGCGCTGCAGGTTACTTTTTTGATGGAGTTAAACAGAGATTTGTGATCACGGGCCACTGAGGCAGACTCCATCTCCTCAGCAACCCGCGACCACCACCCATCCTTGCAGCGCCTCACGGCTCTCCGAACCTCCGAGCGAAGGCTGCGGTAAGCCTCCTCATTCTCTGACGTGGGACTCTGTAGCCGATGACAGTGGGCCTGTCGCTTTTTCTCAACCATCGTGAACAACTCCTCTGTCATCCAGGGTGTCTGGGGAGGTCTGGACCGCGTACCCAAAGCAGCCATTGCAGCTGCATGAGTCACAGTCCTAAACCTCGCCCATTTACCCTCGACATCAGGAGGAGTCGGGGACGATGCCAATCCCAGCCGCAAGCGATGATGAAATTCTCGCTTGCAACTTTCATCAGATAACTGAGACCAGGCCACTTTAGGTTGGAATGGGGTCCTGGGTGTACACCCACCACCGGAGTGGAAGAATGGCAGGCGCATCTTACAGATGACTAGTCGATGGTCAGAGGGCAGATCAGCTCCACGGTAGGTCCTGGTGTCAAGGACATGGGCTCGCATTCGCTGGTCCGTCACTATGTAGTCCAGCAGATGTTCTTGCTTGGACCCGGCATGCATCCATGATGTTGTGTGGATGCGCCGATGCCGGAACAGCGTGTTGGTAATTACAAGCCCATGGGCTGCACAACAATCTAGCAGCCTCCTACCGTTGTTATTGAGCTGATCTGGCCCATGCCCTCCAATCACTCCAGGCCAGGTGCCAGTATCATGACCAACTCGGGCATTGAAGTCACCCAACATGATGACTCTATCCCGAGGGGCCACTTTAGCCAGCACCTGTGACAGGAGGTCATAGAAGGCATCTGACTCATCGGCTTTGCCTGCATCCCTCCACGGATGTTCATCTTCGGTGGGGGCATAAGTAACCACGACCACCATTCCTCGCCTCCGGTTGATGGGAAGGCGAGCCCAAAGTAGCCTGGGGCTTACAGCTTCCCACACCTCACCGCCACGCTCCCACGCCCCCTTCATTCTTTTGTTCAAAAGAAGACCCACACCCTGTTGTTTGGCAGTCTGCTGCCCCGAGTAGAGGACTGTCCACCCCTCATGGTGGCAGGAGCCAGAGCCGGTCCACCGGACCTCCTGAATGCCGCATAGATCCAGGCGGTACCGGTCCAGCTCCCGACAGAGGAGTGGCAGCCTCTCCTCTGCAGTGAGCGTTCGAACATTCCACGTGGCCAACCGTAGTGGCTTTTCGTTGTTTCTGGAGTAGCCCCGAGGGTAGGTATTCAATCTCCTGGCTCCGCCAATTGGGGTTTGGCCAGGAGACGTCATAGACGCCTGGCCCCCCGGGGCCTCCGGCACAAGCTTAGTTGTTACATATTTCAGTTTAATTCGTAGTTTCGTGGTAATTAATTGAAGGTGGAGGGGTTACCAGCCCCTCGCACCCGTCCAGAGCCCCCGTTTAGCCCCTGTGGTGGACACATATGCCATGAGGGGAGGAGCCAATCAAAATTGGATCTCCCCCCACAGCGCTGTCCACGACAGAGTTGCCCGTCCGGCACCGCGAGGAGGTAGGGGGTTGTTTTGCCGGACTCAACATACATACACATACATACACATACATAATACACATACATACACATACGTAATACACATACATACACATACATAACAACAACCGCCATTCGCCACTAAGTGGCGGTAACGTCACCACGATGCTTGTGCCAGGCCATGTGCACCTTGAGGCCACGTGAAGTGTCGAACGCCCGCTGGCAGGAGGTCACGGGGCAGACCCAGGTGCCACGGGTCGACTGACTGAGATGACTGAGATGACTGGCTGATGCACCACCTGTGCCCCCTACTGTGCTAACCTGCTGTGCCTTAGCCACCCGGTGCTCCGCTCGTTGTTGTGAGTGTTGCTCCTCCGCCCTCCGTTGTTGTTGGAGGGCGATTACCTCCAACTGCCCAGTAGCGTCCTTCACGAGCCTCCTCCACTGAGGCCGATCTTGACACCGCTGGTACCAGTCATCGGCAAGTCCACTCAGCTCAACGTCCTCCTGTACCACATCACTCCATCTCTTCTCTAGCCCGTGCCGCGCCCGTTTAGCCCCCTCGATCCAGCCAAACAAAAGCTGTTTAGGCATGCGGTAGCTGGGCATACATGACCCAGCCAACGCAGCCTTGCCTGCCGGAGGTGCTCACGGATGGGACCTTGCCCAGATCTTTCAAAGATTTGTGAGCTCCTCACACAATCCAGCCTGGTTAAACCCAGGATGGATTGTAGGCAGGCTAGCCTAAATGTTTCTAACTGGCGAAGATGTTCCATTAGGGGGGTCCACGTTTCGCAAGCGTAGAGAAGGGAGGGAATGACCGTGGCCGAGAAGACCTGAAGCTTAGTGCGGAGCGACAGACCAGGTAGCTTCCATACAGCGTTACGCAACCGATGAAAAGATATTGCCGCTCGACTGATTCGGAGTGAGACCTCTGCTGTTAAACTGGAGCCGGTCATAAGCACACTGCCCAGGTATGGGAAACTTTCCACTCTCTCCACAACTGCCCCATCACCGATTGGGAGTTGTGGGGGTGGAGTGTCCGATGGTACAAAATACCCAGGCAGGTGCTTCGTTTTGGTGGGGCTGATGGTAAGGCCCCACCTCTTAGTGGCACGCTCCAGTCTCAGCAGCAGCGTCTCCAACTCCTCCTCTGAATGAGCAGCTATTACCAAATCATCGGCATACATAACGTGGTTGAGCAATAGGGAGCCATCCCTTGACCGCTCCCGGGCATCGATCAGCCTCCCATTATATCTGTACCAAATGGAGATTCCCCCGGTACAGCTATTGAAGGCTTCACGAACTACGTGGTCAAAATAGATGTTAAATCACGTGGGAGCCAGAGGACATCCCTGTCGCCTCCAATCACGCAGCCATTAATCCACATTTCAGGTCACGGTTGCCTCGCGAGAGTGAATTCTCCTGACGCCTGCTCACCGTGTGGACGTTGAACCCACCCCTCCCCTCAGCTCACGGTGGGCGCCACAGCTAAGAACACTCTGCTGGATCGCCTCACCCCCAAAACCACGTACCGGATCGCGCTGTACGCACTCTACGGCGAGGAGGAGAGCCAGGCCATCCCTCTGCAGGACACCACACGTGAGTAGCTCGCGGAGCCAGTAACCTCTCACCCCTGACCTGCGAACCACAATCCCCTGCTGATCTCGTCAGCAGGGTATTGTGGTACCATCCTTGGAGCGGCTTTTGGCTGCTAGCCATCGAACAAAGACGGTCACTGCATTGCGCACTTTCAGATGTGCTTCTGCGGCCGTCTGCAACGCTCTTTATGACGATATTAGGAAGCCGCTGAAGCTATGCACTTTTAAATAAATATTGAAAACTAAGATCTTTAGAACTGCTTTTTGCGTTAAGTTTGTTGTCCTTCCTCCGCACCTCCGTATAGCATGCGAAAGAAGCTCCAAACATACGTATGAGGTGATACTCAACTGCTGTTTGCTGCCCTAGGTCAGTGGTGGACATTCGACATTCATATGGTGGGGGCAAGTTTATCCATAGGACAATCGCTTTTGACCTCCCCACGGAGTGGTGCTCATTGTATTGACCCTGGAGGGATGAAGGGTTGAGTCAACCCCCAGACAGTATGTGAACTCACAACCTTGGGATTGCGAGCCCGCTACTGCTAAGCCACCTGGCCGGATTTGACCCTGCACATGCAACTGAAAATTAGTTACCCCTCTGAACACAGTGCTTGGATGGGCAACCACAATGCGTAACAGGGATTACAGTGAGGGAAAAAAGTATTTGATCCCCTGCTGATTTTGTACGTTTGCCCACTGACAAAGAAATGATCAGTCTATAATTTTAATGGTAGGTTTATTTGAACAGTGCGAGACAGGATAACAACAACAAAATCCAGAAAAACGCATGTCGAAAATGTTATAAATTGATTTGCATTTTAATGAGGGAAATAAGTATTTGACCCCTCTGCAAAACATGACTTATACTTGGTGGCAAAACCCTTGTTGGCAATCACAGAGGTCAGACGTTTCTTGTAGTTGGCCACCAGGTTTGCACACATCTCAGGAGGGATTTTGTCCCACTCCTCTTTGCAGATCTTCTCCAAGTCATTAAGGTTTCGAGGCTGACGTTTGGCAACTCAAACCTTCAACTCCCTCCACAGATTTTCTATGGGATTAAGGTCTGGAGACTGGCTAGGCCACTCCAGGACCTTAATGTGCTTCTTCTTGAGCCACTCCTTTGTTGCGTTGGCCGTGTGTTTTGGGTCATTGTCATGCTGGAATACCCATCCACGACCCATTTTCAATGCCCTGGCTGAGGGAAGGAGGTTCTCACCCAAGATTTGACGGTACATGGCCCCGTCAATCGTCCCTTTGATGCGGTGAAGTTGTCCTGTCCCCTTAGCAGAAAAACACCCCCAAAGCATAATGTTTCCACCTCCATGTTTGACGGTGGGGATGGTGTTCTTGGGGTCATAGGCAGCATTCCTCCTCCTCCAAAGATAGCGAGTTGAGTTGATGCCAAAGAGCTCAATTTTGGTCTCATCTGACCACAACACTTTCACCCAGTTGTCCTCTGAATCATTCAGATGTTCATTGGAAAACTGCAGACGGGCATGTATATGTGCTTTCTTGAGCAGGGGGACCTTGTGGGCGCTGCAGGATTTCAGTTCTTCACGGCGTAGTGTGTTACCAATTGTTTTCTTGGTGACTATGGTCCCAGCTGCCTTGAGATCATTGACAAGATCCTTCCGTGTAGTTTTGGGCTGATTCCTCACCGTTCACATGATCATTGCAACTCCACGAGGTGATATCTTGCATGGAGCCCCAGGCCGAGGGAGATTGACAGTTCTTTTGTGTTTCTTCCATTTGCGAATAATCGCACCAACTGTTGTCACCTTCTCACCAAGCTGCTTGGCAATGGCCCACTGACAAAGAAATGATCAGTCTATAATTTTAATGGTAGGTTTATTTGAACAGTGAGAGACAGAATAACAACAACAAAATCCAGAAAAACGCATGTAAAAAATGTTATAAATTGATTTGCATTTTAATTAGGGAAATAAGTATTTGACCCCCTCTCAATCAGAAATATTTGTCCCAGGTCTCTTTTATTCAGGTAGCGAGCTGAGATTAGGAGCACACTCTTAATGGGAGTGCTCCTAATCTCAGCTCGTTACCGGTATAAAAGACACCTGGGAGCCCAAAATCTTTCTGATTGAGAGGGGGTCAAATACTTATTTCCCTCATTACAATGCAAATCAATTTATAACATTTTTGACATGCGTTTTTCTGGATTTTGTTGTTGTTATTCTGTCTCTCACTGTTCAAATAAACCTACCATTAAAATTATAGACTGATAATTTCTTTGTCAGTGGGCAAACGTACAAAATCAGCAGGGGATCAAATACTTTTTTCCCTCACTGTATAGGCTTTGGGACTAAATGGTGTTCAGGAGAGTGCAGTAGAGCAAAATTCATAAATCCGTGCAGTAGAGATAAATATTGAACCGTACTTCTATGGCCTCTCGTCGATGCTCCTCGTTCGCACAGACCAGCACGGTGAAGGAAGCGACCCTGAATAGCCCTCCCGACACTCGTGGCACAGAGAGGCCCTCGCTCCATCGGCGGACCGACGCGGAGGGCTGCGCTCGTGCGCTGCGTGCGACCGTGTGCGACCGTGTGAGACCGTGTGTGATCACGTGCGACCGCGTGCGACCGCTTGCGACTGTGTGAGACCGTACGTGATCACGTGCGACCGCGTGCGACCGCTTGCGACTGTGTGAGACCGTACGTGACCGTGTGCGATGGCTTGCGACCGCGTGTGACAGCTTGCGACCGTGTGTGACCGTGTGTGATCACGTGTGACCGCGTGCGACCACGTGCGATCATGTGCGACCGTGTGTGACCGTGTGTGATCACGTGTGACCGCGTGCGACCGCATGCGCGCAGTTCCCCTGGCGGGCCCGCGGAACGCTCGCACGCACGACGTGACGACGCACAGCATGCGTGTGCGCTGGGACGCGGCCGGGGACGCCTCGGGGTACCGCCTGGTGTTCTCCCCTGTGGACGCGGGCAGCGACACGAGCCAGGAACGCGAGGTGGGTCCCCGTGCCCCGTGCCCCCCCCCCCCACTCCCCACCCCTCCCCTTGGCCGGTCCAGCACCTTCACGCTGATTAAGTTCCATCGTTCGAGATCGTGGCCGAAAGCCGTTGATGCCATGGAACCTCACTACGGAAGCTTTCTCCTCTCCGCCACATCCTACAGGTGCCGTGCAGTAAAACTATTTTACTATTTGTTTATTTTACCAAGTAAGACCCACTGAGCTATATAGATTTTTTTCAGAAGCAGCCTGGCCACAAATGATAGCTCAACGAAGTGGCGTGTAATGTGGAAATGTATAGCGGCCGAATACTCTCAACGCACGTTGATTTTAAATGTGGATGGAAAAACTGGAGGGCCCGGAGAAGAATCCACACGACCACGGGGAGACAACATGCAAACAGGCATCAGAGTCGAGATTGAATCCACAACCTCCTGTATACCAGGCGAGGTAGTTAAGATCTCGCCACCACAGCGAGATGTTAGATTAACCGCGACCTCCAAGATCTGCCCTTAACGTATCCCACCACCGTTTGCCTTCACGTCTTCCCCTTGGTCGCTGGATAAATGTTATGAATCACATTAGAAAACCCAGCAGTCAGATTAAACTCCATTATTACACCTATAGTTGTGGCTGGGTGGCACAGAAAAGGGGGACTATTGAACATCACAGCTGTCCAATGTGTTTTTGGGTTCTACCACATGCTGTTTAGCATGATGTCCGATATTTTGTTCCACGTGCCTGGGAGCTTCTTCGGGAATAATTTGTCGGACTTCACGTCGAAAAGCAAGCTGCGCAACCCGAGAATACACCTCAGAGAGCCACGCAGCGCAGCCGTGAAATCCTGCGCCCAACGTCAACTTACAGGGCACGGTGTAATGAGAGAGATGAAGATGACCCAAGATCAATTGTGTGACAAATGTGATGCTAGCACGGCCAATAAACCCGCACAAGACCAGAGAAGGAGTGCGAAGGACAGGCAGACGTGGGGACAGGTTTGACATCCGAGGCATCAGCAGTCGCCACGACCACTGTGGTCGGATCTCGGCAGCTGATGGCCACCTGCCTAGATCCATCTTTGACAGTTGAGTTCTGATCCCGCTTATTCATTTCCGCCTGGAGACGGCGTTAACGTTGGGGATAATAGGATAATAGACGTAGGCTTTCACGACCAATATTTTCCATAATAAAGTTTTTTTGGGTTATATCTCCTAAATATAAATGTGGTTAAGCCCGCCACCACCCAACACAGCCGATTAATAAGATTTGTCACGGTAACAAAACGTGCCAATTAGTTATTACTTCAGCACACCGGTGTGTTGGAGAGTAAATTCACGTGCTTTGGCCAGGTCCCAGCAAGCAATGCAGCTCACGGAAACAGGTCAGGCAGCCTCTGGTGACCGAGCAGCGTGGGTAATTTCAGCACCCAGCACCGGTTGTGTTTTTGTAACCTCACATTTGGCTGGAGCGGCGCCTCATGTCCATTTCAGGCAGTTTATATCGGGTGAGGCACACTGAGCCTCACCCGATATAAACTGTCTGAAATGAAGGAGGGTAAGGAAAAGAAAATCGAACCCACGTTGGGTCTGTACGACTGTCCCACTGCAATTGGCAGAGATTCTCCCGGGTATTTGGAAGAGCGTCACCTTGACTGATATCCCACAATAACGTCTTGCATTCTTCACGTGATCCTTATGGCGGTATCAAATAATACAAAATGGCCGAGGCAATTAAATACTTTATTTCTGGGACGCTTTTTTTTCCAGGGGTGTTACTGAACTCCGCGACTGGGGTACTAATCAATCCGAAATCAGTGCCACACTCCGCGATGTCGAAACGCAGCGAGGACGATTGCGCCGAAACCCTGAACGCTCGCGGTACGCACCGTGGTGGTGCATCGTGCACAGTTCGTTGAGACGAGTCGACCATCAACAGACTAAAAATGACTGCGTGTGTGATTCTTCTACTCGCACGCGAATGGAAAGCTACGAATCTGTAATGAAAGAGAGGTGCTATGAAGAAGAGACATGACCCAAAACGTCACCTATTACATATTTTTTCTTACAAGACCATGGATTTATTAACGAACTCAATGGGTTTTTTTGTTGTTTGTGTTTTTTCACCACTGGCAGCGCAGAATTACCAAATAATTATTTTTTGGGTAAAAAGGATAGAATCATGATAATGGATTGTGAGCATCAGCATATTCGCTCATTTTTGTTGCTTGAATCTCTGACATTGCATTGCTGTGGTGAATAAGCACGCATTATCATTTAAGTATTCGCACCTTGCAACGCCTGTAATGTTGTGGATGGGGTGGGACAAGCCGTCAGTGATTCAGCAGTGTGTGGGTGAGGTTCACTGATCGAGCTAGGATAATCGTGTGAGACACCGGGCCAAAATAATGGGGTTATTTTGGGTTGGACCTCTTCATTGTTATCCACTGAGACACCGCGTGCGGTTTTTTTTTTTTGTGCTACAGTTTACAGCTGCACTTAAAACACTTTGCAAAAAGGACTCGGAAAATGATCTCGTGCAGGACTCGGAGCTCTGCGAGGCTTTCCTCAATAAACGAGCAGTAAACGTGACCGTATCGTGTAATTATTTATGAGGATCTTACAAGCACTCGATCTGGTTTATATTGAGAAAAGCACTACGGCTGTTTATCCACCGTGCAATGCACTCAGGGATTACAACTTCAGAGTGGCGTTTGAGTGTTGTAGCACAAGAACGCAACCCCCCCCCCATGCCACCAGGCTTATAAATAAGAATAATACGAGAAGAAAGCCCGGGGATACTATACTTTGTTACAAAACGGCTTGTTTAAAAACCAGTAAAGTCCCCTGAAAAAATGTGATTTTTTTTTGTATGTGTGTGTGGGGGAAAATAGCGTTGCCATTTTGTACAAAGACAAATGGAGAGCATTCTCGGGCTTTCACGAAAATTGTGTTAATGCGACGTTGTAAAAGACACACGATTGACAGGAGAGTCTCAACTCTCCTAATATTAGAATCTTGAGGAGAACTCAAGAATTGCATTTTCATTAAAAGACTGAAGCCTCATTTTTGTTTATACAGAGCCATGACTTTTGTGACCTTTGGTGTCGTGCCGCACTCGGAGTCCATCTCCCGAGTGCGGCACGAACACCCTTGCATTGCATGTACATAAGTTGAACTTCTTTCGCACCGTACGTAGCCAACCGTGGTAATCGAGCGTGCACGTGGCGTCTACGATCCACGTCCCTCTTGCCGCGCAGGTGACGGTGGGCGCGTCCATCAAGGACACGCTGCTGGACCGCCTGACGCCCAACACGGAGTACCGCATCGCCCTGTACGCACTGTACGCGGACCAGGGGAGCGAGCCCATTCCCCTGCAGGACACCACGTGTGAGCGCCCGCCTCGCCGCCCTCGCCGCGCTCACCCTCCTCACCATCCTCACCCACCTCACCATTCGCACCGCCTTTATCGCCCTCACCGCACTCACCTCCCTCACCCCTTCGCCACCCTCGCCACGCCCACCATCCTCACTGGCCCTCCCTCTTCTCCCCTCCTACACTACCCTCATCCTCCTCACCCCCCCCCCCCTCACTCTCCTCACTCCGCTCACCCCTCTCACTGCCCTTACTCTCCCGACCTCCCTCATCCTCCTCACCCCCCCCCCTCGCTCCCCTGACCCCTTCGTCGCCCCAATAACCATCGTGTTTGTGTCGGCTCGTGATGTCGTACGTGTGAGTTTGTGCGTCTGTGCCTGGTTTGTGCTGCTCACTCGTATCTCTGCCTCCCGCGTGCCGCGACACCCGTGTGGTGACGTGCGCGTGGGGGCGGGGGGGGGGTGGCGATTGCGCGGTGCTGACCACGCGAAGACCCTCTTGACCTGGGTTCAAACGTTACCCACACTTCACCCAATTAAGCGCAACCTGCCAATGCACTAACAATGCTGACTGGACAGAGGCAGGAGGCATTCAAAAAAGTTGTCCACGATTCAACTGCCAACGCCGGGAGATAGAACCGGGGACCTCTGGATTGCACTCTGCTACGAACCTGGTTAACTCGTTTTCATTCTTGGCTCAGTGGTGATTATCTGAACCGGCCTTGGGCCTCCCCTAAGTTGACTAAGCCCTCAATAGGACCTTGATGCGATGTGTAAACATCAGTATTTTGGAGACACTACCTCGCTAACGGCACTCGTCCCAATCGTCTGTTAACGGCTGCGGAAGGAGGAATCGTTTCCTTTGCTTTTTCTTCTGCACCGCAGTGCCCCTGCGCGGCGTGCGGAATCTGAACTTTGCCGACGTGACCCACTCGAGCTTCCGCGTGTCGTGGGAGCCGGCGGAGGGCAGCGTGCTCAAGTACCGCGTGCGCTACTCACACGACAACGGTGCCGAGCCCGGCGAGGTGAGGCCCTGCGCCGGGGCACGCGGAGCGCCCCGCGGCGACAGTGACGACAACGGCGATGACTTTGATAATGGCGATGTTGATGATGACGTTGATGACGATGACGACGATGATGACAATGGCGATGACGACGATGATGACAACGGCGCCACGGTTGTCCCGTGGCAGCCGACGATGAGGCCCAGCGGACCTCTCTCGTCTCCTTGCGATCGCTTCGCATATAACTGAGTGTTTATCTCTTAACCTCCTCCTTCATTCTGTCAATCCGCCACTTGGGAGGACAGCCTCTACTTCTTTGCTGCTGTCGCGTGGCAGTGATGCTTACGTGTTGGCCTCCATTCTGTTTACACGTCCAAGTCAAAGAAGTCTGCGTCTTCATATATTTTTCATCGGATTCTCCTGCTGCCCTACCTTTTGGAGTTGCTTGAATCTCAAGATGCTGTAAAAAAAAAAAACTGTGGAAATGTGGATACATTTATTTTACGTCGAAAAAGGAAGGTTTTGAGCCTTGACTTGTACAGGGTTAAGGGAGTTTTAGAGCATGGGGGCAGTAGAGGAAAATGACCCAATGCCTCATTAGTTTTTAAACTCAGGTCATCTTCCGTGATTACGTGTAATGCACGGGCAATGGAATCACTTGATGTGAAAACATGGTCTCAATTCTACCATTTTACACAGCCCGAGGTAAGCAAGAAGCTACCATTCATCATACACAAAAACATTTTGGGTTCGATCGCTTAAATATGATGTGTCGTTAACCCGCCACCACCCGACACAGCCAATTAGTGAGGTTTGTTACTTGGTGTCAATTGAGAGAGGCTTATAAATTTTAGGGCCACATGAAAGCCCCCTGGCGAGGCCTCTGGATGAGTCACACTGTGTTGCTGCCAGCCGTGAACCTGCCACCGCCACCACGGCTGCTGTTTGTAATCTGACCGCGTTTTGCCCACGGCGACGTCACGCGCCCCTCGCCCTGCAGGTGGAGGTGGAGGGCTCGGTGACGAGCAGCGAGCTCACGGGGCTCAACTCCCAGACGCGCTACCGCGTCACCGTCACAGCCGTGTATGCTGACGGGGAGTCGCCACCCCTAGCCGGCTCCGAGACCACGCGTGGGTCACACCACCCACACGCACGCACTGAGACCACGCGTGGGTTACACCACCCACACTGAGACCACGCGTGCGTCACACCACCCACACGCACGCACTGAGACCACGCGTGTGTCACACCACCCACACGCACACACAGAGACCACGCGTGGATCACACCACCCACACGCACACACTGAGACCACGCGTGGGTTACACCACCCACACGCACACACTGAGACCACGCGTGCGTCACACCACCCACACGCACACACTGAGACCACGCGTGCGTCACACCACCCACACGCACACACAGACCACGCGTGCGTCACACCACCCAAACGCACACACAGAGACCACGTGTGCGTCACACCACCCACACGCACGCACTGAGACCACGCGTGCGTCACACCACCCACACGCACGCACTGAGACCACGTGTGCGTCACACCACCCACACGCACACACAGAGACCACGCGTGGGTCACACCACCCACACGCACGCACAGAGACCACGCGTGCGTCACACCACCCACACACACGCACAGAGACCACGCTTGCGTCACACCACCCACACGCACACACTGAGACTACGCGTGCGTCACACCACCCACACGCACACACTGAGACCACGTGTGCGTCACACCACCCACACGCACACACAGAGACCACGCGTGTGTCACACCACCCACACGCACACACTGAGACCACGTGTGCGTCACACCACCCACACGCACACACAGAGACCACGTGTGCGTCACACCACCCACACGCACACACAGAGACCACGCGTGTGTCACACCACCCACACTGAGACCACGCGTGCGTCACACCACCCACACGCACGCACTGAGACCACGCGTGGGTCACACCACCCACACTGAGACCACGCGTGGGTCACACCACCCACACGCACACACTGAGACCACGCGTGTGTCACACCACCCACACGCACACACAGAGACCACGTGTGCGTCACACCACCCACACGCACACACAGAGACCACGCGTGTGTCACACCACCCACACTGAGACCACACGTGCGTCACACCATCCACAATCGCACAGAAACCACACGTGCTTGGTAAATTCCTTTGTGACATTGGTGACGGTTTTAGAAGGTCTGGCGACGAGTTGACCCCGCTCTGTGTGTGTGTGTGTCCGTGTGCGCTCGTGTGCTCGTGCGTGCTTACCCACGGCCGCGCGTTCCCCCGTTCATTCCTGCGCGCGTATCGGCCCACAGTGAAGGTGCCGCCCCCGCGCCTGCTGCGCTTCTCGGAGGTGACAGAGACGACGTTCCGGGTGACCTGGGTGCACGGCGGGAAGGACGTCCAGCTCTACCGCCTGGCGTGGCGCCCCGTGGCAGGCGGCGCCACGGAAGAGGTGCGCCGCACCTCGATTATTGCCGCCACCCGCCCGTCCTGGTTCTTCCGTTGCGACCCCCGTCCCGGTTTTCCCACCATCGACCAAGGCAGCTCGTGCCGGCGGTGACGTGGCCCTGCAGTCGGACGCGCGTCGCCCGTTTCGTTGGAGAGGCTCGCGGTTCGAAACCTGGCAGGCTGCCGTGGTTATTCCCGCGGGTGGTTTAACCGTACAAATACCTTGTTGTCTGCCTTGCAGCGTTATGGGCCAAGTATGAAGAACGAAAAAAAACGCCCGCAAACTACTCAATTGGGATGACATACAGCAACATCGCTTGCTACTGGCAGACTACGCGAAAGATAGCATCTTTTTCGTTTGAAAGCTTTCGTGACTGCAGGGATTCATATTATTGGTTCTTTCGGTAAAGTCACATAGAAGGGAAATAATAAAATAACACAAATAAAACAATAAAATTCTCACGACGTTTCGATTGCAACACAAGCAATCTTCATCAGGTGTCAAAACCGCAGCAAGACAATTTTTGACAAAAAGTGGCCTTTTTTTTCCTTGCTAGCATCTTTGTAGCAGCCTCTGTGCTATACGAACAGGATACAATACCAAACGTCTTCACCCACTCGCTGTCGCTCCGTGCGTTACGCTCGTTGTGCCGAGCAGGTGATCCTGAACGGAGACGAGAACTCGAAGGTGCTGCAGAACCTGCAGAGGGGCACGCTGTACGAGGTGTCCGTGACCGCCATCTACCCGGACGAGTCGGAGAGCAGCCCGCTCACGGGCCGCGAGCAGACACGTAAGCCTGCTCGGGGACAGGGGCGAGGGTTCCGCAGGGCCCGGTTTTGTTGGGCGGTTCCCTACTGCAGGTTTGGGAGGTGACAAATTCCGCTTCAAGTTCCCGTTGGCTCGTAGACTCACTGACGCAAATTGAGGATCGGGAGACTCGCATAGCGGCTGTGAATCATGCCTAGCGCCACTGGTGGGACTCACCGATCACCGACAAAGTGGTGGAAGCGGGCCGATCCCGCCATTGGTATTCGCGAGCGGGGGTTCCCGTCCCTGCAGCCTGGCCAGCTGTGCCTGCACAGATGGCAGGAAAGCGGGGCGCGGTGGCTGTTTGGCCGCCCTTCATGAATGCCTTCCACCGCTAGGTGGTGGGAAATGGGTCAAATTTCCCACATACTTAGCCGGATAGGTTGAGCTAGCGGCGTAAGGGCGGCGATCTCACCAGGATTACGTTTCTGCCACTGGTGGGAGAGACAATGTGAATTTGCCTGCGATTCCGGTTGCGAAGAAAATCGGAATGCACATCGCAAAGCACGTGGCGGAATCGCAATTTGTGCGGGAGCCGCGGATCAATCCAGGTTATCCAACGGTGGATTCCTGCGGGAGGCATTTGCCTCCACTGACCCTGCACCCTCAGTGGGCACCAGGCAGCACCACGCGTGAGCTCGACCTCTCCATGTAGCTCCCTCACCCCTGGCTGGTTTTGGGCTGCTTTGTAGCTGTCAAGTAAACTGCACTCGTGAGTCAACGTCAATTTGAATTGACCCCACGCTTAGCACGGGCGCAGGAATATAGATGTGAAGCCCGGCATGTGATTACGGAAATATGACCAGACCATCGATCGCATTGAAGCGAATCCAGACCCACAGCTTGAAGATTCTAACAGAGGCATTGCAGCAATCCACCACGCATCGTCCAACGTGTTTTCTTGGCTTAGTATTTTTATTATTATTATTCAGGTACCAGGATAGCCTCACTGAGTATCAAGACTCTTTTACAGGAAGGTCCAGTCAAGTGTTCACAGTGGAGGGGGGCGATGTTTCTATGTGTAATCCCGATCGAGTAATGTTTCAGCATTGGGATATGTGGCCAGTCCTGGTTACATGGGTTTTTCTTTTACCTGTGGGAGAAAACCAGAGAACCCGGATGAATATCATGCAGAACAGGGGGAGAAAGCAAACTCGACAGAGGCCTCGAAGTTGCGATGCATCCATCCATCTGTGCACTAAAAAACTAAACTAAACTATTTTTTTTTTACCAGGTGAGGCCCACTGACCCATGTAGCTCCTTTTTAGCTCAACGAAGTGGCTTATCACGTGGAAATTTAAAGCAGCCAAATAGTCTAAACCGACGTTTCTATATGTGGAGGGAAAAACCGGAGGACCCAGAGCAAGATCCACGCAAAAGACGGGGAGAGAGACACGCAAACTCCAAACCCACGACCCCCTGTATACCAGGCGAGGGAGATGACATCTCGCCACCTTGGCGATTCCCGCTGTGACACCCAGCATGTTTCACGGCGGTGCACCGCGGCACGCGCGGCCCCGCGTGCGCCGTGGAACCGCGCCGCGGGGCGCAGGCGGTGCCTTGTGTGTGGAAGGCCCCCTTGTCCCTTGTCTCAGCGAGTCATCGACCCGTGCCAGCGGGGGTCTGTGTCACACGAGGCATTGTCTGCGCACCTGTGCTTCGCCGTTCCGATTGTTGTTGGCAAGGTGACTGCAAAATACGAGCCCCCCCGTCTCGGCTCGGACTCGAAGGTCCGTCGGGTCACGTCCGTGCCGATGGATTGTCTCGGGCAGGCCCTGTTGTACAGTAACAAACGACCGAGTTTGAAAAGACTCGGTGAGAACTGAGCGAACAAAACGCGCACACACACGCACGCGATGCGACCAGAATTGGCAAAACGTCCCGGTGCTGAAAAATCACCCGCACATTCCTCAGTGGGGGATGGTACGCAGCAACGTTGCCCCCTACCGTGAAGACTTGGCAGGGACTCTTCTGAAAAAAAAAAGTCTGGGACTCAGTGAGGGTTCTCCTGAGTAAACAAAGCGTCATGGTCGTAGCAATAATACTGATGACACTGAAGAAACTAGATTTACCGCTTTTGGTTCTTTCGGTAAAGTCTCGTAGGAAGATAAAATAATAAATTAAATGATGGCATACGACGTTTCGATTGCAACACAAGCAATCATCATCAGGTACAAATGAAAGAGAAAACAAACGAAAGTAAACTTAGAAATATAATGCATTACAGCACAGAGAGTCGGCTAACATAACAGTCAACACCCTACCAAGTTTGTTTTCTCTTTCATTTGTACCTGATGATGATTGCTTGTGTTGCAATCGAAACGTCGTATGCTATTATTTAATTTATGATTTTCTCTTTCTACGTGACTTTACCGAAAGAACCAAAGAGCAACACAGAAGAAGTCTTCTCAAAGCCGCTGTGTTTGCTCGAAAAGTGGGGAAAACCTCTGACTGCTCCTCCTGTCAATCCGTAAGCCCTTGTGTACAGGTTTGCTCTGGTGTCTAGACCAGGGAACCGAACTGAGAACTGGAGCTAATAATTGTTTTTTTCAGTATGAAAATGGAAAGCCGAACCCAAATAATGTTTTTGGGGCTCTGGAATGAAAATCTCCCGAAGAAAACGTCGCGCAGTTAAATAATAATTCCGCTCGCCTGCTTGTAAGGTTAACACGATGAAGCATGGCTGAGGTCCCCGAGGCAGTGAACTTTGCAGGGCACATTGACCGCGGCGCTTTCCGTCATTTGGTGAAACGTTTCGTAGACAGCCCCACGAGTGTGCCGCACGCAGTCGACACGGGGGCTCGAGGTGACAGGGAGACACACACACACATTAGTCGCGATGACGAAGATCTCCCGTATAGTCTTAACAGGTTGTTTGGGCAGTTGCTGTTCGTGAGCACCTATGAAGGCCGGCAAGGCACACGTGCGGGGTGGGTGGCCAGCACTATGCCTGGCCGCCTTTGTCTCCCAATTTGCGATGTTTACACACCGCACCAGGTACTCATTTGAGGCTGAGTCGACCAAAGGGGAGGCCCAGGACCAGTTCAGATAATCGCCACTGGTGTTTACCGTGAGCGGGAATCCAACTCAGGTTGTCGGGTTCATAGCGCAGCGTGCTGATAGCTCCACTACTGCTCTCTGCACACACATTAGTCAAATAGATACACGCAGAAAGATACATATATGGCTAGATGTGCATATCTCTAGTATTTAACAGTAAATGTTAATGCTCATGGGGTTAACTAGTGTTACTTAGAAGCTACATACACAAACATTAATATTGCCCTGAGAGTATATGTGAGTAATGCTGGGGAGTGTGTATTGCTGTTTATGTTAATGATGATTGTTTGTATGATTGTATGTGCTGTCCTTTAGTGCTCGCAAGAATACAAACGCGATAAGCAATTAACCATATTTTGCGAAGTTAAAACAAACTTGAACTGGTTTAAACCAGTTTTTAGACACGGTTAACCATAACCGAAATTTAAACCCATTTTTAACCACACTGGCTAGACTCGCTGGCGTAGATATGGGCACTCATAACACGTTTCACCCATTATTTCAAAATCTCAAACTGTTATTTGGTGCAATGCCTTACGTGTGCGTGCGTTGTGTGTAAAGCGCATTCTGTTATGATTTACCGAACTTGTCACTGCGTCTTTTCGCTTCATGTACTCTGCTGGTTTCACCGAGGATCGCGTTTGCACCATGCCCAAACAGGACGATACATTCTGTGCAAGCTTCACTCCCCTAACATTAACATCTAGGCCCATTATCCCCCGACGTGTAGCTTTTATGTGAACTATCCACCATTAAGTGTCTGCCTTGTGGTATGTGTGCCGAATGCAGTTGACGTCACAACAACCACGCCAACCACCACCACCACTGCCGGTGAGTCCTGCCAGGTGCTGGGGCCGGGAGAGCCCCTCCCCTACCCCCCCCCTCCATCCACCACCCCCAACCGCTCCTCCAGGGCCATCCCAACTGATGGGGCTTCTGGACGCTGAGCCGTCGGGTTTCCAATGCCCTCGACGTCTAACGGGCAGCGCTGACGACGAAATTAACAGTGACACTGTGACATTGAGAAGGCCGACGCCTTGTTGGTTGTGTATGCTATGCTGTGATTGGCCCAGATGTCTATGCGGAACTGCTAAATGAGGGCGCCGCGATGGCGAGATGTTAACTCTCTCGCCTGGTACACAGGAGGTCGTGGGTTCGATCGCGACTCTGGCGCCTGTATATTTGGAGTTTGCGTGTTCTCCCTGTGGTCGCGTGGATTTTTCTCCGGGTCCTCCGGTTTTTCCCTCCACATTTAGAAACATCATGCGTTTAGAAAATTTGGCTGCTGTAACTTTCCACATAATAAGCCACTTCGTTGGGCTATCAATTGTGGCCAGGTCGCTTCAGAAAGAGATCGATGTAGCTCAGTGGGCCTTACTTGGTGAAATAAAAAATAGTTTTGCTTAGTTTTTAGACTGGAGAATATCCACTTTTAACGAGTGACTGGCACGCCTGGGTATAATGGGCCCATATAATGAATCTCCCTCCAGTAGGTTAGAGGATGTCACCGGATCACACGGAATGTGCCCCATCTCGTGACATTCCGGAAGATAAGCAGGGTAGAACCTGGATAGCGCTTGGATGAGTGAGCAGTGTGCACGACGGGTTGCTACAGGCTGCAACGGTGGGCAGCAGAAGGCAGTGCAGCAACATATACGGCTGTGCAGGGCTTATAATGCTCCCGTGCGTTTTCTCCTCGCCTGAACAACCTGCACTGACCAGCATGGTGAAGTATGGTCAAATAACCCCCATAATTTGCGTGGCCTGGGGAGGCCCTCATGCAGCAGCGGATTGACAGAAGGGACTGAAGACAAATCGGTTGTTGAGCGTTGAAGTTGTTGTTATTGGTCGAGGAATATTTCTGCCACCTGCAGAATAAACTAGGGTAGTGGTTGTCGTTGTTTGTGAAGGCACGAGTGTGTGTGTGTGTGGTGAGGTGAGGTGAGCGTGCTGAGTATGGTGAGCATTGCACTTGTGGTACGCATGGCAAGTGTGGTGATCGAGCATGGTGAGCGTGTCGCGCGTGGTGAGCGTGTCGCGTGTGGTGAGCGTTTCGCGTGTGGTGAGCGCGGTGAGCGGAGCCCGCGTCTCGGCGTGCGTGCGTGCAGCTCCGCGCGGCGCCCCGCGGGGCCTGGTGACGAGCGACGAGACCTCCTCGAGCTTCCTCGTGCGCTGGGAGCACGCCGTGGGGGCCGTGCTGCAGTACCGCATCGTCTACGAGCCCGTGGGGGGCACGCGGTCCCCCGAGGCGGTGAGGCACGGGCCCGCCGCGCCCACCGCACTCACCACACTCGCAGTAGACAAAGGCAAAGATCCCCCGTGTAGCCTGAACAGACCGTTGGGGCAAGCGATGTTAGGGAGCAGCACCTATGAATGCCGGCATGGTGTATGAGGGGGTGGATGGCCAGCACCATGCCCGGCCGCCTTTGTCTCCTCAGTGGCGATGTTTACACACAGCACCGGCCACTCATTTGAGGCTGACTTGACCTAGGGGAGGAGGCCAGGAAAGGTTCAGATAATCGTCACTGGTGTTAACCGTGAGTGGGAATCGAATTCGGGTTGCCGGGTTTGTAGCGCAGCGTGCTAACCGCCACGCTAGCACCACACACTTACACACACTCGCACACACACTCGCACACACACACGTACACACACTCGCACACACACACGTAAACGTTCATTCACATGCACACACGCGTGTTAGTCATACATTACTTTTAGTGCACTTTGTGTTTTCTTTTCATACTGTTGGTAAGAAGAGGTATCTTTTATATTCTTTGGTTCTTTCGATAAAGTCACGTCGATAGAAAATAAAATAAAAAATAATCCTAAAACTCATGACGTTTCAATTGCAACACAAGCGGTTGTCATCTGGCGAAGAGAAAAAAAGGTATCTTTTATTTTATGTTGCTGGTTGTTGTTGGTCGAGGTTTTTTTGGTGCCATGGAGGCGAGGTGCACTACCTCGCCTGGTATACAGGAGGCCGTGGGTTCGATCCCGACCCGCACGCCTGCTGCTGTATATTTGGAGTTTGTGTGTCTCCCCGTGGTTGCGAGGATTTTTCTCTGGGTCCTCCCATTGTTCCCTCCACATTTAGAATCAACATGCGTTTAGAGTATTTGGCTGCTATATATTTCCACGTGAGAAGCCACCTCGTTGAGCTGTAATTTGTGGCCAGGTCGCTTCTGAAAAATATCTGTACAGCCCAGTGGGCCCTACCTGGTAAAATAGAAAATAGTTTTAGATTTTCGTGTTACTGGCTGCATCTATGACCCTCTTCCGCGCCACACAATAACCTCTCACACTGCCACACAACACCTGCGTTGTGATGCCCCTGCAGGTGCTGGTGGGTGGACGCCGGAACAACGTGATCCTGCAGAACCTGCTGCCCGACACCCCGTACCGCGTCACCGTCACCTCCCTCTACCAGGCTGGCGAAGGGGGCAACCTGGACGGCACCGCACGCACGCGTTAGTACCGCACGGCACGGCGCACCGCAGGGCAACCCGTACACATCCAGCGCACAGAGCATCCGGTACATGGGCCAATGGGTACACAGGGCAACCGCACATATGGCAAAACGTAGCGCACTGCACATGGGGCACAGCACTTAGCACGGTCTCGCGCTGCTTGTACACGGTTACACTTGCACGCGCTGCGTTTGGACGCACAGAGTGCACACAGAGAACCGTCCGGAACACGGTCGTGACAGCAGGTGGGTGCTTGCGTAGGGAGGGGCGCGTGTCTCTCTCAAGAGAAACCCCGGGAAGTAACGGGAACGATGTGTGAGCATACACACCAGGAATAACCTTTGTGAACAAATCAATAACAGTTGTTCAAATCGTAGCAGTTAAAACACCAATTTACGCTTAGCTGATATCGACTTATAAACCGTAAACACTTTACATATCAAACATACTGAATACTCATACTCTGCGGTTCTTTCGGCCAAGTCACGTAGGTATAAAACTAATCAATCACGACGTTTCGATTGCAACACAAGCAACCGTCATCAGGTAATGCCAAAGAGTATGGGTTCCTGCAGTCACGAAAGTTTCGAATCAAGATTTTAACATACTGAATATATAATATGAAATATATCGGGGGGGAAATCCAATAGAAACGCGATGACATTTATTCTAACTGTCATAATTCAATTGGAATAAAATACACTTGGAAGTAGCCACGAAGCTAATTGACATTCGCAATTGGCCAAATGGAGAGTATCTTTGCCTGACGAAATATTTATGAAGAAGGCCGACGTGATGAATTAATTGCAGATGAAATATCATTCCATTTTAACTGAAGCAGTCTGCTTCAAACGTTTTGGCCGAATGTTGCTTTTATATTGGTACCTAACAGACAGACACAACCACAGTGCAAAGACAAAGATCCCCCATATAGCCTTAACCGACTGTTGGGGCATGTGCTGTTAGTGAGCACCTATGAAGGCCAGCATGGCACACAAAGGGAGTGGGTGGCCAGCACCATGTCCGGCCGCCTTTGTCTCCCCAGTGGTGATGTTTTACACGCCACACCAGGTACTCATTTTAGCCTGGGTCTACAGAGGGGAGGCCCAGGACCGGTTCAGATAATCGTCACTGGTGTCGGCCGCGAGCCGAAATCGAACTCGGGTCGCCGGCTTCGTAGCGCAGCGCGATAACCACTACACTACCTCTCCCCAATGATACAAAGACATAACCACAGCGCTCACTCACAAACTCATACGCACACCCGCACACATGCACACACATTTGTGCGCGTAGTTCTCGCCCACAGACCAAGAGTTCCGCGGTCCGGGCCAAGAGAAATGTTTAAAATGTGGTGTAAAGAGGTGCCCTTCAGTGACATCCAGAGGCAATATTTATTTTTTGGGTTATAGGAGTAATTCAAATAGTTTTCAGTTACGAAATATTCCATTGCTTTGCTCACATGGCAAGTGGATCCTTGCCAGATGAGACTCGATTTTCTGCTCCACGCGTCACATCATTGTCCAAAAATTAATTGCCAGCACAAACTGACTCCGCTATTAGTAAGTTCACTTCCAACCTTGACATCTCCCCTCACGCGCTCAATACAGACAAAACCAATAGCACGAGTGCATTGCACACCAGAACGCACCGCAATCCACATCACTTGTTTGAGTGCCCGCGGCTCAGCGGTGGTGCCCCTGTGTGTAACAATCTGGGTTTCCATACCGACACGGAGCTTGCACCCGAGCCCCCAACGTTGGCTCGATGGCTACAGTCGCTCACTGAGAAGTCCCACAAGGGCGATACAATTCTGCGTCTTCAAGCTGCTTACTGCCATGATCGACTTCGTTAGGGCCCACTGTACAAAATGTTAATTAACACTATTCAGTGTGATACCCACAAATGAATTGGGGTTTTTTTTTCCTCTTGACAAACTGTAATTAAATTATCGCGGCATCACCGCTGTACACAAGAGGGAAAACTCACAAGTAAGCGCAGAGCACTCTAATCTTCACTACCTCGCTCAGCTAAAACTCAGAACTTAGCTCAGTACTCTTTACATTCTGAGCTTTAAGCACCAACTTTGTCTGGTCAATTGTCAGAAGATTACTGCTCTTCCACGATTGTGTTGACGCCAGATTGATCGTGTTTCATAAATCGTGGACAATTCATGTATGGTGCCTTCTGTATTGGGCAACACAGGCCTTGCAGGGCTAGGGCGAGTGATTATGAACTGCATGATAATCACTGTATTGTTTTGACATCCAGTACGTCGTGGCCTATCCGACCCATCACATATCCACCCTGGCCACTTAAACTGCCCACATTCCGTGCATGGGGCGGCGACTGTCATTGTATCAAGATGTTAAAAAATCTGACCGTTTCACAGAGCCACCTTTTCCCGTAGTCTGCCCCACTGTAATGTAGCCCGATTTCTATCCCCAATAAAAGTTGTTCAATGGACTCACTCCTTCCTACCCTCTCCCCGATCATCTCACTACTCCCCTCCACACACTTTCTGCTTCAGCAAGCAATACCTACTATTGAAACCCACGGTCATTCGTAGCTAAATGGGAGGTCGCTCATTCTCCCCGTCTAGGACTCCCCTAGACCTCACCTTGAGGACGGAAGTCCCCATCTGGGACTCACTCGTGGTGCTGTCCCTTAGTCCCTCTGCTTATTGTTGACTGCATAAATAGACAAGCCCACCGTGCCATGCGGAGGATATATAAAGCTGCGTAGAATCCATAACGGTTTTGTCCGTCGAGGCCCGTCTCCGGGTGCCCATCCGGCGTTTTCAGCCGCGCTGAGCTGCCGCCGCCGCACCGTCACGTCACCGCTCACGCTGGCGCGTGTCCGTCTCCGGCAGTTCCTCTGGTGGCACCGCGCAACCTGCGCATCTCGGAGGAGTGGTACACGCGCTTCCGCGTGTCCTGGGAGCCCGTGCGCGGCCCGCTGCTTGGATACCGCGTCACCTACTCGCCCGCAGGTGCGCAGCTCACCCACACACGCACTCAAACGGCGACCGAGTGCACCAGCGGTGGGGGAAGCTTCTCCATGCCGAGGGCCAAACAGGACTTTCAAATACCTTTGGCAGGCCACGCATGGAAAGTAACGTCGAACGTCACGGCAAACAACAAGCGGTACAACCCGGGCACAGCTCGGAGACATACGCAGCGGCATAACCGCGAAGGCGTACGCAGTGGCACACGGTATTTATTTTGAGTCCTCACCTTGAACCCACCCACCCTTGTCCCCACGCACGCCTTGCCTTCCCACGGGCATGCGGTGCCGGCAGCGGGCGGCCCCGCGCAGGACGTGTTTGTGGGGGACGTGACAAGCACGATGCTGCAGGGCCTGAGCCCCGGCACCGAGTACGGCGTCAAGGTGCAAGCGCTCTACCCCGGGGGCACCAGCGAGCCCCTGCAGGGGCCCGGACGCACGCGTGAGTAGCCGCCCTTCGCCGGGACGCACGACACCCACCCACAGGCTCGCCCACCGGCTCCCCATCACGTCGCCCGCCAGCTCAGCCCACCCACTCACCCGTCAACCCACCGGCACACCCACCCACTAAACCACTCACTCACACACACACTCACCGACCTACCAGCCTAGGCGCCCGTAGACCACCCACTGGCCAGCCCACCCAATCACCCACCAACCCGCTCACCCACTCACCCACCAGGTCACCCACCCACCAGCTTAACCTTCCACCCACTCATGCACTCATCATCCCCCGCATCCAACACCTACCAGCCTATTGCCTGCCAAAACTAACATCAGCGGGAAATATCTAAACGCGAGGTCATCTTAATTCATTACAGTACCTGGTGCGATGCGTAAAATATCAACACTGGGGCGGCAAAGGCGGTGGAAAATGGCCGCGCCACCCCATTGTATACCCCAGTGGGCGTCTCGCTAACGGCTTGCTGGGGCTCGTTTTGTCCGCGCAGTGCCGCTGATGGTGAGCGAGCTGCGCGCGTTCCGCGTGGAGGTGAACAGCCTGTGCATGCGCTGGAAGCCGGTGCGCGACGCCGCCTCGTACCGCCTCTCCTGGGAGCCGCTGGCAGGTGTGGATACCCGGCCGTGCCGGCAAGGGACGATGGACTCGTGTGTGTATCACCGTGTGTAACGTGTGTGTATCACCGTGGGTAATGTGTGTGTATCACCGTGCGTAACGTGTGTGTATCACCGTGTGTAACGTGTGTGTATCACCGTGGGTAATGTGTGTGTATCACCGTGAGTAACGTGTGTGTATCACCGTGGGTAACGTGTGTGTATCACCGTGCGTAACGTGTGTGTATCACCGTGCGTAACGTGTGTGTATCACCGTGAGTAACGTGTGTGTATCACCGTGCGTAACGTGTGTGTATCACCGTGAGTAACGTGTGTGTATCACTGTGAGTAACGTGTGTGTATCACCGTGAGTAACATGTGTGTATCACCGTGCGTAACGTGTTGTGTAACGTGTGTGTATCACCGTGAGTAACGTGTGTGTATCACCGTGCGTAACGTGTGTGTATCACCGTGAGTAACGTGTGTGTATCACCGTGAGTAACGTGTGTGTATCACCGTGCGTAACGTGTGTGTATCACCGTGAGTAACGTGTGTGTATCACTGTGAGTAACGTGTGTGTATCACCGTGCGTAACGTGTTGTGTAACGTGTGTGTATCACCGTGAGTAACGTGTGTGTATCACCGTGAGTAACGTGTGTGTATCACCGTGAGTAACGTGTGTGTATCACCGTGCGTAACGTGTGAGTATCACCGTGCGTAACATGTGAGTATCACCGTGCGTAACGTGTGTGTATCACTGTGCGTAACGTGTGTGTATCACTGTTCGTAACGTGTGTATCACTGTGTGTAACGTGTGTGTATCACTGTGTGTAACGTGTGTGTATCATCGTGAGTAACGTGTGAGTATCACCGTGCGTAACGTGTGTGTATCACCGTGAGTAACGTGTGTGTATCACTGTTCGTAACGTGTGTGTATCACTGTGTGTAACGTGTGTGTATCACTGTGTGTAACGTGTGTGTATCACCGTGAGTAACGTGTGTGTATCACTGTTCGTAACGTGTGTATCACTGTGTGCAACGTGTGTGTATCACTGTGTGTAACGTGTGTGTATCATCGTGAGTAACGTGTGTGTATCACTGTGCGTAACGTGTGTGTATCACCGTGAGTAACGTGTGTGTATCACTGTGTGTAACGTGTGTGTATCACCGTGCGTAAATCACCGTGCGTAACGTGTGTGTATCACTGTGTGTAACGTGTGTGCAGCGCTATGTGTAATGAGTGTGCATCCCTGCTGTGTGTGTGTAATGTGTGTGTATCCCTGCTGTGTGTGTAATGTGTGTGTAATGTGTGTGTGTAATGTGTGTGTATCCCTGCTGTGTGTGTGTGTGTGTAATGTGTGTATCCCTGCTGTGTGTGTGTGTGTAATGTGTGTGTATCCCTGCTGTGTGTGTGTAATGTGTGTGTATCCCTGCTGTGTGTGTGTAATGCGTGTGTATCTCTGCTGTGTGTGTGTGTAATGTGTGTGTATCCCTGCTGTGTGTGTGTGTAATGTGTGTGTATCTCTGCTGTGTGTGTGTGTAATGTGTGTGTATCTCTGCTGTGTGTGTGTGTAATGTGTGTGTATCACTGCTGTGTGTGTAATGTGTGTGTATCCCTGCTGTGTGTGTGTGTGTGTGTAATGTGTGTGTATCCCTGCTGTGTGTGTGTAATGTGTGTGTATCCCTGCTGCGTGTGTGTAATGCGTGTGTATCACTGCTGTGTGTGTAATGTGTGTGTATCCCTGCTGTGTGTGTGTGTGTGTAATGCGTGTGTATCCCTGCTGTGTGTGTGTAATGTGTGTGTATCCCTGCTGTGTGTGTGTGTGTGTAATGTGTGTGTATCCCTGCTGTGTGTGTGTAATGTGTGTGTATCCCTGTGTGTGTGTGTAATGTGTGTGTATCCCTGCTGTGTGTGTGTGTAATGTGTGTGTATCACTGCTGTGTGTGTAATGTGTGTGTATCCCTGCTTTGTGTGTGTGTAATGTGTGTGTATCCCTGTGTGTGTGTGTAATGTGTGTGTATCCCTACTGTGTGTGTGTGTGTAATGTGTGTGTATCCCTGCTGTGTGTGTGTGTGTAATGTGTGTGTATCCCTGCTGTGTGTGTGTAATGTGTGTGTATCCCTGCTGCGTGTGTGTAATGCGTGTGTATCACTGCTGTGTGTGTAATGTGTGTGTATCCCTGCTGTGTGTGTGTGTGTGTGTAATGCGTGTGTATCCCTGCTGTGTGTGTGTAATGTGTGTGTATCCCTGCTGTGTGTGTGTGTGTGTAATGTGTGTGTATCCCTGCTGTGTGTGTGTAATGTGTGTGTATCCCTGTGTGTGTGTGTAATGTGTGTGTATCCCTGCTGTGTGTGTGTGTAATGTGTGTGTATCACTGCTGTGTGTGTAATGTGTGTGTATCCCTGCTTTGTGTGTGTGTAATGTGTGTGTATCCCTGTGTGTGTGTGTGTAATGTGTGTGTATCCCTACTGTGTGTGTGTGTAATGTGTGTGTATCCCTGCTGTGTGTGTGTAATGTGTGTGTATCCCTGCTGTGTGTGTGTAATGTGTGTGTATCCCTGCTGCGTGTGTGTAATGCGTGTGTATCACTGCTGTGTGTGTAATGTGTGTGTATCCCTGCTGTGTGTGTGTGTAATGCGTGTGTATCCCTGCTGTGTGTGTGTAATGTGTGTGTATCCCTGCTGTGTGTGTGTGTGTGTAATGTGTGTGTATCCCTGCTGTGTGTGTGTAATGTGTGTGTATCCCTGCTGTGTGTGTGTAATGTGTGTGTATCCCTGCTGTGTGTGTGTGTGTGTAATGTGTGTGTATCCCTGCTGTGTGTGTGTAATGTGTGTGTATCCCTGTGTGTGTGTGTAATGTGTGTGTATCCCTGCTGTGTGTGTGTGTAATGTGTGTGTATCACTGCTGTGTGTGTAATGTGTGTGTATCCCTGCTTTGTGTGTGTGTAATGTGTGTGTATCCCTGTGTGTGTGTGTAATGTGTGTGTATCCCTACTGTGTGTGTGTGTAATGTGTGTGTATCCCTGCTGTGTGTGTGTGTGTGTAATGTGTGTGTATCCCTGCTGTGTGTGTGTAATGTGTGTGTATCCCTGCTGCGTGTGTGTAATGCGTGTGTATCACTGCTGTGTGTGTAATGTGTGTGTATCCCTGCTGTGTGTGTGTGTGTGTGTAATGCGTGTGTATCCCTGCTGTGTGTGTGTAATGTGTGTGTATCCCTGCTGTGTGTGTGTGTGTGTAATGTGTGTGTATCCCTGCTGTGTGTGTGTAATGTGTGTGTATCCCTGTGTGTGTGTGTAATGTGTGTGTATCCCTGCTGTGTGTGTGTGTAATGTGTGTGTATCACTGCTGTGTGTGTAATGTGTGTGTATCCCTGCTTTGTGTGTGTGTAATGTGTGTGTATCCCTGTGTGTGTGTGTAATGTGTGTGTATCCCTACTGTGTGTGTGTGTAATGTGTGTGTATCCCTGCTGTGTGTGTGTAATGTGTGTGTATCCCTGCTGTGTGTGTGTGTAATGTGTGTGTATCCCTGCTGTGTGTGTGTAATGTGTGTGTATCCCCACTGTCGTTGATGCTGACCAGGAGGTCCCAAGCGTGAAGCGGTCTTCCCGGGCAGCCAGATCGAGCACTGCATCCCGGAGCTGCAGGCCGATTCCCCCTACCGCGTCAGCATCACCGCGCTCGTGGGACAGGCCGAGGGGCCTGCCACCAGCGCCACAGAGCGCACCAGTACGGCACAGTCATACCCGGCACATGCAGCACACCAGAGTCATGTGCAGCACGCCAGAGTGACACGTAGCAAAGCGGAGTCATATGCGCAGCCCAGCTATACCCGGCACAGAGAGCGGACTTAAGGGGTGTAACGATCCACTGATTTATCGATTGACACGGATTCTCCGAGCTCACGATATGCGCGTGTAAGAACCGGTATTTTTTGGTTATTATATACATTGTGAAGAGCTCATAACACCCCTCCAGCTCCTCAATAATGCTGTGTTCACCAAAGTGTTCAGGAGCTATTGATTCGTGAGTCAATTCACCCACCCTGAATCGTGATGATGGATTGGACCACGTGGGGGGAAGAGTTGCTCCACTCCAAACTGAAGCACACAGCACGGGACACGCGCACGAGGTGCCAGGCACAGGTGTATGGCGACAGCTTCGGGTGATCCCCGGCATCGGAACGAGCAACGTGATCATCGTCGATCCCGCTAACGAACCTTCGGGATTGAATCTCTACGTTCGCAACACCGATCCACGTTAAATCGATTCCCCACATCTTAAGGACACTGAGCGGACACATGACCAGGGATTAGAATTAACCCTGGTCGCGTGCGACTGCATGAACACCGACCAGACTATTGTGACCACACAGTGGTGAACGCCATTGTGAACTCGATGTGTGGGTCTGTGTGAGTCTTTGGGTCTCTATGTGCGACCACACTGCAGTGAACCACTGTAAACTCTGAAACATTCAACGGAGGCATTGAAGCCGAATCTCCACCGCACATCAACTGAAGCCATTTCCTGGCTAACTGACCTGGACATAGACTCACAGTCCGCTAATCCTCGAGAGAGTACGCGAGAGAAGGTTCGGGGATGCGCAGCATCCGCGCGTCCCGTCACAACCCCAGGTGGTGTGGTCGGCTCGTGGCCTCCACGCTGCATTAGCGCAGGGTCGTTGAAGTGCTGTCACGGAGTCCCGGACCTCGTGTGGCAAATCGCTCTCGCACGTAAAAACTCTGCGGTGTAATCCCCACTGGAGACGGGCCAGGGGTAGTGATGACAGACGGATCGTACTTGGCGAACGCGAACGACAAACATAATTTGTAATGTAACTGAAGTCTTAATATTTACTGTACTTATGAAATGCATGTAAAGGTTTTAGAAGCGGTAATATTTTAAGATTTGAAGACATCTTTACTGTGATGTGTTTGCACAAAAAACACACCTGGCCATATACATTTTAAATACGCTGAGTTTCTAATACGTATAGTTGCGCATTGTGTAAGCACCTGCTAGGATGCTGCCGTGATGTAATGGCTACATGTGATCCGGAGGTCACCGGTTCGACCTCCCGGCACAACAGCTGAAACAAATCCCCCCACCTTTGTCCACGCAGCAGCATCAATGGACTCACCACAGATAGCCAATCGCCAGGTCACATGTGGTGGGGTAAAGTGTGGGTGTTCCCACCTCTTCCAAGACGTGTTTGCCAGTGTAAAAGAGTAGGCCAATCACAGGGCTGCACCTTGACATTTTATAGACCCGCCAAACGTCAATGGGGGCATGTCCATCAATGCTCGCGCAGTTAACTTTCCCAGCGTCTGTCGTTCACAAACATCACGGTAACGCGTGACGACGCCCGACACTCGCGGGACGCCGGCGGCCGGTCGCTGCTTGACGGCGGCCATGGCTCGCCCGGGCGGTCGTCGGTCCGTCCTCACCGTGTACGCCTGCGCGCGGGCGCGCGCGCGTGCGGCTTTTGCAGTGCCCGTCCCAACCACGACTCCGACCACGACGACCACCACGCCGCCGCCCACGATCCCTCCTGCCCGCGACGGTGCGTGACCCACGCCCGCACGGCTGCCCGCTGCCTCTTCACCGCCCCTCCCCTTGAGGTTGAACAAGGGAGGCGCGTTACGACCGCTCCCTCCACGACCACGGCGGTTGGAGTTGTGCCGCGGGTGGTTTGCTCCATAGTGCCGGGAACTTCTTCAGGAAGTGAATGCAGTGGATTCTTGTGAACCCACCTGCCCCCCCCCCCCCCATCCTACAAAGATGCCCGTCCCAACCATGGGCACCATGGTGGTGAGATGTTAACTTACCTTGCCTGGTATACAGGAGGTCGTGGGTTTAATCTCGACCCTGACGCCTGCTGTATATTTGGAGTTTCAATGGTGGCGTGGATTTTTCTCCAGGTCCTCTGCTTTTTCCCTCCACATTTCGAATAATGCGTTTAGTTTATTATTTGGCTGCTATACATATTCACGTGATGAGAAGCCACTTCGGTGGCCAGGTCGCATCTGAAAAAGAGCTACATAGCTCAGTGAGCCCTTACCTTGTAAAATATATTTTTTTAATATAGCTATACAGCAAGTAGGTTACCGTTCTCGCTGTGTGGCTGGTACAAAGCGTTTTAACCCCCCGCTCCTTCCTAAAGGGATGCTTCCAAGCGGTAACGGCGAGCACGTGGGCCCAACAGTTAGTCGATCAGCAGGCCGCGTGCGGTGGGGTCAATTGTGGGTACTTCCACTTCTTTCAAGACGTTTGGCCAGCGTGGAAGAGTAGGCCAATATAACATCTTCAAAGTGGGACCTCTAAGTGGAGACCCCTCCCGCTAGCAGCAGCGTTAGCGAGCGATCACAGTGCTGTACCGTGACCGTATGTCGCCTTATACTTGGCTGTTGCCACCCACGGCACGAGTAAGCATCTGCAGCCGTGGTCCAGCTGGGGGTGTGTGATGTGAACGGGCACTGTGCACCGCTGCTGCTGCTACGTGTGCGCAGTGTGCAAAGGTGCGAAGGCAGACATCGTGTTCCTGGTGGACGGCTCCTGGAGCATCGGTGATGACAACTTCCACAAGGTGATCCGCTTCCTGTACAGCACAGCGGGCGCACTGGACAAGATCGGACCTGACGGGGCACAGGTGGGCGCACGCACGCGGAGCAACTACGTGGAGACGAACACCAAGCATCCACATGTAGCCCTGAACAGACCAGTGGGGCCCATGTTATGGCCCGGTATGGCACGCATTGGGGTGGTGTGGACAGCGTCACGCCCACTGCTGTTGTTTACCACACCACATGCCACACCAGATATTAATTTTAAGGCTGAGTCGACGTTTTGGAGGCGCAGGACCGGTTTAAAATAATCTCCACTTGATGTTAGCTGTGGCCATAAAGGGAATGTGGCGATACTGGTCTTAATTAACATCGAGCGGTTATTCTAACATGTATCTACCAATTAATAATATACTTGTGCAAAATAACACCTTCCCAAACAGAGCCTGTATGTACGTTCAACTTCTTTCGCACCATATGTAGCCAGCCGTGATCATTGGAGGTATATTTAATCCTCGTAGAAATAAAAAAACAAACCTTCTGTGTGGCTCTAATGTGTTTTTTTTCTGAGCCGAAGAAGTCCCAGCACGTGGAGCAAGACATCGGACAGCGTGCGGAAGAGCGCTCGGCACAGCGCCGTAACAGTGCAACGGCACGGCGGAGAGCCGCGCAGCGCAGTGGCGAAAGCCTCGCTCGGTAGCGGCGGCGCTCCGCCCGCCAGTGCCCTCTGACCCTCCCGTCCGCCACCCCCACCCCGTACCACGTGCCAGGTGGCCATCGCCCAGTTCAGCGACGACGCGTGCACCGAGTTCCTGCTGAGCATGCACCGTGACAAGGAGAGTCTGCTGCACACCATCGAGAACATGCGCTACAAGGGCGGCAACACCAAGACCGGTGCGGCCCTCGCCCCGCCCCCCTCCCCCTCGCCACCTCCACGGCTGCCCACCGTTCGACACCGGCACCACAGCGGGGCGGGGAACCCAAAGGGACAGCTTTCCCCGGGCCCCACACAAAAGAGGGCCCCACAACTAGTGCCGGATTAAGCTAGTGCGGGACCTGTAGCATATGTTATAAAGGGACCCTTAAATAAAAAAAACACGTAACTATTAAAACACGATTTTTTTACTTGCATGGTAAAGTAATTGTATCGTTTCATTTGCTATACTGTCAAATAACACGACAAATCGCTAACCTTAAACACCCAGTCATTCATAAAAGTTGAAGGCGGTATAGTACTATAGTAATAGAGCAAGTGCAGAATCACTGAACCGGAATTGATAGCTTGAAAGCGTTTAGCGCGAGGCCCTTGAAAGTGCGGGGCCCGTAGCATATGTAGCTACTTTTGCTAGTAGGATAATCTGGCACTGCCCACAACGGCCTTGTTGTTACTTTCTCGCGAATGCATGAGGGGGGCCCACGTCACGTTCTGCCATGGCCCTCCGGGCAGCCTCTGGGTGACCCTGCTCAATGTTCTACCCGGCAAACCACGGGCAAACCTCTCCGAGCCGGACTCAATGGGGGGGGCAGAGCCCTTCCCGTTGAGGGAGACGTCCGGCAAACTGCCAATACTAAATGCGTAATTACTCTGTTATATCATTTACACGATCCCTGTCGTGCCGACTCACCGCACCGCCTCTCTGTGTCCGCCGCAACAGGACGTGCGCTGACGCACGTCCGGGACCACCTGTTTGTGGAGACGGGCGGCATGCGGCGCAACGTGCCCAAGGTGCTCGTGGTGCTCACGGACGGCCGCTCCCAGGACGAGACGCCGCTCATCGCTCGCGAAATCCAGCTTAGCGGTGGGCAGCGCGACGCGCCACACGGCGGGGTTTTGAGTCGTACCGCGTGTGGTTCGCTGAATGCAATACTCTGGAGGTGCGGTGCATTCTTGTGAACCCCCCTGCCCCCCCCCCAGCCAATTGATAGCTGTACAGCAAGTAGGTTGCTGATCTAGCGCAGTGGCGCGATGACGGTCACGCGGCCTCGGGGCTGTCGCGCGGCACGGCCTAGCGCAGGGCTGTGAAAGCGAGGCCTATGCGGGCACAACGTGGAATCGAGAGGGGCCGGATATCGTGAGTTCCTCTCACAGTGCACGATGGTAATGCGCACGATGGCACCGACGTAGCGTGACGCAACAAGGTATTGGGCACCGGTGGCGCGAGGAATGAGAGGGAAAAGCCCCCATGGAGCTCGCGTATGAAGAGGGATGCACCAAATATCCGCCATAATCCAGATCCTTATGAACATAAAAGCCAATATACGGAAACACACAATTAATCTCTCTCATCTCTATCTTGTCTGCAGCTCTCTTCTCTCACCTCACGACATCTTTGCCTCTTTTCTGCATCTCTCTAATTTCACTACATTCACGTCTCATCTGTATCTCTATTCACTCACCTCACTGTCAGTTAATATCTATTTGTCCACATTGCTCTCACCTCACTACATCTCTGCCTCTCGTCCAAATCTCTTCTGTCCATCTCACTGGGAGTTTATAATTTCCCACGGCCCCCCAGGGAGCCGGCGCCGGCAGCGGCGGCCAGGGACGGCGACAGCAGCAGTCGTTGCGCGCTTGAGCCGGCTCCGCGCTTCTCCCTCCCCCTCGATCCCAGGCGTCAGCATCTTCGGGATCGGCATCGCGGACGCCGACTACACGGAGCTGGTGTCCATCGCGAGCCAGCCCACAGAGCGGCACCTCTTCTTCGTGGACGACTTCAACGCTTTCCAGAAGATCGAAGATGAGCTCATCGCCTTCATCTGCGAGACGGCCTCGGCCAGTACGACACACGCGCACGCCACTCCTCGCAACATGCCTAGCACACGCCTAGGACACGCATAGCGCACACCTAGCACACGCATAGCGCACACCTAGTACACAAGCCACGCAGCCCTCACTACATGGCCACACAACAATAATCCCCCGCATAGCCTCATAGGCTTTTGGCGCAAGTGCTGTCGGCGAGTAGCACCTATGAAGGCCGGCACGGCACACGGGGAGTGGGTGGCTCGCACCATGCCCGGTCGCCTTTGTCTCCCGAGTGGCGATGTTTACACACCGTATCGGGTACTCATTTGAGGCCGAGTCGACCTAGTGGTGGTCCAGAACCAGATCAGATAATATTTACCGGTGTGGCACACAAACGCGCTTCTGCGGCCGTCTGGAACGCTCTTCCTTCCGATATTAGGAAGCCACTCGATCTATGCACGTTTAAATCATCTAGATTGAAAACTAATTTATTTAAAACAGTTTTTGTGTTTGGTTGTTCTTCCCCCGGTACCTCTGATTAGCACGGTTGGCTACATATGGTGCAAAAGAAGTTCAACAAACTACATACGTATAGACTCATACACATGCACCCACACTCCTACGCACGCGCTCCCTTGTGCCTCGTGTGCTCACGTGTGCTCTATTTGTGTTCCCCGCAGCCTGCCCACTCGCGTTCCTCAACGGGCACACGGTGTCAGGTGAGTGGCGCTCGCAGCGTGTTCAGACCTGACCCGACGCAGAAGTCCCCCTGTCGTCTCGGCCGTGAAGGCTGTCGAGGCAACTCCTGTTGGCAAGAACCTTTGAAGGCCAACAGGACACACAAGGGGAGACCGTGCAGGGTGTAGCGGTGCGGTTATATTGGGTGCGGTGCGCAGGGTGTAACGGTGCGGTTGTATCGGCTGTGCGGTGTGCAGGGTTTAACATGATGGAGTCATTTGGGCTTTTGGACAAAACCTACTCTATGCTGAGTGGCGTCGCCATGGTGCCAGGGACCTTTAACAGCTTTGGCTCCTTCAAGATTCAACCGGAAGCTCAGCTCCGACAGCTAACCAGGTAATAGCAGACGAGCCAGGCTGTTCTTTGCGAGTGAAACATGTTTGTGTAATAAGAGAGTACTGGGCCTGTAATTCATGTTTTGCTGTCATCGTTTTCGGTCATTTCTCTTTTACTTTGCTCCCAAGTTTCAGTTATTTGTCCAGAATGTGATCTTTCATTATTATGGTCGTGACAACTGTTTCAGAATTTGTCTTTGTCTTAGGTATTATAATCTGCTGCGTAAAGGGACTCTAAATGAACCCACCCACCGAACCTGTTTTTTTGCCCAGGTTTTTCCCTTTTTTTGCTTTGTCCTCGCTTTGCCAATGCTGAAGTATAACCAGCATTGTTTCGGCTTTGGTTCGCTCCCTGTCTCACGTTCGCGTCTCGTTTTCACGAATCGTGAGTACCGTGCATGCCTTCTCAGTATAATGACCACGTTTGGTTCATAAACAGAGGATTTGCGTACATCCCTAATGCGGCTCAGCGGGAGAGCGAGTGGCTTGCCAGCAGGCTTCAACTTAAAATTCTGGTTGGAGTTTGACTCGGCCTATCGTCCCTCCGGGATTAATAAAACAAGTACCACTTTGTTGGGAAGTCACCAGTGGTCGTTCTGTGACTCTGCTGGTGAGACCACAGTGTCAGAACCGGGCCACGGTTTTCTTTGCTTGAAAGAATTCTGCTGAAGTGATGCACTCCCAGAAGGCCATGCTGCAGATACTCTAAGGTTGTGCATGAAATGCACTAAAACTTTGCCCACCTGTCCAGTACTCATTGTATACACGCACAGTAAAGGTGCTCTTTAACTGCACTCTGCTCACGTGAAAGAATAGACACACCATCTTGATCACTCATAGTAGGTAAAATAATTATTACATTGTTCTTTTTGAATCTACATAACATTTACTGTACATTTTCGTTAACCTTATGTTTCACCCTATACCATACAAGTAATATTTAACACTACACAAAATGTTAACCATATTTTACGTATAAAGATACTTCCTGTTTGGGCTTATATAAGGTGACATTAAACAAGAGGAGTGGGTGTCATATTGATGAACAGTGAACCAAACCCTATTTTTCCTATTCGCCTTTTGAATTTGCGGATCGCGGATTTGCCGATTGCGGTGATTTTCACACAACGTAACTCCCCCCCCCGCGATGGGCAAAGTTTTTTGGTGAACTTTTATTTTTTCATGTTGAGAGACAGACAAGGGAAGGAGACGTCGTCTGATTATTTATTTTGTCCTCCAGATTTTGTCTCGCCTCCGCCATGTGAATGGGGAATTTCCTACACTGGCTCAACGATGTTAGCGGGAGATGAGCACCGCCTCCGTGGCTCACTCGAGCAGAAAATCACGTTGCCTTTTGACCCCAACGCTACAGGCACTGGTGCTTGTACACTTGCGCAACGTCTGGCACACCGAGAATGTAGTTCTTCTTTCTTGAAACACTCTCGTCGCTTTTGCTTGAGTACACCCTGCAATGGGGCTGTTGGTACAGCTTGCTGATGGATGTCTTTGTGTACCCCCTCTTGGCACGAGCTGCCTGGAGCCTGCTCTGCCACTGCTCGCCAAAGCCGCTTGTAATGGAGCTTCTGGGATGGCGGGGCATTCAGCTTCCCTTATTGGTGTTGGCATCCTACCTCTGGTGTGGGGTTGCTTCGTCTACACTTTGCGAAATATTTCCTGAATGTCAGACTAATTGTATTTTGAAGCCAAGGGACCGAATACGCTTTGAGATACCCAACATCAATAGTGCATTGTTTTGCACGGCGGTATGCAAAGACGGCAAGCACCGAAGCTCTGGAATGCCTTCAATAAAAATAATTCGCAGGTGGGGTCTCTTGAGACGCGCGAAGATTCAGTGAATCAAGGAATATTTTTCATCGTCAGTTCATCAGGTCGAATACACTGACGGTGAATAATTCTTTGATTTGCTAATCGGAGAAAATTGCAACCTGAAAGGTGAATGCAGTACAACGCCACGTATCCGACTGTCCGGTGACGGGTTCAAGGTCAATATGTGGAAAGGTCGATCGGATATGTGGAACATCTCGAGAAAATGACAGTTGCACCCTGCGCAAATCCTGCCCTGGGTGTGGCCGATAAATTGCTCAGGGTGGTCGTGTGATGGTCGGATACGCAACGTTGTCCTGCACCCCGTATTGATGATGAGAGTGGACGGTGCTGGACTGTGATTTAAAAGTTTTTTTTCTTTCCTTATAACTCATTGGTAGCCAATAACCAAATACATCGATTACGAGATGTCAGAGAAGCACTTATTATACTAGCCAATATTAAAATAACTGGGTAATCATCATCAGCCATGATCAATCCACTGCTGGATGGAGGACTGTCCAAGCAGTTCTGGGATACAATAATGCACCTACCGCCTGCACATTTCAGGTGATGACGCCGATTTCATTGCTCCATCTCCTTGCTGGACATCCTCTTGGACATGTCCACTATACATTGGTAGACCACAGTTATTTGATTGCCAGCTCGCATCTGGTGGGATTTAGTGTGGGGACTCCGTACTGCCACCCCTTGCAAGATGTCAGTGTGGGAGAGAAGGCCAAAAATTACCATCAACAAGGACTCTCGAGAGCTCCCTAGAGCACACATGCAGTACCCTACCCATCTGTATTTCTCTGTTGCGATCCCTGTGTCTTGTGTGTATCTTTTATTTGATGATTTTTCTCAGAACCAGATCGCATCACGCGTCTGTCCCTGGCATACAACTTGAAGCCGTTTGTCCGACGAGCCAAAAGTCAGAGTGATTTCCTCATCAAATGAGCATTGAGGCAGTGCCCACCTCCTGTGGTGTAAATACCACATTCCTTTGGAAGGGACAAGCTATTAATAAAACTGCTAAACTATTTTTTTATTTTACCAGGTAGGTCCACTGAGCTATATAGCTCTTTTTTACAAGCGACCTGGCCACAAATGATAGCTCAACGAAGTGGCTTATCCATAAACACGTGTTGACTCTAAATGTGGAGGGAAAAACCATAGGACCTGGAGAAAAATCCATGCGACCACGGGGTGAACATGCAAAAATATACAGCAGGTGTCAGAATCGGGATTGAACCCATGTGCTCCTGTATACCAGGTGAGGTAGTTAAGATCTTGCCACCGTGGCGAGATATCCATAGGACAAGCAATGTTTACTTCCCCACAAAGCAATACTGATTTCATCAACCCCAGAGGGATGATGGGCTCAGTCAATCCCCAATCGGGATTTGAACTCACAATCCACCAATTCGTGAGCCCCTCACTCTCCCGCTGAGCCACGGGGCCTGACGCGCAATAAGAACGCGCAAATACCAAATCTACCTCGCTTACCAGCGTCCGCTCAGGCACTACCTTCCTGTTGCTGGCTATTGGTGCTGCTTGCTACGTGTCACTGGACCAATTGACCCTGCCCAGTTAAGTATCCACCACGTTTGCTATGAATGGTGAAAGGGGCCTGCTATGCTCCAAGGACTTTAGTTTGCACGGTTGGGATTTTGCCGAGTCGGTACAGCAGTAGCCTCCCCAATCACAAAGATCATTCCAGGCCAGGGCTGCCTCGGCCCATCGGCCCTCCTGACTGATTGAATAAACAACAACTATCAGCCATGGTTCTGATGAGAAGTCACCTGTGACTGCTGCATAAAGGCCCTGGTCTCGGCCATATTAAAAGTTGAATTTCCACTGCTTGCTGGAGACCACCAATGCTGCAGAACACTGCCCATTGATCACCTGACCTCGGGCACAATTGTGGCATCATTGCGCTTTAATTGGTGGGTGTGGAGGAATAATTAAAAGCCATATTGGACTTTGGCCAGGCAGATAATGCACGCAGATAACCAACCTGCTGATATGATGATGTGTTTATAAATATCTTATTGGTTCTTTTGGTAAAGTCACGCAGAAGGGAAATAATACTTTTTTTCCCTCGCTGTACATGCTAATTTCTGACTTTAACACCCTGCTAATCTCTCACATTAACACAGCTACTTCAATGCTAAATTCTTCTGTTGATATATGAACTCCTTCGTCAAGGCGCTCTGCTCCTCCCACCCAGCTCAAAAGACGCTGCCAAGCTTAGCAGTGTTCATTGGAGCGCTGTATTTCCGACAGTTCTGTTTCTTCACCTGAGGAAGGCTACTTGTGTTGTGGCCGAAACGTCGTGATAATTTTATTTTATGTTGTATTTTTATTATTTTATTATTTCCCTTCTACGTGACTTTCCCGAAAGAACCAGCAGATGAATCCATGCAGTCACGAAAGCTTTAAATCAATGTTTAGAAATATTCCATGTTCTCAATTAGTGAGATGGTATACAGTCAAATAGTCTCCCAGCCACCAGAAAATATTCTGTCCCTCAACCAGCTACTCAGCCATTGATGAACCAACTTTGTCAGACAAGCAGCCAGCATATGATGAGTTTACACATCTTTTTGTAGTTTTCCACATTTCTATCTTAATTGTGCTCTCTACTTCAGGTCATCCTCTCACGAAGCAGAGCAATCTTTCATGCTATTGAATGGCCCACGGCAGTGGATATCACAGAGCTACCTCTGAGGCCCCTTCAAGTGACCTCTGGTTCACTTAGAGGGCAGCACTTTCCCACGCTCTGCACACGAGAGTAATGTTTGCCATATAACAGACCGATATTTTAATTATCAGAGCTGGAATTTATCCAAATTAACTGCAGAACTACAATTAATATGGTGTTGTGCAATCATTGGTGACCGGGCTGAGACCATCACCTCGCTCCACTCAAGAACGTGATTAATCACAGGTGGCTGCCTGGATTCGAACCTAGGTCCTCAGCGGTGCCGGTTCGATGCTCTGACCTCTTCAGCCTACTCGCCCACATCACACCACACAATGACCTTATGGCATTGCCATCACCAGGAGCAATACTTCTTGAGGTGTCACTTTCACTTCCTCGGAAAAAAAAACCTCACGAATAACAAACGCTGCGAGCGGCCAGCACATCGATGCCCGCCGTGCCCGCCTTGCCCACCCAGCCCATTGTGCCCACCATGCCCGCCGTGCCCACCCACCCCATTGTGCCCGCCGTGCCCGCCGTGCCCACCCAGCCCATTGTGCCCACCATGCCCGCCATGCCCACCGTGCCCTACATTCCCGCCCTGCCTGCCGCGCCGCCTCTCGCCCCAGGGCCTCCACTCCGCATCAATCGGCGGGGTCGCCGTCACTGCTTAACCCATTAACGCTTGAGAGCGGGCAAAGCGGCAGGTGTGGCTTGTAAAGGTAGGCGACATGCGGCCGATCACTTAATTAGGCAAACTTCTAAAATGCAAACAGGGATTCACGTTTAAAGCAGACCTGCTGGCCCTGCCTAGAGTGAGCAACTGCGAAACCCATCATGGCTGTGTCGGACCATGCAGTTAAGGGCTCGACTCTCATCTTCGCCAAAGACCTCCGTGGCTTGATTCTGGCAGGGATAAAAAAAAAATCAACTTTTCTGCGAAAACGGAACTGATTCTCTCCAATAAAATAATTTATAGAGGCATTTGGGGTGGAGTGGTGTTGGCGCAGTGGTTATGGCGCTGTAGTATGAAGTTGGCGACTTGAGTTTGATTCCCGGCCAAGGCTCACAGTGGCGAATGATACCTAAACCAGACCTGGACCTCTCCCTTCAACGAACCGCATTTACCGTCGTGCTGAAGTATGGACAAACAATCTCAACGGCTGATGAGTGTGGGGAAGCCTTTAATCAGCAGTGGTATGACAAAAGGTCTGTAAATTATTAATTATGTCAGGTCTTCACAATACAGTACATGAAATTGAGGCTTTATATTTTTCACATTGAAGCCACGCCTACAATTGTTCATCGTTTAATCGCCATACCTGCTCATCCTTTGCACAATCAACAACCCCCATGATGACCGCGGCGGTGCGGGCGCGCGGCCCCCACGACTGCAGGAGGCGGCCGATCTCCGCGTGGCCCTCGGGGGTCGGCAACCTGCGGCTGCAGAGCCGCTCGCGGCTCTTGTTTTTTTTTACCTAATTCCCCCCAAAAAATGGCTCTTCTTGTTATTTTGGTTGCCGACCCCTGATCTCCAGTGTGGGGAGGCCTTCAACCCAGCAGTATCCTGACACACGGGCTGTGCGAGTACTTTCTGCAACCCCCCCCCCTCCCCCGCCGTGTGTGCTTTGTCTCCACGTACTCTGGTTTTCTCCCGCGTGCAAAGGGGCTCGGACAAGGAGTTGTTGAGTTTAATTTGAGGCATTGCTAAGTAATTATCAGCAATTGTGAATCGAGGAAAATGGTCACCTTCCCATTCATGAGGACCTCAATAACGTCCCTCGTCAACGCTTGAAGTCGCGCCAAGACCTTTTGGACCCATGTGATGAAGCTTGGAGAGCTGAATGGAGTTTAAAATGACTCATAAACCAACACCTTCTTCTTTGGTTCTTTCGGTAAAGTCACGTAGAATGAGAATAAAATAATAAATTGATAAAATAAAATAACACAATATTCTCACGACGTTTCGGCCACAACACAAGCGGCCTTCATCAGGTGAAGGGGACGAGACTGTCTGGAGGAGGACGAGACTGCGCTGTCCTCCAGACAGTCTCGTCCCCTTCACCTGATGAAGGCCGCTTGTGTTGTGGCCGAAACGTCGTGAGAATATTATTGTGTTATTTTATTTTATCAATTTATTATTTTATTCTCATTCTACGTGACTTTACCGAAAGAACCAAAGAAGATGAATCCTTGCAGTCACGAAAGCTTTAAATCGAAATTTAACCAACACCTTGTGAAAGACCCAACGCAGAAGATCCCTGGGTTTGATCTTCCACCCTAAACCGCATCCACACGAACCATGGCAGATGCGGATACCTGATGCACAAAAAAGGAATTTTTAAAACTGTCCAGTGTGCGACTGTAGTCATCTTGAACAGACCATACAACGTATACCGTTGCAATGTCCGAACCACAAATACGAAGGAGACATCGCAGCGATACACTCTGCTGCTCCTGACGCAGTTATCTGGCTTGACCACCTGAATGTGAAATTTTAGTTGTTGCTCTGCATCTACTTCCAGCCATACGAAAGAAGAAGAAGACTTAGAATATAACCAACACTGCATTGCACTCTGAGATGGACGGCGTAACGGAGGTGGCACAGTGTGCTCCGTCTCCAGCTTGCGGGACACACAATCTCAAAAGATAAAATCCACAGATCCCCTTTGCTCCAAGCCACATGAGAACGTGCCGATACGCAACATAGGACGTGAGATATACCTGACATATCATGATCTCTGTAAAGGCGGAGTTATGGAGGTAAGATGGAAATAGGTGCAACCCCACATTTGCTTGCTAACCCCACTTGGAGGGTACTCTACAGGCACCCCCCCCCCCCAGAGGGCATGTGGCCTACTCTTCCAGACTAGCCAGATGTCCATCGACTGTGAGTGGACTCAGTTACACTGCTAGGTGAACAGAGGCGGTGGTGGGGATTCACCAAACTTGCCCCGCTGTGCCGGGAGATTGAATCGAACCGGCGACCTCTGGATTGCAGGTCCAGTGTGCTAACCCGTGACACCACCGCGGCAGCATTCCCAGTGGTGTCTGCAGGATCCACCGAAGTGCTCCAATCTCAGCCGTGGCACCTTCACGTCATGGCGGTGTGGAAGGGGTTCGGGGCACGGAAGGGGATGGGGGTACGGCATCCCCTTGGGGTGTGGCCCCAGTGGAGACGCGGCCTCGTGGAGCGAATGCCGTGCATGGTGCCGATAAGTTTATTTCGTTACGAGCCCGGTCCATGATTAATTCCTTCCTGGAACCGCAGGCAGCAGTTATTCTGTCAGTTTGACTCGACTTTTATAGGTTTTCATCCTCTGTCACCCAATCCGCAGGGTACTCCTAGGGTCCCGACATCCATTATTTATCACGGCTGCTACGGTCAATGCCAGCGTGTGGGCACATGCACACGTGTGTGCACGTGTTGACGTATTAATGAATGCACGGGTATGTTTGTGCACATTTGGGTCGGAGTTATGAATTATTGATTCCTACTTGACCATGTTTGGGCCATGTTGTGTGTTCGCAATTCCTTCGTATGTCGAGAGCAGTGGTGCAGTCGGTAAGTGTTGCTAAGGGTTCAATACCTGACCGTGTGCGTTTTTCATTGGTTTTACACTCAGTTTGCCTTTAACTCAACCACCTCAAATGCACCCGCTTTTATCACATCTTGGAAACTCAAGTGCTATTCAATTTTCAAATGATAAGCCACTTCGTTGAGTTATCATTTGTGGCCAGGTCGTTTCTGAAAAAGAAGCTAACAGCTCAGTGAGTCTTACCTGGTAATATGAAGAAAAAAAATTAGTTTTACTTGTGTATATGTTTGAAGTGATTTCTTTACCTATACTTTGCACTCCTATCGTGCTTTTGTACTATTTATTGTTGTAACGTTCTGACCTGCCCCTACTGTGCATCTGTGAAAAAGAGCTTTATAGCTCATCGGATTCCTCCAGTATAAAATAAATATTCTGATTATGGGTTCACCCTGGATGGTGCCTGGATGACTGATCGCCATGCTGAGAGCATGTTGTGGTGAGCTGCAGGGCTACTTGGTGGGCAGCAGCAGGCAGTACAGCAACAACCACTGCTATAGTGTACAGCCTATACTCCCATGTTTATGCTGCCTGCATTTACCAACCCGGACTGACCAGGGTGTGTAGGTATGGTCAATTAACCGCTAAGACGTACATAATGTTTACACGTGTGTGTGTGTGTAGCGGTGGTGTAGCGGTTAGCGCTACGCTGCACCAGATACTGGCGACCCGGGTTCGATTCCCGCTCACGGCCAACACCAGTGACGATTATCTGAACCGGTCCTCCCCACCCACCCCCCCCAGGTCGACTGAGCCTCAAATGAGTACCTGGTGCGGTGTGTAAACATCGCCACTGGGGAGACTAAGGCGGTCGGGCGTGGTGCTGGCCACCCACCCCCTCGTGTACCGTTCCGGCCTTCATAGGTGCTCGCTAACAGCACTTGCCCCTACAGTCTGTTAAGGCTATACAGGGGATCTTTGTGTAGCGGTTAGTGCATTGCGCTACAAACCCGGTGACCAGAGTTTGATTCCTGCTCATGGCGAACAGCAGTAACGATTATCTGAACCGGAGTATCCCCTAAGTCGACTTCTCCTCAAATGAGTACCTGGTGTGGTGTGTAAACATCGCCATTGGGGAGACAAAGGCGGCCAGGTGTGGTGCAGGCCACTAACCCCCTCGCGTGCCACGCTGCCCTTCAAAGGTGGTCGCTAAAAGCACTTGCCGCAGCAGTGTCTTAAGGCTACTCGGGGAATCTGTGTGTGCGCTCGCGCGTTTGTGTGACAGCGACGTGCACCCGGACGGCCTGCGGCCAGACTTCACCATCTCCTTCCTGTTCCGGGTGCTCCCTGAGACCGGGCCCGAGCCGTTCGCGCTGTGGCAGGTGCTGAGCACCAGCGGCAGCCAGCAGGTGGCCATCATCCTCGACGGTGCGCACGCCCCCCCCCCCCCACTCGCAGCACCGACACCACGGCATCGTTGGGACGCACACACACAGCACGGACATGACAGCCCACGTGACGTGACGTCACACACACAGCACGGACATGACAGCCCACGTGACGAGACGTGGGAACACACACAGCACGGACATGACAGCCCACGTGACGTGACGTCACACACACAGCACGGACATGACAGCCCACGTGACGTGACGTGGGAACACACACACACACAGCACGGACATGACATCCCACGTGACGTGACGTCACACACACAGCACGGACATGACAGCCCACGTGACGTGACGTGGGGACACACACACACAGCACGGACATGACAGCCCACGTGACGAGACGTGGGGACACACACACACAGCACGGACATGACAGCCCATGTGACGGGACGTGGGGGACACAAAGACAAATCCAAAATACATAAAAGCAATGTATGTACACACACGCACAATACAGAACGCACAGACTCAACATGGCTTTTCAGAAACAATGAGATAAACGCACACACACGTGCAACATGACAATACACAATAACAATGCAGCATGAGTACATCATTATAGTGCGATATGGAGAAACACACAACCTGGTGAAATATAAACACAACGTAACATTGGTATGAACAAACACAATGCGGCTGTGTATGAACACACTGCAATACATCGACTCAAACACACAATGCAAGCTGTGAGCTCTGGACCGGTTTCAACATTCTGAGTCCCATCAGCGCAGTGGGGCGCAGAGTGCCGGCGTGTTGCCCGATGCAATTATCGCACGCGAGACATCAGACTCGAGCGTCGGGGTCATCTCTGTGTTCCCCTCGCCTCCCTGCAGTGGGTAAGAAGGTGCTGGCCTACGTCTACCATGACGAGCAGGGCCAGAGGCAGGTGGTGACGTTCGACGGGCCTGAGGTGCAGAGGATATTCTACGGGAGCTTCCACAAGGTCAGTGGAAGCTATCATTTGTGATGGGCAGGTCGCTTCTGAACAAAGAGGCTATATAGCTCAGTGGGCCTTATCTGGTAAAATAGAAAAAAAAACACTTTCGTTTTTAATTTAGTTTAGTGCTTCCCGCGCGTTCCGATTTGGCACGCTTGGAAATGTCTGCCCCAAACGCACGGCGCCACCAATGAGCCAGATGTGAAAATTCCACGTTCTTATGACAGTGCTTAGTGTTTTTTTGGGACGAAAGTTGTTGGCTCTCAACGAAGTGAGGCAGCCTTAGGGGGAGGCCAAGAGGATGAATGGGTGAGTGGCAGCGGAAACACAGCGTACGGCCAGTTTCACCGGCTGCTGCTACACTGACTGGGCCATACATCTGACTAAATAGAGGCATCATTATTATTATCGACTTTTGCTCTTTCGCACGACAGGAAAATATTTAAGATTTTGCGCAGCTTCAAAACGAGTGGATGCCTGTGGGAAAACGCTTCGACCGCTGGAAGAAATACCCTGGCCAAATACTGACAGATGGGTTTAATGAATTTGTGTATCCTCGGGGATGGGAGTTCCTCTCGCGGTTCTGCGTCAGAACGTTGCGCCCTGCACGTTTCACGTTCACGGTGGCCGCGCCTGCTGTCCAGTGGATTCCTAGTTCGCTTCACAAGGGCGAAGCGAACTCGGAATCTCCTCCAGTATCAATCAATATTCTGATGACTCTGATTAAACGCAGACTCCAACAGCCTTGACGGTGACAGTGCAGTTGCTACTTTATCTTTCGTTACCTCACATTAAGTAACACACGTGCCCATTTGAAATGTTTACAAAATGAAAAGTTGTACTGACGGTCACACGTGTAATCATTAGGATAATTTGACCAATACCAGTTGCAATTGAATGTGTGTGGCTTTAGCTATGAAAGGAAACTGAGGAATCCGGAATAAACTCCTGACAGAACAGGGGAGAACATACAAACTCTACATTGATAGGCACCCGAATCGGAAATCAAACCTAGTACATTTTGGCTGTGAGGCACGACTGCGGAACCCTACCACCCACGTTCTGATATGTGCTGTGTGTGTGCTGTGTGCGTGCTGTGTGTGTGCTCTGTGTGTGTGCTGTGTGTGTGCTGTATGTGTGCTCTGTGTGTGTGTGCTGTGTGTGTGCTGTGTGTGTGCTCTGTGTGTGTGTGCTGTGTGTGTGCTGTGTGCTGTGTGTGTGTGCTGTGTGTGTGTGCTGTGTGTGTGCTGTGTGTGTGCTCTGTGTGTGTGCTGTGTGTGTGCTGTGTGTGTGCTGTGTGTGTGCTGTGCTGTGTGTGTGCTGTGTGTGTGCTGTGTGTGGTGTGTGCTGTGCTGTGTGTGTGCTGTGTGTGTGCTGTGTGTGTGTGCTGTGTGTGTGCTGTGTGTGTGCTGTGTGTGTGCTGTGTGTGCTGTGTGTGCTGTGTGTGTGTGTTGTGTGCTGTGTGTGTGCTGTGTGTGTGCTGTGCTGTGTGTGTGCTGTGTGTGTTCTGTGTGTGTGTGTGTGGTGTGTGCTGTGCTGTGCTGTGTGTGTGCTGTGTGTGTGCTGTGTGCTGTGTGTGTGTGCTGTGTGTGTGCTGTGTATGTCCTGTATGCGTGCTGTGTGCTGTGTGTGCTGTGAGTCCTGGTACATCTGCTGCATGTGCCCCACGTGTGCCCCACGTGTGCCCCACGTGTGCGTGTGTGCGCACCGTGTGCTGCGCGTGGCACCAGGTGCACGTGGTGGTGACGCGCGAGAGCGTCAAGGTGCACCTGGACTGCGCGCTGGTAGCGGAGCGCAGCTCGTCGCCGCCGGGGAACGTGACCACCGAGGGCCACGCGGAGATCGGCCGCCTCCTGCAGTCGCGGGGGCCGCGCGCCCGTACCGCCGCGGTGAGACGCGCCCCCTCCGCCCGCCACCGCACGCACCGCCCCGAGGGCCGAGCCTCGCCGAGCTTTGCGTTACCCAACCCTCGCCGGGAACGAAGACAAGAGCCGATCCGGACGGAGAAATTACCGCGTCACCTTCACGTGGAAAGACTGCTGCCCCGCCGCGCGCCGAGCTGCCTCGGCTGTTCTTCGAGCACGATAGGACGTGACGGCGTATAATCGCAGGCCGTCGGCGCACGTGCCGTAGTTATCAAAACCGGAATGTAGATGAGACAGGTGAAATGACCTGCTTGCGGCCGGCGTCTGAATGAATTGCGCGCGATGCCCCGTGCTTGCGTTGTTGCCGCATCGAGCGCTCACCGCTTTGCCCCACTGCAGGCTGACGCAAGCAGCCAAAAAAAGGGAAGGAAGGGATTAAATAAATCGGTGGAATTATTTCTCTCCCCACGCACATCATCATTTTCCATGCGCAGCCCTTGGACATTTTCCCCCAGATTGCCAACGCAGCTCTTTCAGCGTCTGCCCAACTTCCTGGTTTGAGGTTTTTGTTGGGGCAATTTTTGAATACCGTGTTATTATATTTGCCTTCGTTTAGCTTCTCAGATCAAGCCTTGGGTTTATCTGGGACATCGTTTCCCACTGCAATTTAAGAGCCCTATAAGCAACCGAGCACAAAGGCCAGGCAGAGCAGAGCGGCCTCGAGGGCAAGTCAGTCTCATCGGCGTCTGCCATGGCAAATCCAGAACAGTTCCCCTCTCTCCAGGGCTGTCGAAGACTGTTTGGGGAAGTACCGCTGACTTCGTAACATTTTTCCGCACCCGGCACACCACGTCCGGGATACCCCTCGCTTTGACCCGGGAATTATTCGGTGAGAAATGAGGTAGCCCAAACCAGAGATTTTCCAAACGGAATGTAGCCTACGCTGAGCAGACATTATGCGACTTCAGAACCAATCTGGCATCCATACCATGGCGATGACCATAAGGCAGTAGCGGAAATACATTTTTGAGGATTTTTGTTTTTTTTTCACCAATTATTGGTTTTGTCACGAGGCAGTTCAGTGTCTCACGGAACCCTCGCGGCATCCAGGGCGCCACACGGCGGCCTTCTTGGTGACACTGCAGAACCACTGCTGGAGTCGGATTAACGAGACCCCTCTGGACTGCACACTCTGCAAAACAGTTTTTGAAACGTGTCGATTTACCAAAACTTTCTTCCCCGAGCCAATGTGCAACAAGTTAAGTGAAAATCCAAAAACCAAATTGTCCTTATATTGGTCACCGGGCAGTAACTATCAGCTCATTACAGTTGAGAAGCTGGATTAATCAGATCGTGATCATAAATATGGAAACTGTGATCCCTTGTGCCACTCAGATTAACATTGGAATTTCTTCCTGGTGCATGCATTGCATAACGGTGAAGGAGTAGTAGGATAAAAAATGCTTTGTCAATCCACTGCTGGATGATGGCCTCCCCACACCGTGTAGGTCGTGGGAGGTATATTTACCATACTTCACCACGCTGGTCAGTGTAGGTCGGTAACGGCAGGGACATTAGATGCGGGGGCATGGAAGTACAGTACAACATTGGATATTGCTGCACTGTTCTCTGCTGCCCATGATATAGCCTCCCAGCCTGTAACAACCTATTATGCGTGGCGGTCGCCCATCTAAGCACTACCCAGGTTCAACCTTGCTTTGGCTTCTGGAATATGGTAAGATCAAGTGCATTCCAGATTTGGTCAGAGGTTGGGCAGTCACCCCACAAAGCAAGGCCTGGAACCCCCCCGGTGTTTCCACTGCTCTCGTTCCTCGCAGGCTGCAGAGTGGAAGCCACCGTTACCCTGGAACGAATTTCACGGTCCACTTTCCCCTGGCCAAGAGCACCGAAGCGTAGCAAAGTGGTCTGTCTGCCTTAAAAAATAAAAAAAAATTATTGAGCCTCTAATGTTCTTCAAAGAATAAGTCACTTAATAATGTTATTTCTTTCAATTTTGTCCTGTGCCGCGGTGTTGGTTTTGGCTGTAGGTGCCGTGGTTGTTTGGTGCCGGTCGTGAGCCGCTTCAGGTTTTAGTAAGCGTAAGCACGGTGCCTTCCTTTGCCATTCCCTTGGATTTAAAAACATCACCATTGTTGTTGGAAATCACTTTTCTTCGTGGCCTTTGGACAGAAAAACTGCTTGCCCAACTGCACACGAATAATGCCATTTGTGTACCTGTTTGCGGCATATGTGGTACGTGTGTGTGTGTGCTTGTCGTGCATTGGGACCGTCCGGAATGGAACATGGCAGGCGAATGTTGTAGATGCAAGTCACAGACACGGTCGCACTGGGTGGCATGTGTGGGCAGGATGAAGGGGGGGTCGGTTACCGAGACCGGAATTGGAGCGGTCTCCACAGGTCCAACGACCAAGGGCAAGAGAAGGCCTAAGAGAGCACGGTGGTGGTTGCTGTGTGTCCCTGTGCAGCAGCTACGGGATGTGGTGGAGGGCAGAAAGCATTGGCTATGAGGTGCGGTGGTGGCATCAACGGCTTTGGCCAAGATGACACTTTGTAGTTGTGCCTTGTCCCGCGTGTTGTGTTTATTGATGTCCGCCATGTGTGTGGGATGCTGCATGTCTGTCCCTCCTCTGGGTACAGTTCCAGCTACAGATGTTCGAGATCGTGTGCAGCATGGGCTGGACGAGTCGTGACAAGTGCTGCGAGCTCCCGGCCACGGTGCGTACTCAGGGAGGAGGGGAGGCGGGGTGGACGAGGGTGCTTCTTATAATTCGCACAAACTCTAGGGTGGCTGCGTGGGCCCTGTGGGTCTCCGCTGCCCCTGCTCGTCGCGTGCGGAACCCGGCACGATGCGGTTGAGCGGCTTAGGTGAGGCGGAAACACCGCGTGGCTCGTGATGAATCTCGAAGTGAATGCAGCGCACTCTTAAGCGTCTCGCTTCCGCCGTGGTGGTGCGACACAAGCAAACCAAATCTCACACATTACGCGCGCGTCATTCTTAACTTCCTCGGCGTTACACGCGTACGTGCGCGGTTTCCGATGCATTCAGCCTTGCTCACGCGTGCGTGCGTGCGTGCGTACACACGCACACACGCACGTGTATATTGACTGGTAAAACTGCCCACGAATACCACACCACAATTAGAGATGCCAATCCAAAACCCGGCAACCCTGGAAACCTTGTCCAGAAAGATTAACCAGTGCCGTATTTGAATGAAGGAACAGGAAAAGTGGGCTAAATAACCATGCGAGTCACAGTGACAAACACGCTTTAGGTCCAGCTTGTGCCGTGATGCCGTCACAGCCCTGTTACTCTGCCCCTGGATAGAGGCCTCCCCCATGCCGGTCATGGGAGCTCTCGGCCATACTCCACCACGCTGGCCTCTACGGATTGGTGAAGGAGAGGACCAAGGCCGGTTCGGATATCACTCGTCTCTGATGTTAGCCATAGCCTGGGGTCGAACTCGGGTTGCTAGGTTTACAGCGCGTTCCGCGAACCGCTGCGTCACCGCTGCTTCCACGTGCCGTAATAACGAGTGATGCTTACACCAAGGTTTGTTAGAGATATCCCCATCGCTTCAGATTGCGTGTGAGGTTTAGAGATGGGTGACGTGGCCCTCTCCGGGAATCCCGCACTTGGGAGGTGAGGGTTGGTGAATCACCAAGGATTGTTGAAACTCCCAAACCCCACGGGATGCTGCGAGGTGACACAGGGACAGCAGTACAGCAAGTGGGTGTCACAACTCCTCCCGCGTGACCATTGCGTTTTGTACATGCAATGCACATTTCTGCTGCGCTGTTAAATATATGACCATTTCGCTCTATCCACTCTTTCATACGGGTTTTCTCCGGGTACTCCCGGTTTCCTCCCACATGCAAAAGATGCTCGGTAATGGGAATTGGCCAAGCTTCCCGATGCCGAGACCTTCTGAAAAAAAAATCTTGAGGCTTGGTGAAGCTTTCCTGGATAAAATAAAATTACATTATTATTATGACTGCAGTTTTATACATTGTATTTTTTTCACGGATGGAATAAAATAACTCTGGATTGATTTCATGTAGAAATCTAATTTCGCCGAGTCAGATGCAAGCATTAAGACGCATGGGTGCCACACAGCGTGATAAAGGTCTTTCTGTGCCTTAGGCAGTGTCCAGAGTGATCCGTCCCAGCCACGTCTAACAGAGTCGCAGGCTGCCCAAGTTTGGAGTATTTAACAAGTGGGAGTGGAAACCTCATTCATGCCAGAAATGTTGTTTAAGCTCTGGGCAAGTACTTAACAGTTTAAATGTTGAGCCCAGACAGATGCTGTTTGGAGATCTCTTAGAAGTCGCAAGTAGCAATGTGGGTGATTTTATATAAGCACAACTTGATTTTCTTGGTCAATACCGATGCAGACTTGTTGACAATGAGAAGGACCCCTCAGTTTTAGGGATGTTCATTCATTGGTAGGAAATTTGTGTAAAAATGCAGTCTTCAGGCACATTGCTGTTGCAGTGTGCTTTGAAGTCATACATACCGTCAAATGAACCGTTTAATATTCATCTTCCTGTTACGCTTGTTTCCCCACGAGTCTCATGACTCGTTTTAAAGAGGATCCTACCATGTATTCGCACTTTGGGACGATGCTACTTCTGCGTGTAATCCCAATTGAGTAATTTGCAGGTGATTTTTTTTTTTGCATTGGCATGTTTGGTCAATGTCAGTTAAATTGTGTGTATTGGTTTGTTCGCTAGTTACCCTGCAGTGCTGCTGAGTAAAGCGTAGTCAGATTGGATGCTACACTGCTGACTGACCAGTACAAAATCATTGTGAGCTGCTACCACCCACAGTGCTGCGGGAAATGGTAGCCGTCCAATATATTAGAAAATAAACAGAAAATACAAATGACCTTTCAATGCCAGACTTCACAAATTAAATGGTACCCATTATGCGGTACTGAATTTTTCAAAAATGTATGTAATTTTAACATTTCTTGCATTTTTTGCTATATATTTTTGTTTGTTCGAAAACTTTTTTTTTCAAACAAAATGTTTTGCCATAAAGAGACTTTGTGTGCGCAAGTACAAAACGTCACCAAAGTGTCCAGTACGGAGGCTGCTATTCACGTCACGCTGGGGGTAGTGTTTGTACGTGTGCGCAAATATTTTTGTACGTGGGGAGCGGTAGCGCAGCAGTTAGCGTGCTGCTCTACGATCCTGGCGACTCGAGTTCGATTCCGGCTCACGGCCACAACACGGGTAATTATTATCTGAATCGGTCCTGGACCTGCCCTAGGTCGACTCAACCTCAAATGAGTACCTGGTGCGGTGTGTAAACATCGCCATTGGGGAGCCTAAGGTGGTCGGGTGTGGTGCTGGCCACCCACCCCCTCATGTACCGTGCCGTCCTTCATAGGTGCTCGCTAACAGCACTTGCTCCAACAGTCTGTTAAAGGCTACACGGGGGATTTTTGTCTTTGTGTCCGTGTGACAGCAGTGGTGCAGCGGTAAGTGCTGCACTGCACTACGGACCCGGCCACCCGAATTAGATTCCCGCTCATGACCATTAACAGTGACGAATATCTGAACCCGTCGTGGGCCTCCCTGAAATAGACTCGGCCTTAAATGTTGTATCTGGTGCGGAGAGTGTACAAGTTAGCACTGGGGAAATGAAGGCGACCAGCCGCGGTGTTGGCCACGCCATCCCCTCGTGTGGCGTGCCGTCCTCCATAGGTGCTCGCTCTCATAGCGTTGGCCCCAACAGTCGAGTAAAGGTTACACAGGGGATCTTTGTCTTGTGTTTGACTGCACGCGTGTCTGTCTGTCTGCGTGAGCATCTGTGCCCATAGGTACATGCATGCATGCGGACCAGTGCTGCTGCTGGTCCATCGGGAGCCCTGTGTAGGAAATAAATGTGGAGGCAAGGGATTGAGTGAGATAATGGAAGAGAGATATAGACGACAAAGAGAATACTCTACAGTTCATTTTCTGTTATGTTATATATATTGTTAGGTTTGTCTTCATTCGAGTTTGGGAGGGATATTTGATGCACCCCTTTTTTTCTTCAATCAGTTTTGGGCCTTCCCCAATGTCGGCTCGGCCATAAGTAAAGGCGCAGTGTGTGAACATCGATACTGGGCAGACTAAGGCGGTCGGGTGTTGTGCGAGCCGCAACCACCCGCTCTCGTGCGCCGTGTTGTTTCCCTTAATAGGTGCTCGCGGACAGCCCTGGCTCCAACAGTCTGTTGAAGGTCCACGGGGTGACCGTTGCGTCCGTGTGTGTGTTGTGCAGAGAGACGAAGCCAAATGCCCTGCGCTGCCACATGCCTGCAAGTGCTCCCTGGACAGCGTGGGGCCACCCGGACCCCCAGGGCCAGCGGTGAGAGTCGCCCCCCCTCCCCCTTCCCGTTGGACCCTAACCCCAAGCCGTCGCCGCGTGCCGGGGAAGCATGTCACGTGCACCGCGTGTGCCCCCCCCCCCTCGCTCTGTGCGTTACTCGTTCTACTCACTACCGGAGGGTTCGTGACCTCGATTATGTAGCTGCTGCGCTCTCCGCGGCGTTGGGCTCTGCTGTGACGTTGCCGTACAGCCCTCGCGGTCACATTCACAATTCTGTCTGTCCACCTCAGTCTCTGTCTACCTCGGTTCCTTGTTTCTTCCACTTTACCAGCCATCAACAATTGCTCCGGATTTTCTCCCGTCACACCCGTAGCTGCTTGTCCAAAACACTTTAGTTTCCGTCTTCACGTCACGGTGTGCGGTTTAGCCGGTTCTTGCTGCGGTTCGTGAAGCACGTGCTGGAGTCTACTCCAGCACGTGCTTCACGAGCTACCATCGTCCTCCTGTCTGCTGCACAGATCTCCAACGTGTGACGTGCACGCATTCAAGATGTTGACTACCTCATCTGCTATACAGGAGGTTGTGGGTTCGATTCCGACCCTGATGCATGCTATATATTTGGCGTTTGCATGTTCTCTCTGTGGTCGTGTGGATTTTTCTCTGGGTCCCCCGGTTTTTCCCTTCACATTTAGAATCAACATGTGTTTAGAATATTTGGCTGCGATAGATGTTCACATGATAAGCCACTTCGTTGAACTATCATTTGTGGCCAGGTTGCTTCAGATAAAGATCTATAAAGCTCAGTCGGCCTTACTTTGTATAATAAAATTTCAAAAATGTGTTTAATTGGCAACCCTCAAATGTTTTGAGTTGCGTGATATTTGTGGATCTACTAACACTGCTGCTGACCCTCCATAGTTTGTTCATCTTTGGGAAGACATAAAACCTGTGTTTATAACAGCTTACTGTGCCTACGGCGACATGACGTCTATTGTATATTGTGTAAGAGAGACCAAAACAACAAGGGGTCCTTTTCATTTCAGCAGTAAAAATGTGCAGAAAAAAATACTTTAGTTGAACAAATTATAACATCAAAATACTTTACATAATCGGGATTGTGAGCGAAAACCAATTAAAATAGCCATGAAAAGTGAATTAGCATTGGAATCAAGGCATTAACGTAAAGCTTATTTACAAGCGCCATTAAAGGGCCTCTGGTCTGTAAGTATAAATAGTGGAATCCTAACACATGGATGAACCATTGGAAGGCAATAATAACACAAGGAATGTACTACGATCACAATGAACACGGCTATTATATTTTCTTAACAATCAAGGACTCCGGGGTATTAAAAGCTAGCGGTTATAGTCTTGCCAATGTCATTAATTTGCTACTATTAAAAGTAATTTTTACCATTTTCACAATGTATCAAAAAACAGGACTCTTGCCATCACCATAAATTGGCCACTAGTAAAAATAATGAATTTGACGAGATATTTATGCTTCTGCATTTTAACCGCCGGTGACATCGCCCACTACTGTGTGTGTTTGTTGTGTGGTAGCGCTGGAGGGGTTTTACTCCATTCTTAAGCCAGTGGTGGAGTGGCGATGGCACCACGTGCCCCCCGAGTGGACAGATATCCCTCGCACGATGGGGCGTGGGGGGGTTGTTGATGAACCGGGGCTGTGCAGTCCAGATGATGTAGCACCGCCGCCAGCTGCGGCTCTGGATCCCCCACGCGTTATGCAGCTCGGAAAATACCCACGTAGCCCTCGCCGCCGGAATCGTAGCCGAGCAGTGACACGGCTGCCGCTTGTTTGCAGGGGGGTTTGCAGTTCGGGGCCAGCGGCTGCCCTGATTAATACTGCAGAAGTGTCGACTGAGCGTCCTACGCTCTCTGTCTGCCCTGCAGGGAACTTTACAGATCCCGTGACGTCGCTGAAAAAGAGTAGGCCATATGCGTGCCAGCGTCACAGTCCAAATGTTTAAATAACCCGCAAATTACACCATTGGGGGAAAAACAAGATCGCAACATCGCCTCCGACCGGTAGACTTTACCATCTGTGGAACATAGCGTCAGTTGTACTAATAATAAGTTTGAGGGGAAGATCCCTTATGTGAGTCCAGTGCAAAACACAAAACCCCCAGATGGTGGGACCAAATTGTGTCCTGCGTTCCAGTGCAAAATATGGAACGGGAGATTCCCAACTGCCGCCGCCTCCTGATAAGATTAAGCCCTGGCTCTTGGTATTGTGAGACTGCAGAGAGGAATGGTATGGAGCAGGGTCCTGTGAGGTCTGCGGAGCCCTCAATCCCACCCTCCAGCAAGAGCCGTGCCATGCCATGGCCATGGGATCCGGCCCAGACAGGAAACCGAGTGTCCCGCTCAAGATCTGTAAGCTCGTGGCTGCGATATAATTCTATGATGGGACTGCCGGTTCGAGGAAAGAGATAGCCTGCCCCGCGTGTGAGGAGGGCAGAACGTTTGGTGCAGCTCTGAGTAGGACACGTTCTCTTCTGCAGTGACTCCGCGCTAGTGGGGTTTATATACCGCGCGTGTTACGCGCACCGCGTCCATCTTGGGATAATGCGCGCCGTCCTGCCCACACATCGCCCCGTGCCGTCCCGGCGTTGTGATGCTGGGGGTCCTCTGCATTCCTACCGAGGTCCAATACTCCGAAACAATTTTCGCCGTGCGTTTCCTACCCCGCAAGGGCTACCCCCCCCCCCGCCCTACGTGGTGCGGAGCAAACGGCCCCCAGTCCCTGCCCCGTTGCCCTGCGTCTCAACCTCGCTCACGGCAATTATCGAAGCTCTCAGCACAGAAACCTCACGTGCGGTGCACCGCCCCAGCCCTGCATGCCGTCTGATTGCCATGACATCACCGGCGACGTTAGCGCGTCCATAACCGGCACCGTCGTCAGCTATAATTAAAAAAAAAACACAATGACAACTTACAATTGCGCTTAATAAAGTTAATGGCAAAGGGTTTTGGGGTGGTTTTTTTTTTACATTTTCCATCTGTGGAATTATTGCGGACATACTTATGCACTGATGTAAGCTGTTGTGCGTGACTCTCTCTCGAAGTCTCGGCGCGATGGGCGGCGGTGGGGTAGACGCGGCGGGGACGATTGCTTCCTCCTCTCCCCCTCCTCTCCCAACCGCCCCACACGGTTGTAGGTTGTGCTGGGGCGTTGTTATTCCTGGGCGGCCGCCAGTTCCAAAGGGAGGAGGGGTTGGTGGAGCAGTTCAGGAATTATCGTGCCGTCTGCGTCGCGTCCTCTCCGGGCTTATATAATTCCCGTGGTTGATAAAAAATGAAATAAAGCCACGAGCAGCTCCTTCTCAGAAGCTGCTTTATTCGCAAAACTTCGCTTTGAGCAGTGAGACGTGTGGACTTAGCGCCCTCCGCTCAATCCCAAAGCCTGACAGTTTGCTTCGATAGGCATGTAGGTCGGTATGTAGGTAGACCGGTATGTGTGATAGCTCAAGATGATGTCGTGGGAATCGGTCCAAACTCAATGCAGGTCATAATTGATTAATTATGGAAACGTACATCCTGAAAATTTAAGTTATCTGATGGACGCCTATTAAAACATCTACTCCTAACATACATGTTGGCAACTTGTCATCAGATTAGAAGGATATTTTGTATTTTGGTAACATGCGTGGGTCTCATTGATTCTGTGCTTGAGTTTCCAAAATTTGGTTTCAATGTTTCTAGGTTTTTTTCAGTCTTTAAAAGGTAATTGTTCTTAGGATATGCCAAGTGCCTCACAAACTAGTCCTTGAATTTGCAAACCAGTGTTGTAGACCGATGACAATGCGGAACAAGAAAAAAGCACCAATATTCCAACAAGTCTTCCTTGCCACAAGGACGTACGTGTGTGAGTTGAGATCCCCTGTACATGGCACCCTTTCTGGCCTTCGTGACTCATTATGCTCAAAACCACTTGGGGGTATCAGACTCACACGCTAGCCATGTGATAAACGTCAGTTCGCGAGTAAGCGATGTAGCCGAGCAATGCGATGCGCCGTGCCGTTCTTCTGGGCCACGCAGCGGGGGACACTGCACAATCGGCCCCCCAAAAAGCCACGAGCGTGGTTCTCTACAGCTCATTTCCATTCGGGGCACGGTTGACGTTTGGCCGGTTATTAGCGGGTTACCTACGGTGGTGCATAATGCACAGTATGGGATACGTTACACTTGAAAAGTACAGATGTTCTCAATCCACCAATGAGTGAATACCTCCCCATGCCGTGTTGGCCATGAGGGAGGGGTATTTGTGTTACCATACTTCACTGGGCTGCTCAGTATGATTTGGCGAGGAGGATGATAGGACGAGACCGGTTCTGATATCACTCACCGTGTTTGGGAATCGGGACTCCGGCCGCCAGGTTCCTAACGGAGCCTGCAAAACAATTGCACCGCCGCTCCTCCCCATATCAAAAAAGATTTGCACACTCAAAGGGACTGTTAATTGTCTTCTCACCGAGAGAAATCCAGGTCAAATAACGTTGTATTAACCGCAACCAACCAACGGACGAATAATTACAACTCACAGTCGGAAAACTCGGTCACGTGGATGCCAAGCCCACCCATACAGCACCTTCCCCGATCCGACGCTGCATTCGCTCAAACAGCCCAATGACATTTTGTTCAATTAAGCTGTACCTTCCAGTAATTCGAGAGTAAGGCTGTTATAGCCAACAGGCAGTCATGCTGACCTGTATTCCCTATATTGCTTATAGCTTCCAACTGCTGCAGAATTTTATAGGCAGAGTCATTGCAGAACAAATCCTGGCTACTTCGCTACAAACTAAAGTTACTTAAATTGCTTGTGGAAATGTGCTTCATGATTTTTCATATGAGTAAAGAACCTGTTATGTGTGATTGTCGTACGTGTTAGTGCCCATTTGTGCCTGACCATCTGTGTATGAATGCTTTTATGTGCGTGTCTTTGTTTTTATGATGTGGGGAGGGGGGTCGTGTAATGCTTAGCACACGGCGCTATGAACCCGGCGAGCCAAGTTCGATTCCCACTCACAGCCAACACAGATGACGGATATATGAATCAGTGCTGGGCTTCCCCTAGGTCAACACAGCAATCAATGAGCACCTGGTACGCTGTATAAAACTTCAACAATGGGGAGACAAAGGCGGCTGGGTGTGGTGTAGACCACACTACCATGCACCTCCCTTGAATGTTGCTCATTAATAGCACTTACCGCAAATAGTCTGTTCAAGGGAATATGGGCGATCTTTATGTGGAGGGTTTGTCTGTGCATGTGTTGATGAGTGTGCATCTTTCAATGCGTGGGTGTGGATACTTTTTTGTATATGTCCACGTGGTATGTGTGTGAGTGTGGGGGGGAGCAGCACTGCTGTGGTTAGCGTGCTGTGCTATGAACCTGGTGGCCGAGTTCGATTCCCGCTGAGGGCCAACACCAGTGATGATCATCTGAACCAGTCCCAGGCCTCCCCTAGGTCGACTCAGTCTCAAAAGCGTAGCTGGTGCGATGTGTAACACATCGCCAATCGGGAGAGAAATGCGGCCGGGCGTGGTGCTGGCCACTCATCCCCTCGTGTGCTGTGCTGGCCTTCATAGGGGCTTGCTAAAAGCACTTGCCCTAACATTCTGTTAAGGTTATATGGGGTATCTTTGTCTTTGTAGAGGAGTTCAACATACATACACACATACCTAGACAGTCTTCTTATAGCTAGCTGCGTTTGTCAGCAGACGTTTCATTCTGAGTCAGTTGAGTGACATTTAATTGGCTGCATAACACTGTGGAAGCTGCCTGAGCTGTCGCTACATATGAAGCTCACGGTTTTCTTGGCCACAGTTATGCCCTCTCTTATTTATGCTTACAAAACATGGACCCCCTCTAAAGGGGAACATCTGCACCAGTTTGAAACATTCAGGCTGCACTGTCTACGGTCCATCCTGGGTTTGACCAGGCTAGATTGAGTTTACACATTCTCGAACGATCTGGACACAGTTCCATTGGTGAGTCCCTCCAGCAGGCGAGCCTGTGTTGGCTGGGTCATGTAGTCTGCATGCCCAGCTTATATTTGGCTGGATAGAGGGAGCTAAATGGGTGGTGGCATAGGCTAGAGAAGAGTTGGGCTGATGTGGTATTGGAGAATGTGGAGCTGAGTAGACTTGTCAATAACTGTTACCAGCAGTGTGAAGATTGGCCTCTGTGGAGGAAGCTCGTGAAGGATGCTACTGGATAGTTGGAGGCAGTCACCCTCCAACAACAATGGGGGGTGGAGGAGCAATTCTCACAGCAGCAAATGGTGTTTTGGGGAGATTAAACGCAGTAAGCTGCAACAGTAGAGAGCACCGGTGGTGCATCTGCCAGTCATCTCATACAGTCAACCCATACAGTCAACCCATAACACTTGGGTGTGTCCCATGATCGCCTGCTAGCGAGCCTTCGACACTTCACGTGGCCTCAAGGTGCACCTAGCCTGGCAGTATCGCAACGGTGACATCACTGCCACTTGGTGGCTAAAATTGGTTGTTTGTCTTATAGATGTGTTGTTTGCCACACCTCCCACTTGTGTGCCATTGTTGGCCTTCATAGGTACTCGCTCACAGCACTTGCCGCAAGTCTGTTAAGGCTAGAAAGGGAATCGTTGTCTTTGTTGACGCATGTAGGGCTACGGAATGGGTGTATATACGTGTGTGTGCGTGTGTTTCTGTCTGTGTGTGCGTTCAGGGAGGTCCTGGTATCCGTGGAGCAAGAGGAACACAAGGGGACCTTGGTTCCAAAGTGAGTAATCCCCATGCACACACACACAGACACACACAGACACACGCACACACACACGGCTGGTCAGTGCAGGTTGGTGAAGGCGGGGAGGATAGATGTGGCAGCGTAGCATTCGGATATCGCAATGCCCTTTTTTCCTGCACTGCCCTTTCCTGCACTGCCCTTTCCTGCCCACTCCCCTCAAGCACCTATGGCGACCTGTGCTATGCACGGTGGTCGCACATCCAAGCACTATCCAGGCTCATCCCCGCTTAGCTTCCAAGATCTGAGGAGGTCGGGAACCTTCCGTGTGAGTTTCTCATTTGATTCGAGGCCTCCAATTAAAACTATCTCTATGAAATCCTCATTTGCCATCAAAACAGTGGCTTCTGTCTGTGGATGCAGCCTCGGACAACTTGTTGGACCCACATACTCTGTTATCCACGATGGTCTTTTTTTGCACCGTCCCTGTGAATGTGGTCTTCAGGGTTAGGCCACACATTCAACCCACAGTAGTGCGTGGTGAAAGCTTGAGAGTAAGAATGCTCACTGTTCCGCCTACACAAGAAGAACACACTTGGATTGCTCTGGCTTTCTTGCACTCTCCTCCGTAGCTCCTGACCGATGTTTGTGTTTCTGTACCACTCGCGCCTCCCCAGGGAGCAGATGGATTTCGAGGGGAGCTGGGGCCTATCGGTCAGCAGGGTGCCCCAGGGCCTCAAGGCCCACCCGGCATGTCGATACAAGGCGACCCGGTAAGCCCGACTGCATGCGACGGGGCGACCCATTCCTCGTCGACAAGAGACATCAAACCCAGGAGCACAGATTGTTAGTGTGATTCATCGCATGTTTTTGGGTGAACCCACGTCATAATCTGGCCAAATTTGTTTTGTTAAGACCCACCACCACCTGACGGCCAAACATATCAAATTGTCACGTGCACAAGCGTTTTACGCCCCATTTATTATTATTATAATTGTTTTCCAATCTCTGTAGAGTACAAATGCTCGTGTGTGCATCTGCGTGGCAGGGCCGGCAAGGAGAGAAGGGAGAGAAGGGAGAGCCAGGCCCACCAGGTCCTCAGGTAAGTCTCATCACCCTCCTCTCACCATCATTGTCATTTATATCACTTTTCCACTGGCACAAATCCGAGCCGAGCCAGCGTGGATATAGCGTGCTGAGCCAGAACCAAACCGTGATGCCACTGACCTCACAAGACCTCTTCATCCGGCTTGGGGTGGAACTGGGCCAGGGCACGTAGCCGATTATACGGTCGCTGTGCGTGATGTCGGTCAATACATTTCAAGGAGCCAGCAATACCGCGTCATCTATGTTCGTCCGGAAGTGTTCGTTCAACATGAGCCTGGTTCGGCACAGCCCATTTATGGCTTGGCTTTACAATGGAAGAGGTATCATCAACTCACCTTGTGTCATAAGATGCCAACTGAGGAATGACTCTCTATTCTTTAATCAGATTGCTGAGATAATAATGAGTGTGGACTTATCTGTGTCAACATTGACCTTCTTCAAACTCAAAGAGGAAGATGATCCGAATCATAAATGGTTTCTGATGGCCTCACACAGAGGCCCTACATCGGAAATCTTTCAAAAAGATTGCAAATTTGGTGGGTTACCTGGTTTTTATGTACATTGTGAAGTAATATTACTGGTACATTTTTCATGTTTCCATGATTAATAGCCACATTATAAAGATGTGATGAAAATGTTTGAATGCTCTCCGACTAAGGTTAAAAGTGGTTACACATTAGCTATGTCCGTCCATCTGCATCGACAGGGAGGGCACTTTAACTCTTGTAAAGATCATACGGTATGAACGAAACTTAAGAGTACGAAGTTGTGTTGCTATTAGGGACTCGCCCTCTTGAAACCCGGCCACATTGATCAAAGAGTTACGCAAAAAACTTGGAGACACAAACCACAGCAAAAAAGGTCCATCGCAAATTGACTTGACAGCTACTCGTTGGAAATATGCAAAACAAACACATCTTGCCATGACAGCTTTATGACAGCTTCCTTCCCCATTGTACAATGCCTCCGAGGACAAACACATGGCCCCGGAAAATCTTTACATAATCTTTGCATATGCATGACTTTTAGAACTTGTTTTCTAGCATGTCTTTTGAAAAACGCAACCCAGCCATACGTCTTCATAATAATAATAGGCACGTTTATTTGTCAAGCGTCACCTTTTAGAGACGATGTCACGAGGCTGAGGCCTGTGGAGACACTGGAGTGTAGAGGTACTCGGCGCTTTCTGTCCGAGTGAGGGAGGTTTGCACAAAACAACGACGTGTTTAAACGTTATTTGAACGTTTCGTGAGTTGTGATGGGATCGAAGGTCATTGTGGCAGAGCGTTCCAGACCAATGGAGGGGTGACTCGTCACGTGTATTTCGCGCATAATCGCAATCAACCAATCATACGGCTGGGATTTCAAAGAGGGGCAACTCAAGAGTGCCGCAAGTGTGTTGACGTTTTGTTGACGACTGAACCTCGGCCTGTGTGCGTCACTGCAGCATTACTCTAGTTGACGCTTCACACCTGTGTGGTGGTGGTGGTGAGGCTCTGCATGTATAACAACTCTGTTAACCTTTGAATGTTAATTGAGATGATAGTCGTCGCACTCTGATTGGCTCTGACATGACGATGAGGTTTGAGCGTGTCACTGGCGGTAATCCGGCGGCCAGTGTGGACGTATGTCAGGAGGCGGTACTAGAAGGCTTTGGCTGTCGCTGTGTTTAGAAGATAGGTTATGGTAAAGGTGTGGCCATGCATTTGTTTGCTCACGCCACTGCTGGCAGAAGGGGCCTCCACTGGAGAAATCTCCAGTACAGAGCCCCTCAAAGGATAACGTGGCCTCTTCTTCTACTTTGTCTTTGAAGAGGTGGGAGTGCCCATACATTACCCCCACTTGACCGTGGTGCTACATTTACACTCCTGGGTGGACAGACGCAGGGGGATTTTAAAAACTTGCCCCATTGTTTCAACTGCCACGTCGTGAAATCAGACTGGCAGACCTCTGGATTGCAAGTCCAGGGTTACTGACCGTTCTACCACGTCAACATCACATTTTTTCGAGAGGATCGGTACGGTTGTTTTTCTTTTTTGTCGAGGAAGAAGGTGGTGTTGAGGAATGTGGCGGTGGTTAAATTGGGATCTTTTGCTAACCTTGCAAAAGAGACCACAGCTCCATTCGTGTCCAATTACAAACGGTAAGTAATGTAGATACAAATAAACATCATGCATAAAGCTGAATAACCCTTTTGTAACAGTGGTATATCGCATGGTCTTTGATCATGTTTGTTCTGTGGGTCCATTGCCCTCGGTGAAAGGTAAGGGGAGTATTGCTCATTTGGCTGTGATTCACATCTTTGCGTAACTCATAAACCTCTCTGAATTTACATGGTGTATCAATAATCGTTAACCATATACTGGATGCAAATAGCTTATATATAAAAGTACGTATATATTAATATATGTAATTGAGAATAACTTGTAGGTAATGGTGACATTCACAGACGTTGTTTACGTAATGGTACGTGAAAATTTGAGGAAATATTGAAAGCAAGCCAAACAAGACAGCCAGGCTGGGTGCAGGCAACTGCCTATGGTTAAATCATCTTCTCAAGTGTCGTGAGTTTATGGTCTTAGCCCAGTTATCTATGAATTACTGAAAGACCCACCGACTTGCATAGGCCCATGGACTCACGTAGTGACCTATTGACTTGTGCATAGACCCATAAAGCGACATAGCGGAGTTGTGATTTAACTGGATATCTAAAGTGTAGTGACCCGATGGTCTCAGACCGGTCATCAAAGCCTGTAACACAATAAACCCATCACATTAAATGTGGTTCTGCATTTAATTTGTATAGATTCCAGCACTGTCTTTTTAAAATACTGGCTTGAGAGTCGCACAATGAACGGTATTGTTGGTGGGAGGGCGAGTAGGACGTGCTCCCATCCACTGCGTGAACCAGAGGTCCCATGAAGAGATCTCAGAGGGAGCTCTAGTATATCCGCTTCTATGAACTGCTCTACAACATGAAGGGTAGCACTTGTCTGTGAGATATCTAATTAGATTTCCCATCTCGTGATGTGGCGCCGATAGCACAATCGAGATACAATTGTGGTGACGTCGAAGACAAAATAGTGATCACTGAGTGTAGATGGTGCCACAGGTTGTGCAAGTGGTGTCCTCAGCAGCCCTGACATGGCGCAATGATGTTCAAATGCTGCCTCTGAAACCTCAGCGTAGGTTGTTGGGACACACGCACGCACACGCACACAAGAATAGATTATTTGTTCAAACTGTCCATTAATCTGTCACAGGAGTTTATTTTAAAACAGGAGTATACTGTGGACTTTAGCCAGCACTGGTGCTCGGTCAGCTGGGGGGGAATTCTTCCGAAAGATTTTTGGGTGTGAACTCGACTCGGCTGGCACTTTTCCTAAGCAGACCGGGGGAGCCTGTGTGTGTGTGTGTGCCACTGTGTCTGTGTGCTTGTTTGTGTGTTTGGTTCCGTGGTTCACGCACCAGTCTATGAACCCGGTGACTCGGATTTGATTCCCGGCCACAGCTAACATCAGTGGTGAGTGATATCTGAAGGGTCCTGGGCCTCTCGTAGGTCAACTCAGCTTTAAATGAGTACCAGCTGTGGTGTGTAAACATCAGCAATGCGGACAAAGGCAGCTGGAAATGCTGCTACCATTAAACACCCTCTCATGGACTATGCTGGTCTTCATACGTGCTCCCTAGCAGCACTTTCTCCAGCAGTCACTGGAGGGTATACAGTCAAATCGTTGTCTTCGTGCATATAATTTATACACATGTGTTGACCTGGGTTAGAGGAATCTGGCACTCGAGAGACATGGCATATATTCAACTGTAAATGTTGGGCAAATATTCTAGCCGCAACTAAAATTATGGCTTTCAATGGTAGTCGGTCATTCGTTTTAACCCACACCAATTAAATTTCGATTGAACGCTTTCGTGACTGCAAGGATTCATCTTCTTTGGTTCTTTCGGTAAAGTCACGTAGAATGAGAATAAAATAATAAAATAACACAATAAAATTATCACGACGTTTTCAAGACGGCCGCTTGCGTTGTGGCCGAAACGTCGTGAGAATTGTATTATGTTATTTTATTATTTTATTATCATTCTACGTGACTTTACCGAAAGAACCAAAGAGGACCACACCAATTACTTTACAAATAAAAAAAACGTCATGGTATTTGAACTTAACATGGCCTGTCTGAGATCTGAGTGATAGATTAGTAACTGTGGAATATGTAAACCTGATAATGGGTTTGCAGCAAGCCATACCGGCCTCGATCACCGTCTTGTGTTTATCACCAAAGGGGCTGGCCTATAGAATAATTTCAAGTAATATAGAGGTGAATTCCTCCAGGGTTGTTTTCCCAATACGAAATCACGCTCTGCACAAATGAAAAAGGCTGCGGGCGTTATACAGGGTGATCCATTTATAGAGACCCTACTAAAATAAAAGACATTTTGAAGAACACAACATTTTAATTCAAAGCCTCTACACGCCTCCCAAAAATCACAGTACTCTTATTTAATATTGTATCACTGCTCTGTACGATGCGGAGCCATTGCCTTTACCACATTCAGTCATCAGATGAGAATAAATGATTGGGGTAACTTATCTACGGATCACCCTGAATTTCAAAGAGATAAGCTTGGAAGCAAATTCGGCCGGTGTTGAATATAAAGATAAAGCGCCGAGGCTTTGCACATCGCTAGGGGGGATGGGGGTGTGAGCGGGGCGGCCCGGACCCCTGCCATTCGTCTCATGTTTCCTGTGCCCGCGATGGCCCTGCGGGGCGCTGGGCAAGAAGCAACAAGCCCTTGCTTGTTGTGCTGAGAGCCATGGCGTAAGGCCACCGAGGCGTTGCAAGGTCACATTGCACGATTTGGCCTTTGTGGACCATTCGCTCAGAAGGAAGCAGAGTGGAATGTGTAAGAGCCGCTGTATTTTGTACATACTGAATCCATTGTTGTACATGTTGACACTCTAGAATTTTAACTGATCCAACG